CCTGGCTGACTGGGAATCTCCCGGCCTGAATTTCTTTCGCAGTCCGGGCCCGATTACCGCTATCATGGTTGATCATTTTTTTCTCTCTCCTTATTGTTGTTTCCTGCTGAACTCCAATATCGCCAGTTTCCCGCAGGTCAATTCGCTGTGCTGTGCGTCCCATGCATTGACTTTATGGTCCTGTGCATTAGCAATTAGCATTGTCATAGCTACTTGACTCTGAGCTGCAGCACTAAGCAGGCTTTTATCTCAGCCAATCGGGGGAGATTTCCTGCATCAACCCCTAGTCTTAGAGCCTTACATTGGCCCAATCCCAAACCACCCCTACAAACTCGCCCTTCACTACCGAATGTCACTCGTAATGAAGTTACACTTGCTGTTGTGGAGTGCGCCTCAATTAAAATGGAAGGGTATAAACAAGGCGGGCGGGTATGGGACGCCCTCCTCACTCCACCAGAAAACAGAAGGTTCATCGCCATGGCAAAACAAAGGCGCGTCCTGTGCAAGGCAGCGTTTATTTTCTTAGTAAACGGACATCATTTACAGTTCTGAGCCGCACCAGCTGCCTCGTTTCTTCATCCTCCCAGTAAAATCATAAATCAAGCAACTATTACAGTGACAGGAGCTAAATTATACTTCTGATCGTTAGTGATTCCATACGTCTTTGAACCCCTTTACTATTTGACATGTGCCTGCACAATCAAATCAAACCTCAGCACAGAGTAAGATTTCCGACTTCCATTTGATCATTCTAAACCACGTCTTTTGTGATTCTTTTTTTGTCAGGAGGACAAAGGTGGACACATACGGAACTTATATTTGTATGTTGTTTCCTCCTCCTCCATTTTTGCTGGCGCACTACCTGTAAACCCTATTGAAGGGCTGAACAGTCCACTCGCCCTCCTCACTCCGTGGTTTGGGATGGCCTTCAATATGACGTAGCCTCTGCAGGGATGCGCAATCAGAGGGAGAGTGTGTAGGGCGAGTGTGTAGGGGGCGGTTTCAGACTGGGCAAATGTGTGACAGCCCCTTCAGACTACTAGGTGTTCCTGTTTGGCTGTTTGTATTTCCTCTGTTTCAGGAACCTCATCAGGAGAGGATGAGCAACACCCAGGTGTAGTCTTTTGACAACCTGCAATCAGTGGCTCTCTGGCTCTCTTGTGGCCCGCAGCATGGAGCTTGCATGCCGGCATGGCTTTATTGTTTTGTTTGTTGCAGATTACTAAATTGTTTGTTTTACTCCTGTTTGTTGTCTTCTTCAAAATAAATTAAAGGTTAAATTGTTCCTACCTTGTCTCACCTCCCGTCTTTGTTGCAGCTTTGGAGCTAGGTTGTAACAATTGGCAGAATGAATCACCTACAGTCAAACATGAATTGATTCATCCAGCTGTATAGATCGGCGTGTACGGACAGTGAGTTTTGGGCTATGGTTGGGCAGACTGAAATGTCTGTCAGCTTGATAGGCATTTTCGTGGTTAAATCAGAAAAAAATATTTGTTGTGTTAGCTTGTAGGGAACTTTATGAAAAAAAAAATACTGAAAACAATGAACCAGTGGATTTTGCAGCAGAAAATGGCAAAAATTGATTACTTTTTTTCTTTTTCTTTTCCTGTGGAAAGGTCAACCACTTAACATCCTAAAGCTGGAGGGGTGTACATACATCATAGTGAGGTAACACTGGTCGTATTTAAAAGAGGAGGATGTCCTGATCAGTTTTGATTTAGTGGGGTGGAGTTACATGACAGCTTCTTCAGATTCCTCTTTTCTGCTGGAGTCGCTCATGCCCCCAGCGCGTGTAAGTGTTTATGGTCTTAAAAATTATAATACGACCAGGAAATATTCAAACACAGCATGTCCCCCCTGTAGAAAAATCAGAAAAAAAATCTGTTGTTTCATCTTGTCCCTGTGAAGCTAGAGGCTTGAGATGAGAGTAAGAGGCTCATGACACAGTCGTGCACTGGGTGAAAAAGGATTAAATATTCCTTATTTACATCATTGTCACATGATATTGTTTAGCCACAGATGGATACTCTTCGCTACTCATCCCTTAAACAGCTGCTGGGAACATAAATATAATTTGGACCTGTCTTCTGTTCATTTCACTCTGCACAGGACCAGCAGATCAGTATGTTTACGGCACTACACGCTGGCGCTCATGGGAAATGAGGTTTTCCTTTAGCCAAAATACTACCACTCTGGTCCACTGGCGCTGCCAATCTAAATCTTATTAAGTACCGCTTTAAACTATAATGATAAACTCTAATATTAAACTATGAGAATAAATTATAATAATAAACTATAACAATAACCTATAATTTTAAACTTTAATATTTATAATGATAAACTCCAATAAACTATAATGATAAATTTTGATGATAAACTATAATAATAAACAATAGTATTAAACCATCACAATAACTATGATATTAAACGTTTATATCAAAGTATGACAATAAGCCATAATATTAAACCATAGGAGGAGCACATCAGCCTGCTGACCCTCAGCCTCTCTCTGAAACAATCAGCTTACTTCTCCTTTAAACAGCACTGAATGGCTGCCATCCTGCCCACACATTACAAAGCAGAGGCTGCTGTTACGTAACCATTTCTGAGTGATCATCCTCCCACAGATTCAAACATCATGTTTTGGAGGCGAAAGACACTCAAACAACCTCTGAGTCCATCCTAATCTTTGAGCTAAAATCGGCCCCTACCATTCGGAGTAATCTGTCTAAAAGCCATCTGGCCCAATTTTACAGCAGAGAGAATAATCACACCACATAAACAGACCTCCTCCATGGCAATGTGATTCTTCTCATGAGTTTCTCACCGTTATATTCACATAACTCATCCCTCAACAGCCTCAGCCTGTCAAAACAGAGCTGCAGTTTGGTCCATGCTGTGGATTATGAAGCAACTCCCTCTCATACAATGATCACAGTGACCTGCTGCAGAGTATCTGTGAGTGCATCAGCTGTAATTACTGCTCAGGAATGTACAGGGGGCAACAGGAGGAGCTGTGAACGCAGCCTTTCTCTCAGAGTTTCTGAGGTTAAAAGCAATCAGCTGCTAAACAATAACAAGGAATGGTAACTGCATGACGCTAACATTTGGCATGAGCTAATCAGCTCAAGTTTCAATTCCAATCATAGGGTTTCACAATAAAAACATTTGTGACTCATTTAGAGATTGTTTCTTATTTTTCATTTATTTATTTATTATTATTATTATTATTATTATTATTATTATTTATTTGACACCATCCACCACTCCATCCTCCTTTTCTGTCTTCATGACTTATTCTACATCACTGGCACTGCCCTCTCCAGGTTTAAGTCATGCCTCACAATTCATCAACATAAACAGCAACTCCTCCACCACTGCTCCCCTGACCCAAGGTGTCCCCCAAGGTTCGGTGCTTGGCCCCCTCCTGTTCATTATTTACATCCTCCCTCTTGGAAATATCATCCGTCATCACTATCTCCGATTGCACTGTTACGCTGACGATGTCCAACTTTACATTTCCACTGAATCCATCACCCCATCCACCCTCTCCACCCTCTCCAACTGCCTCTCCGAAATAAAGACCTGGATGACCAACAACTACCTTCAACTAAACTGTGACAAATCTGACATGATAATCATCTGCCCCAAATCCATCACCCAATCCATCCCCCCCTTCTCCATCACAGCTGATAACTCATCCCTGTCTCCTTTCTCCTCCACCCGCAACCTTGAACTCATCTTTGATACCCACCTCACCTTTGAACAACACATCAAACAGGTTACTAAATCAGCCTTTTTTCACCTCAAAAACATTGCCCGTCTTCGCCCATCTCTCTCCCTCCCCGCAGCAGAAACCCTGGTCCACGCCTTCATCACCTCAAGGTTAGACTACTGCAACAGCCTTCTGTATGGTCTACCCTCCAAACTCCTCAACAAACCACAGATAGTCCAGAATTCTGCCGCCCGCCTCCTTACCCACACCCGTCCACGAGACCACATCACCCCCGTCCTCCTTTGTCTACACTGGCTCCCCATCAAGCAACGCATCACGTTCAAGATCCTCCTTCTCACCCACAAAGCCCTTCATCATCAAGCCCCCGCTTATATCACCGGCCCACCGGTGGATTGGGTTTAACACAGCCGAGACCTGTATTGACCAATAACATCAGCTCCTCTCCTTGCCTTTAAATCCCTGGAGGATGCCCTCTGCAGCGCTTAAACACTGTAAGCGCTGCAGAGGGGGTCCTCCACACTGTCTCAAATAAGCACAGATGGACTTGGTGTGTGTAATGTTGGACCCACTGGTAAGACAAACACCTTTTTCCACAAATAAAGACAATCACATAAAGTTGCATATATTTAAACCTCACGTGACAAAGGTGGGTTGTGTGCACAGATCACAACATAAATTTCAATAATGGCATTAAAATCGGAACCATCAGTGCGTAAATGACACATCCTGCTCCGTGGCCTGGCTCTTTCTTTCATTGATGTTGGCGTATAAAAGTATAGTCGAGTAAATAACTCATCTGGGGCCTTATGTATCAATACTTGTGTGGAACTCATACCAGAAACGAGCGCACGCAAGGTCCGTCACGCTGAAAAAAATCTGCATGTATCAATGTGTGCGGGCGCCGAAATCCACGTGTGTTTCCTTGATAAATCCCAATCAGCGTGGAATTGAGCGCAGATGTCGGATAAATATAATATGCAGATTTATTTAAATATGGTCTCCCTGTCCTCGCACGCAGACAAAATGACGGAGGAGTACTGGCCAGACAGGTGGGGGTCCGGGGGAGGAGACCCTCACACCGTTTGAGCAGTGGGTGGTGGCGATTATTATTATAGGGTAAGTGGTGTGTCACACAAATGTCCACATGCTTTGTCATCCCACTGAGCAAAAGACGTATATTAGACGTCTAGTCTAAGTTTATACTTCATTTCAACGTCGGGATTCAGTCTATTTTTAGACGTGATTTATACTTCGCCCTTAACTTCATTTTTCGATAACTTTTTATGCAATAAACAACTGTAATGTGCATAACTGACCTCGAAATACTGGATTACATTACCTATGATACCGTGGAGAGAGATGTAAACGCAACAGATACACAGAAGCAGGAATTGAAATGAACCAATATTTTTATTGTGTCACAGAAATCAATGTGTCGGCCGTGTCGCCGGCTTGGAGTCGTCGGCCAGGACCAGCGGTATTCGGGCCACCCCGGCCCCCAACACCAGCACCAGCATCAGCACCAGCGCGCCGACAAGCGGTGGAGCGTCCACCAGCCGCGGCGCTTCCGCTGGACCACCCGGACGCAGTGGAAGGGTCCTCGCGGAGGGGGTCCTGCAATCGCAGGAAGAAATCATCAGGGGGATTGCGGGGATCAACGAGCGGCTGGACCGGCTCGTAAATGTCCTCGAGCGTCTGGTGGAGAAAATAAATTAATTTGGCTCATTAAACTGTGTATTCACTTCTTACCCATTCACACTGTGGCGATGAGTTTCTCCCGCGCGAGGACGGCGGCCCGGCAGGGATCAGCTCGCATCCCTCCGTCTGCTGCTGGTTCGTCATGTGGGGCGACGTGCTGCTCGGCCACGGGGATGTGGTGCACACTTGTCACATAGTGAGTCACCAAACACCGCCACACAGTGTCGCCAAAGTGCGAATCACAGTCAACGCAAGTATCGGCTCAACGCCAACTTCTACACCACCTCCTCACTTTGCGTTGATTAGCGCTGGAACCGACGCTCGTTTCGCGATGATAAATCTGGACGTGTGCGCCGATTTTGGCGTACGCAAGGTTTTCTGGCGCCGCCAGCGTTGATACATGAGGCCCCTGATCACTGAAACAAATCATCTGTTCAGCCACCGCAGCAGCAGGACGGGGAGAGGACACGGGGACATGTCCAGGTCGAGCTGCGCGAGAAATAAGAGGAAGAGGAAGGAAGAGAAGGAGGGAGACGAATTCCATATCTTGTTCACTTCATCATGTGTGTCTATTTACTAGATATTTAATTTAATTTATTGCAATTTCAGCTGTGTTGATTTGGTCAAGTTGAGTGTCCAAATGCGTGCCAAACGCGCTCATGAGATCAGATATAGATCAGCATATATCTGTATAGATCTAAATGTATGTGCTGACTCAGATTATTAGTTGTTGTTGATTATTTATTGCACTGAAATGTGCGCACTTTATACGCCACCGGCGAGCACGAAAATGTCACTGCACCAGCTATTTCTGTTGACACCCCCCCTGCCACGCCACCGCGCCCAGCTTGGTGGACCTCAGTGTGCCTCAGTCCATGAAAATACCAAACTGGATGTACGTCGGGCTCTGCCAGATGAAAATATCACTGCGTGGGGTCTGCCACCCTCTGCCGTGTCCCCGGCGGACACGAAAATAGAGCCCCATGTCAACGTCTCAGCCAGGGTGGAGAAAATTTTATATTCTGTATTAATTTCTAAAGGTTGTCCACAACTCCATTAAGTTTGCTGGAGGAGGCGAGATTTATGACCTATTCGGCAGCCCGTCACCAGAGGGTGCTGTTCTCTGAGAGGTTTCACCCAGTGAGGAGGCAGATGTCCACCACTCTGGGAGAGACTGCGTGAGCTAATCGTTTAACAGTTTCTCAATAATTCCTGAGTGTCGAGTCTGACAGAATGAGTGGATTTCATCATCTGCAATACATAATATCATAAAAAATAAAAATAAAAAAAAATGACTGGATGATATGACTGGATGGTCATATAAAGGGATGGGGGTAGGGGGGAATGCCTGTCCCAGTAAAAACCTTGTTTTTGTTTTTTCTGTTGTTTTGCTGTCAATCATCCTGTAGTAGTCTGCAGACAGAGTAATAATCTGACATTAATGCTGGATTATTTTAGTCCATGTTTGTTATTTTTAAATGTATTGACATCCGATTGTCCTTCTTCTGAGTTTTTACATATCTGTGACTCTGGGTTTGAAAATGAGGCAGTTAGACGAGTTAAAAACATCTAAATTTGTTTTCATTTTTAATCTAAAAGTAACATAATTATTTCTCCTAATGGAGTTGGAATCAGTGCTAATTTAATCCTGATAATTTTAATGAGTCCCTGCAGCTACATGGACAAATGATGATGAAACTTTAGAAACAGGAAGTCTGACAAATCTACAAGCATCAACTAAATGCTGTTCACGGGATTCTTCTTCTCATTATCATTGTGTGTGTGTGTGTGTGTGTGTGTGTGTGTGTGTGTGTGTGTGTGTGTGTGTGTGTGAGAGAGAGAGAGAGAGAGAGAGAGAGAGAGAGAAGTGGGCTGGCTCTGGATCAGCTCCAGCCCACCTCGGAAATACTCTTCAGGTGCTGCAACTCTTCCTTCCGCTGCTCCGCCACTCTCGTTGGTCTCCAAGCTTGGGGTTCTTTCTCTCTGAGCTCCATCTTTATCCTCGCGGTCCGGACTCTGGTTTTGGGTGTGATCCGTCGGTGAAGGGCAGCGATGTCCGGCCAGTGACTGACTCCGTCTCGGTCCGTCAAGTGTTTCTATCTTGCATGCCTCTGCGTCGGCCGGTCGGACAATAGTCAGCCGCAGCAGAGCCGCCGTTCCTCCTCCTCCAGCCGGGGGGAGCTCTCCGAGTGATCCTGCCCAGGACTCCTGCGCTCTCCACGGCTCCAGATGGCAGGACACGAGTGGGAGGACTGGTTCGAGAGGGAGGAATTTATTGGACAGATCAGCGACATGCGGGTGCAGAACCTGCAAGGTAAGAGCATCCCATCCCGGTCCGACATAATTTTTCTGGGCTGTTTGGGGCCAGTGCGCTGCCGCCAGTGGCCTGGCCAATCGTGCACAACCTCCTCCAAACCGTGAGTGTGCAGAGAAAAAGCCTCTGCAGCATTTACAACTTGGGAGCACGTTTGTCTGCAGCCAAGAACCCCAAACTTTCCTAACTGTCCTCTAGAGCAGACTTTACTGAGGAGTGAAAGCACGGTGATTGAACTGTAAACAGGAGCTCTGGAGTCCGTATGTAGCTCTGTTCCTACAAACCGAGAGTGAACAGAGTAGGTTTTCTGCTACTTCGTTCACTCTTGGTTCCACTGACCCTGATGTTTACTGTTGACTGTAGAGTCAAAGACTGTTATGAGCTGAGGACAAAGGCTGAGCAGAGTTATTCAGTAGATTGATTTGTGTGAGTTAGTATCTATACAGGGAGAAACGATGAACAGAAATATCTACAAAACAGTGTTTCAAGATTGATTTGAAGATTGATTCTCTAAAGATGCTGGAGGACAAAAGACACAAACACACACAAAAAAGCAACACAAGGAAATAATCAGCAGTATGATCAGTCTGCAGCTTTAGGGCAGTTTGTCCAAAAGATTTTTTTTTATTTCACTGATCTCGATGTGGATGCTTTTAAAATGTGGTGTGACTGTAGAAATTCACAAGAGTCCTTGTTCCATGAGTCTGAGTGTTCGCCCTCAATTGACGTGATAAATGATTTTCATCCTTAATATATTAGAAAGATTCAGGAAGGAGTGAATGATTGAGTGAGCAAGCAAGCATATGTTGAGACAAGGCTGAAAAATGACAGGACTCTGCAGTGGAAATCGTTGCATGGGCTCAAAATCCTAGCCTGGCTGAGCCATCCAGTTGCGTGAATCACTTGCTGTGGGAAGGAATGGCAAGTGACTCACGCAACTGGATGGCCCAGCCAGGCTATCAAAATCCAGTTTCAGGATCAGAATAATCCACGAGGGAACTGACTGTGTGCTGTGTCTGAGGTCTGAGCATAGACACATGATACAGCAGTGTTGCAGATATAAGGCATGTTATTGATATTACAACGATAATAATAATAATAATAATAATAATAATAATAATAATGAGAAGAAGAATATGACATAGCTTTTGTTTGATTATATTTACATGACTCGTTTTAATTATCCTTTATTATTTGTAATGGATAATGATATTATCCTAAGGTCCAAGCACATCTGTGGACCCCCCCCCCCCCCATCACAACTTAAAACTTAAATAAATAGATAATTTAAATAATTTATTTAACACAAATATAGTTTTCTTTTTTTCTCAAAGAAGAGCTCAAAGGCTCTGCTGTATGGAAAGTTGGCCACAGATGGCCAATTGATGCTGAGAAGCGTGCATGCTGCTTGATGGTCCTCATGCAGCCTGTTCCTCAGGTGTTCACCTACACATAAAAACAATTTAAAGCAAAGGGAGTTTGCCAAATTGAGAGAGCCCAAACCACATCGTTCTGTTTTTCCAAATGAATCTGAAAAAACATGTGAAGGCCAAAATTTGTGCCATTAAGGATAAACATTACTGTCGCCAACATTGCATTATTAACAGTGACATTAACATTAGAGTCATTTTCACAGGCTTGAGCTAAATATTTGTTCAACTTAACCTCATAGGTACCTTTCTCTCACCCTTCTCCCTCCCTTTACTCTGCTCTGTAGCTTCTATTGCTGTGTTGGTTATGAATGATTCGTCAACGGCGTAGCATTGCGGGGTGGGCAGCCGGCAACCCACTGCAGGGAGGGAGGGAGGGACAGAGTGGGACAGGGACTGTGCCCCTGAATCACTCAGTGAACTGCACTTTTCTGAGGGATTTTCTTTTGAGGGATACACTTTCATGGCGACTGTTGTTTTAACAGATTTAGTTCTCGGAGAAACAAACTTCACACATTTGGCTTGCAGTAAAGAGAACAGAGGGAGACTCACCAGCTGTAGCAGGCATTAGGCAGGAGTGATGGAGTAAGATAGGGGTGTGTTATGTTCAAGTGTACCTCAGAGAAAACTAACTTTTTGTTCTTTTTGTTTTAACTGCTCAACACCTCAACAATGCTTGTACAGTAAGACACAGCATGTAACGCCCGCATGTGTGACTGTCTGACTGTGACAATTTGCAAAGCTACGGTGCATGTTCAGTGTAGACCAGTTAAATAGCATGCCATAGGACAGTACATCTAAAACATTATAATTTATAAACAAGTTCATTTTTACAAGCGTGTTTGTAAAAGAACCATAGTCACAACATTCTCGTCTCCCGGTCCTGGAAGCTGTTAACTGAACTGAAACCTGTCCGTTCAGCTGTGTATCAGTTCAGGAAGTTAGAGTCGCAGGCTCCTCCCGCCAAGCACTGAGTGATTCAGTGATCACATTTTTTGAATTAATCTTTTTAGTGAACTGTTTCTAGTGATTCAGTGCATCTAAAAGAACTGCTGTGGCCATCACTAGTTGCCTCTTTGCTGCTACTCTTTAGCGAGCTGCAGTAGAGCCGGAAAGGCAGTTGAGACTCCAGTGTTGGTTTTTCAAAATAAAGTTATATGTAGAACAGTGTCACATTTCATGAGTACAATTCCACACTCTTATAACGGTCTGTGAATGTTTGTAAAAGTAGACCTGTTTATATGGATCCATTCTAGGGCTGAACGATTAACTGCATTTGCGACAAGATTGCAAGATGATAAGAAGGGATCTTCTAACTGCAAAGGCTGCGATTTGACTGGTCACATGGTCTGGTCACATGACTTGCAAGCAAACGGAGCAGAGCAGGCAGGAAGAGAAGTCAACACTGCACTATGCTGCACTTTGGGCTCAGGTTTGACAGGAGCTGACACTGCAGAAAGTTTAGTACCAAAGAGAGGCAGCACGGCAGTTGTGTGGATTTATTCTGGCTAAAAGGAATGCTGCTTTACAACATGTGCAGAACCTGCCATGCTACTGTTGCTACCTCAGGAGGTTACACTGCGACACGAAGCACCGCAAAGCCGTGTAAGATTGTTGAATGGCCTGTGACCAGTACTTCAACTTAAAGTAAGCAAAATACCAGCCAACAGGGATCACTGACTAAACTGTTTAAAAATATGGCTCCTTTTGAACATAATTCAAAGCGACACACAAAAATAACACCAGCAATAATGGAGTTCAGAGCGAAAGACGTGATGCATTGCAGCCGGCCTGAGAGAAGGGCTCGCTAGCTGGAATCTACAGGATGAAAACCTCGTCTGCATAATGAAGGACAATGCATCCAACGTGGTGACAGCAGCACAGCTTAATGAATAGACCAGACTCCAGTGTTTTGGGCACCGATTACATCTTGCCATCGGTATATAAACTAGTATCATGACATATATGAGGGTGCGTGCATGTGTGTACGTGATTGTGTGTGAGCAGAGAGAGAACCTTTGTGTTTGTTTTTGTGTGTGTTGGTGTGTGTGAGAGAGAATGTAAGAGTTAGAGAGGGAGAGAATGTAGCCATAGAAACCATAGACTGTACATAGAATGGACATAGTCTGCCTCCTCGCTGGGTGAAGCCACTCCGAGAACAGCACCCTCTGTTGACGGGCTGCAGTTTAGGTCATAAATCCTGCCTCCTCCAGCAAAGCTTATTCAATTTAATTCAATTCAATTCAATTCAACTTTATTTATATGGCACTTTTCATACAAAAGGAGATGCAATTCAAAGTGCCTCACAGAGGCTAAAAACAACAATAAAGACAAAAACCCAACCCCTTCTAACCACCCACACACCCATGGACCCACACGCACACAGAGACACACACCCACCCTCACTCACCCACACATACACACACACACACAACCGCACACAGTGTGAGAATTTAAGATAAAATTTTAAAGAGACTTTGCCTGACACCGAGACATTACATGAGGAACGAGTTACCTTTAGGAAACACTGGAGCTAAAAATAAAGATAAAAATGGTGAAAAGGATAAAATCTGATGGATTAAAATAAGAAAATAATAATATTAAATGAACAAATAAATAAAAGGGGTAAAAGAAGTAAAAACCTGTGACAGGAAATTAAAAAAGGCTAAGAACAGAGATAATGAATAGAATGACATAAAATAAACATTAAGAACATTGATTAAAATGAACATTTGCAGTAAGAGAAATCTAAAATGGCAATTAGTAAAAAGCCTGGTTAAAAAAGTGAGTCTTGAGACTCTTCTTAAAAATGTCAACAGTCTCTGCGGCCCTAAGGCTCTCCGGCAGGCTGTTCCACAACCGGGGACCATAAAAACTGAACGCCTCCTCCCTGTGTGTTTTTCTTTTGACTTTGGGTAAGGTTAAAAGACCTGTGCCGGAGGACCTCAGGGTCCGCAAGGGTTGATATGGTAAAAGTAAATCAGATAAATAGGAGGGGCCAAGACCATTAATACATCTAAAAACTAGTAAAAGAACCTTTAAAAGAACCTTAAAATCAATCCTGAAATGGACGGGGAGCCAATGCAGCGATGCTAAAACTGGCGTTATATGCTCTTGCCCTATGGCCCTTGTCAGCACTCTTGCAGCTGAATTCTGTAAAAGCTGAAGTGTATGTAAGTTCTTCTTTGGGAGGCCAGAGAGCAGGGCGTTACAATAATCTAAACGTGAGGAGATAAAAGCATGCATCAGCACCTCCGTGCTGGCCTGAGAGAGAAAAGGGCGGACTCTGGCTATATTCTTAAGGTGGTAAAAACCTACCTTTGCTATGTTTCTGATGTGTGGAATAAAACTGAGCTCAGCATTGAAAATAACACCCAGGTTTTTTACAGATGTTGATACTTTAAAATCTTGTAGTTTTGGTGAAAGTGTCTCTCTCAGGCCCTCAGGACCAATAACTAAAACCTCTGTTTTGTCATGGTTGAGCTGCAGGAAGTTGGCTGTCACCCAGGACTTGATGTCTAAAATGCAGTTTAAAAGGGCATCAATTGGCCCGCTATCATCAGGAGACACGGCCATGTACAGCTGCGTATCATCATCATAGCTGTGGAAGTTGATGCCGTGCCTCCTGATGATGTCCCCCAGGGGAAGCATGTAAAGATTAAAATGAGTTGGACCGAAAATTGACCCCTGGGGAACCCCACACATAATTTCATGGGTTTGTGAGGAACCCATACTTACTAAGAAGTGTCGACCAGTGAGATAGGAGGTGAACCAGTCCAAAACAGTGCCTGAGAGGCCGACCAGGTGCTTAAGTCTATTTAATAAAATGTGATGGTCTACTGTATCAAAGGCGGCGGTTAGATCCAGCAGGACCAAGACTGTGAGGTTGCGATTATCTAAATTGCACCCGATGTCATTCAAAATTTTAAAAGGTCTGTCTCAGTACTGTGGTTTCTCCTAAAACCTGAATGGCACTTCTCTAAAATGCTCTTTCTGTTTAAAAAATCATTTACTTGTTGAAGAGAAAGTTTTTCCAAGATTTTACTTAAAAATGGTAAGTTGGATACAGGTTGGTAATTGTTAAAAATCTTGGGGTCCAGATTGCTCTTCTTCCTCAGAAGAGGCCTCACCAGCGCAGTTTTAAAGGAGGTGGGAAAGACCCCTGTCTGTTGAGAGCAATTTACAATGTTTAAAAGCTGTTCCTCAAAGAATCCATAAAATTGTTTAAAAACACTGTGTGTGTCTGCGCGTCAACCAGTGCAAAACTCTCCAGTGTTTCCTCGAGTAAAAGCAGGGATCCAGGTGTGTTGGCAATTAAAATCCGTTGAGATAAAAGACTGGATCTGATGTTGTCGATTTTACTTCTGAAGTGGTCTACAAAATCCTCACAGAGGGTGTCAGAGGATGACCCAGGGGTTCTGTTAAAATTATTGTTTGTTAAAAGATCAATTGTAGTAAAAAGAAATCTGGGGTTATGTTTATTGTCAGCGATCAGTTTTTTTGTAGTGGGAAGTTCTTGCCTGTTTGACTGTGCTATTGTAGGTTTTGAGGTGGTGTTTAAAAATTTCAAGGTAGACTGTTAATTTGGATTTCCTCCATCTCCTTTCAGCACTCCTGCATTTTCGTTTGAGCTCTTTGATATGCGCGTTTCTCCATGGGGGTCTTGCTTTTTTCTTGATTGTTTTGGTTAAAAGTGGAGCAACTGAGTCCAGTGTTGACCTTAGATTGGTGTTAAAATTGTCAATGATTGTTGTGTTGTTGTGTTGTTAAGCGTTTTGGGTATCTTGAAAGGCGCTATACAAATGTAAGATATTATTATTATTATTATTATTATTATTATTATTATTATTAACGATAAAATCACAGGGTGCTGGTAAAATTTGTGGAGAGGTGTTCTGTAGGATGTGAATAAAATTTGCAGCAACTTCAGAAGATAGGTAGCGTTTCCTCACCGTTCTGACTGGGCTCCCCCTCTGGTTAAAATTGCTGATTTTAAAAAACACACAAAAATGGTCAGACACAGCCAGATCCACAACAGAGGGTGCACCGACGGACAGGCCATAGCTTATGACCAGGTCCAGGTCCCCCTGCTGTGGGTCAGCTGTGTCACATGCTGCTGAAAATCAAAGCAGTTTAAAAGGTTTAAAAATTCTCTAGACACTGGGTCTGAGGTGTTGTCAATGTGTAAATTAAAATCACCAGTTATTAAAATCCTGTTGTAGGTGGTGTGGATGATTGATAAAAGTTCGGAGAATTCACTGATAAAAGAGGTCGAGTAGCGAGGGGGTCTGTACACATTGATGCAGAGGATAGGAGGGCTGCTAAAAACAAAGGCGTGATATTCAAATGACGAGTAGCTGCTAAAAGGAACTGCAGAAGGGGACAGTGTGGATCGTATTATTGATGCAGTTCCTCCTCCTTTCTTACCCTCCCGCGTAGAAAATGAAAAGTTAAAATTTGTGGGGGAGGCCTCAGTGAGAACAATAGGTGCATCTGTGCCAAGCCATGTCACAGTAAGAAGGATACAGTCGAGCTGTTTTTCTAAAATTAAATCGTTTTTGATAAAAGATTTGTTTAAAAGAGAGTGGGGGGGGGGGGGGGGGTGTCTAAATATAGTCCTTAGTTTCGGTTGTATGTATTAATTAATGGTTTTGATGGTGTAAGTGTCCTATTTTTATATTAAGAGTGGTGGGGGTGTTGGTGTTGAGGTGTGTGAGGTGTAAGGGAGCGCGGGGGGTTGAGGGGTGGGGTGTGTGTGTGTGCATGTGTTTACAGTTTGTCAGGAGGTAGCAGTGGTACAGGAGCGGAGGGTAAGGTCCATAATAACTGATAAGAGGTCCAGATGCATGTTGATAGAGAGGAGATGTGATCCGTGAAAGTTTGGATGAAGTCCATAATGTCTGAACAGGTAAGGGCGGTGGAGGAAGGTGGTGAAATTGTCCACGAATGGAATACTTAATGAAGAGCAGTAAGGTTTTAGCCACACATGTAGCTGTGGTACATGGCTGAACTTCACGTCACCGTAGCAGGGACAGGGCAGAGGACTAGAAATCACAAAACGGCGGTCTGACTGAGAGAGGCTATCGATAAGGTTCCTAAAATCTTTTTTGAGTAATTCTGACTGTTTAAAGCGGAGATCGTTTCCACCTACATGGATGCAGAGTGATGAGGCAGAGGGGTATCGTTCCAGTAACTCTGGGATTTTGGCGTCGATGGCCTTGACACTGGCACCCGGGTTGCAGCTGATTACAGTTGCGGGCAGAGTGATGTTACGTACCATTGAGGTGCAGACCACTAGTACTGAAGGAGGTGGAGGACTGGGTTTGGTCGGATGAGAGTGAGCCGCGTGCTTCCCTTGACGATGCGCAAAATGCGCGGACGCAGCCGTTGAGGATGTTGGTGGCGAAGATGGAGGGGCGCGCCGAGGCTCATCTGAATGCTGCTGCGGCGAAGGGAGCCGAGGAGGAGTGCATTGTGGCGCACCTGTCTGCCGAGGCGGAAGTGGTGGCGCCCGCCGCTCCGGTGTGGGGAGCGGGGGGGAAGTCCTGCTCGTCCAGAGGGCTGAAGCTGTTGGAAATAAGAATTCCAACACGGAACGACAGCGTGGAGGGGATTTCTTCTTCAGCCTGGTGTTGCTTTTTACCGGGATCCATGGACCAGGAGTGGAGTTACACAGTTTGGGGTTGGGACTAAAATAACCATGAGGCGCCTTGGGCTTAGCACCCTCCTGCAGCCAGCGGGCTTCGGCGCCTCTAGTTGGAGGCTGAGTCGCCGGGATGTTAGGATGAAGATCAGCCTCAAGTCGGACGGAGGGAGCGGTAGGGGGGGCCGGGGATGTCCCATGGAGTTGAGGGATGGCTCGGTGCAACCCGGATGGTGTCGTCAAACTTAGCTTCAGCAGCGGCACCAGTCGCTCCCGTCGTGACAATGAAAGATTCCAAGAACTTTTCTTCATCGCGGAGTTGGTAGAGGTTGGAGATGCGATCCTCCAGGTCTGAGATAGTTTGGCTCAGCTGGAGGCAGCGATCACATCTGGATGGTGAGGTGAGTGGGGGCATGGTTGGACAGGAGGTACCTGTTAGCTGTTAGCCGGATTTCAAACCGGCTCAGCTCAGAGCGGATCCCTCCACAGACAGAGCCCTGACCCGGACCCTTCGGCTTGGTTCGGCTGAAAACCGTTCCCCTCGGAAAAGTTGGTTGGCGGAGTCTGGTGGTGGCTGCTGCTGGTTCGGCTTAGCCTTATGGGACTTAGCCTTTCATGTGACTGTTGTTGTTCAGAGAGGTTTTCAAAGTTATCATCTGGACTTCTGTCTCTGTGGTCTGCACTTTTTACTTTTTACTTTACCTTTGTGAAATGATCAGTTTTGCAAACATGATAAAGTGCACTTGAATTTATATTATTTTGAAACCTCTTTCTCAGGTATTATAGTTTACCATTTATAGTCTACCATGCTACTATTTATTTTTTATTTAAAACTTGTGAGTGCAGCAGTCCATGTTGAAATTAAAGGTTTATTGAACTTAACTTGATTGTGATTTTCCCTTTTTGCATGCAAATTCCAATCCAACACAAAAATCTGCTGAAGTCATTATACTGGTGTTATTTTATGCATTTTATACATCAAAGGGTTGAATTTAATATTTATAGAGTGATTTAGAGGAGGAGGAGATGTTTTTGGCCATATCGTGCAGCCCTAAAGCACAGCTCTCTGAACACTGACACTGGAGAAAAGCGTGTTTGTGCAGATGGTACCTGTGTTGTGAGGAGCTCTGGGTGGACTGGTCAGTTTGGAGGCTAAAACAGTGAACTGATGTGTTCACCAGTCATTACAGCTCGGTGCTGCAGCCACCCCTCCTGTGTGTCCCTCACAGAAGACATGCTAACATGCTAAATTTAAGGTTCAGTTCATTGGCGGGTCTATCAGAGGACTGGTGTTTGCTGGAGGACAGCTGGAATTCACATATAAACTCTATGATCTTCATCTCTGTGTTGCTTTGTCCTGCAACTCCATTTGAACCTTGTCATCTCTCTAAAATGTCGTTGATCTCTCTGCAGCTCTGCTCAGTTAGGAGGATTTCCAGCTGCAGGAGGATGTTCAGCTGTAGGGTTTGCCTTGTTTTGCAGTCACATGTTGCATTAGTCTGTTTCACAGAAGAGGCCTGTTGCTGAAACTTTAAGGTAAATGTGTGATATTTGAGGAGCTTAGTGTGGATTTAGAAAGTATTTGTGAATGTCTCTCCATCAGCCCACACTCTTCATCACTCTACTTCTCTCCCTCTTTCTCTCACTCTGTCTTTCTGCTGTGGGTGTTCAGATTGTTCTCTGCCTCTTCAACAGGTTTATTCCTGTTGGACTGTGGGAGCAAACTGGCAGTGTGTTGATTACTCGCGTTTCAGGCTGGAGACCTCTTGTATTTAAAATCACATATCTATGATGAACCTTGTGTAACCCAGGTCACAAAATGACCAGATTAATAGTTTTAAGAAACAAAAAAAGAATTAAAACGTAAAAAGAATGAAAAGAATCAATCCAATTGATAATGTGTTGAAATAATTTACTGTAATTTTGTTTTAAAATGTATGCAATTTGTGACACTTTAAAGATCCTGTATTGTGCTCCTTTTCAGCAGGTTCACATAGGTCTCAGAGGTCCCAGAACAGTCAATTTGAAGTTTGGTGTCTAAAAACCCAGCAGCAGGACATTTCTGAATGGTTAGTTACAGATATTATGTGTCTCCATATTTTTCTTTTTACTTTGTTTGTGTGTTGGTACACAGTGACTTACATGTAGCTAGGTAACATTAGCTCCTGCTAGCGGTAACACCTCCGCTGTCTTCTTGTTACCTGGAGCTCTTTTGGTGAATGCGCAATATTGTAAGTATAATTATCTCTTGTGACTATGTTCTTGCAGTCTATGGAAACAGGCTTCTGTGCTGTTTCTTGCAGCCAACAACAGAGCAACTGCTGTGCTTTGCTTGTACCTTTGCCATTTTGAACCAGCATTTGCGAGGGAGAATAATAGTGTCTGAGTGAAAATTTTTGGGGGGCAGAAAAAACATCTTGGGCAAGGTCACCAACCTGGAGGGGAGGAGCTATCAGACAATTGGACTCGAGTCATAGGGACTCGGACTTGAATCGGCTCGAGTCACTAATTTAATGACTTGCAACTCGACTCGGACTTGTGGGAGGTAAAAATTTGAGACTCAGATTTAAAAGAAAGCTAAAAAACTCCCAGCTAACTCCAAATTATAGGACCCGACGATCATTATGTGTCAGGGGATCAAATTCTCTGGCGATTTTGTCAACATACTGTTGACTGGACCCATAGAGATATGCGTGAGGACCATAGACTGTATATACTATGGACAACTTGGTTCCGCCTTCCGCTTGTATACGGATTTGAAGCCAAATAGCTCTCTGTATTTCCAGGATTTTTCTTCATTTCCTGAAACCAGCGCTGCACAGTAGCGATGCGCGCATTAGGCTGCGCAGTCGCTGAGAGTTGCTGTGATGACGCTCGGCTCAAACAGCATATCCCCCGGGAGAGCTATGCGATCCCTGAACTCCCATAGGCTGTATCAGGTGTCAATCATAGAAAACATGAACCCCCTAATAACTTTTAAAAATGGAGCTGCACAGAAAAAAGAGGACTATTGAGTTTATTCAGTATTGCTATACCTTATTTCACTCTAATGTTACAGATGAACTTGTGCTAGGGCTGCACCTGCACGATATTCCAAAAAAAATAACATTGCATTTTTTTTCCAACCTTGCAATATAACTGCTGGTCAAAAGTTTGAGAACACCCCAGTTTGTCCAGTATTTTATTGAAATTCAAGCAGTTCAAGTCCAATTAACAGCTTGAAAGGATATGGTGAACTGCCAGAGGTAAGTAGAAAAAAGTTAAGGTTAATTGAAACTGAAAAAAAATCTACATCAGAATTATACAAAAAGGCCTTTTTCAGGAAACAAGAAATAAGTTAACAACAGCAGTTCTGCAGCAATGGAGGTTAATAAAGCCTTTCCTACAAGTGTCCCAACTTTTCTTGATCACTTACAACCCCCTCTGTCTGCATAAAAGTAGTGTTGGAACACACTGTGGTACCATACCGTTGTGAGCATTGTTTGAACAATAGTGTACTGCAGAAAGTAGTATGTTACTATTAAAATAAGCCTTGCCAAGGAAAAGGCAATTAACGATACAAGAGACACAGACCATCATAAGACTTAAAAGGTCTGTCCTCCAGAGAAATTGCCAAGAAAGTCAAGTTGTCATTGAGCACAGTTTCCTGTACCACCAAAAGGCATTAAGAGACTGCAGGGAATGCTGACAGGCAGAGGTCTGGCAGACCCAAAGCCACAACATCAGGGGAGTATTTGCGAAGCTGGCTGAAGAATGCTGGGCTATCGCTGGTAAGCGTGGCTTGAATAAGCGGCCACTTTAATCTTAGGTGAAACTTGTTCCACTAATGAGGCTCAGCTGTTTTTCAGAGTTGGAATTCTAGCCAGGCTGATCCAAGCTGCGGCTCAGCGCGCCTCCGCAGCACACAAAAAGCCAGACGTGTCGATTGTTGAAATGACAAAATCATGTCCAAATAAAGAGTGGAATCCTTTCCCTCAGCTGAGCAAAAACTCCTCATGAAGTTTTATGAGGACTACAGAGTGACCATCACAAAAAAGGGCAACACAGTTGCAGTTAACAAAGCTAGAGTTGCCGCATGGCAAAGCATTGCTGACTGTTTAAATGTGTAATTGTTTTTTTTTTATTTTTTATGAATCACTTAGCCTATGCATACACACACACTGGTCTGAAAATTAAGATGTTCAGAGAGAATGTTTTTGAACACTGATTAGGAATAACCCATAACTGCAATGATTGTCTATTTAATTTGTAATGTTTTTATGGGTAAAATAGACTTGACTTCTTTGTTTTTTGATAACAGGTTCCTCATCAATGAACTGGCATGCCATGGTTGTGGTAAAGGTGGTGCAAGAATACCCCGCTTATATAGACCTGTGTCAAATTAGCACTTATTGAGTTTCTACTGTGTTTGATGACCTTTTTTTCTCACCCTGAAACTCCTCACACTACTGTGGCCCAGAGCCAAGAGGAGATCATTAAGGTCCTGATGAAATTAAAGCTGTTAAAACTTGTTGATGAAGTTGATTTTTTTTTGTAGCAGAAAACAGGTGGCTGTTGTCTTTAATTTTTTTGATAAGACAATTTGTGCCTTAATTCTGTTATGTGTTGACTGTACTTTGAGGGTGACAGAAAAAAAGAAAGAAAATCAGATGTAACGGCGCAATGAATGGTACAGTTCACTGGCACTTCTCGCCCTGCACTCTGCCCACTCACCCACTGACTTCTCTGTAATTGTACAGGGTTGGTGTAGTATCTGACATGTCTAGGTTCCTGTATTTAATAAATCCTGTATTTACAAAAGGTCTCAATTTATGTTTCTGGACAACAACATCATTCATTACAGATGAAAATGAATTTAATGTGAGACATGAGTTTCACAAAGCTTCTTTCGGAAGCCCGTCGGACATTCTTGTAGACACAACTAAACTAAGCTTGACCGTAAGCCTGCCCGGGACCAGGCTTGTCGCACTGGCTGAGTTACCATGGTTACCAAGCTGTACTAGCTCTAAGCCTCGTAACTCTCACTAAAGTTAGCGAGACTAACCGAAATAAGCCAGGCTTTGAGCTAAGCCAGCTTCATGGAATACCCCCCAGCTCATTTTGCATTCCTTGTTGTTGTTACCGGCAGCACCAGCTACTCACTCGCAGGGGTGTGGTCTCCTCCTCCCTGATTTTGATTGGCGGCTGGTAGGGTAGTCTCCTTGGCAACTAAGTAAAGAACGAAAGTGATTGGTGGATTGCTGCACAGCACATGCAGAGTTGACATGCAGTGTGTATCGGTCAGCTACCCTGAAATTAGATGAGTTCATTTGCCTCCTACATTGCAGGCTCTGCAATGTGACTATTGCACACACGTTCATCGAGATGTTGATGCTTAAAAGATATATTGTGCAGCCCTAACTTGTGCTACACTCGGGTCCATTTTTCACCCTGCTGTGAGTCTCTGAGCTCAGACTGCAAAAAGGACAGATTTCTTTCCTTCACTGAAATTTCTGCACACATGGTTTCCATCACAGACAGTTGCCCCAGGGTCCCAAATATAGACAGAAATTTGCTTTTGGTTCAGGATTAGATAGTTTGTTGCCTTATTTTCAGACATTTTACAGCAAATGCACCAAAAATAAAGTTCATGCTGTTGGTCTGAGGAAAAACTTTTTCTGCATATAAACCTTGTTGTGCAGGCCAACCCTGAGGTGATATTTACAAAGTCTGAGTTGTCTGCCTTTGTGTTTCAAACTGCAATAAACCTGTGGTTCCTGTGGGAATCTCTTCTATGCTGTATGAGTGCCAGAGTGCCAAACACGGCTTTGCAAAGATTAGGGGAGCAGACTTAACAATTGCTCTTTAAAGTGGAAGTAATTGATTTAATGAGTCGTAGTGAGAATGAAAGCTTTGTTCAGCTCAGACTGGATCAGCCCAAACACTGCAACAGGCTGCAGCTTCTAACCAGCACTCATGACATCGTTATAGAGGAATCACAGTCAAAGCATCAGTGTGAAAGCCTCTGTGAATCTCTGTGCATCTCTGTGCATCTTTGTGCATGTCTTTGCATCTCTGTGTATCTCTGTGTATCATTTTGCATCTGTGTCTCTGTGAATCTCTGTGTATCTCTGTGCATCTCTGTGCATTGAGACCTGCAGAAAACCTGAGAGAAGCAGAGGCTGAGAGTTAACATTAACTCAAAGACAAAAGGTTTATGGCTTTTAGGAGTAAAATAACCAGATTTGACACAGAAACTTGCTCCAGTTGAAAGAGCAGTTCAGAAACACCAGAGCAAGTGGAGATGCTTCAGACAGAGTCTGCCATGAGGAGCTGAGGTTAGGTTAACATTTGGGATGCCCTGAAATGAAAATTCTTGGCTGAATCCGAAAAATGGAAAACTAGTAAACCAAGGTCGAAGACCGAAACACTGAAAGAACTGATTATGCCAATTATTAGTACCATTGCATTACTGTCTTTGACTGTGTACTAACCTCACTGAAATTAAGGCATTGCAATTGCATAAATTAATATTAATAAATATTAATTATAGAATTAATATTTTATGCAATTACAACAGTTTGTGAGTCAGTGTGTTGAGACATGTTGCGGCAAACAGACAGAACCCTGTCTGTTTGTGAAGTAAGTGTTGGTGTGAATCAGTCTTCAGGTTCAGTCAGACTATAGTCTGTAGTAACCGGTGCTGTGTCTAACTTATGGACACAGCACAGGTGTGAGAAATGCTCAATAATCCCAGTTTTGCGAGATAAAGTGAAAAACCTCTCTGTCTGAAGGTCCTGGAGTTTGAGGATTCAGATCAGCCCCAAGTTTTGTTTTACCTGGAGGTCAAATAGATCAAATTCAATCTGAGTCTGACACATGAGCTGTGGATGAAGACGGATAAAGAGCCCGCTCCTAAAGAAACATCACAGCAGGTGATTACAGTGAACAGTGTCTCATTACATCTAGTGGTGAGCAACTGTTGCCATGGAAATGCACAACTTTCAGCTGCAGCATAGAAATAGAGGGTGTGATCAAACTGAAGGGACAGTATTTTATAGTTTATCAGTTATTTTATAAAGTCAGGGCTCAGCTGTGTGTAGTTTGAAGATAGCTGCTGCATGCTCAGTTCTCATATATGGAACATGTCAGACCTGAATGACATCATGCACTTCCTCATTGTCCAGGATTTATGACGGATTCTAAACAGCTGCTGAATAATGAAGTTTGTGAAAGACTTTGTGTCCTCTGCTGTCTCTGAACACAGTCACATATAAACAGCAGCAGATTGGATTTAAATCTGAAAACAGACTGGAGATCCAAATGATGAACAGAGTAAATGTGTGATTAAAGTCGTGGTTACCTTACATGCTATCAGTGTGTTGGTATTTTGTACACCTCCAGGCCACGTCAGCCCTTCTGACTTCTCAGGAAGGCTGAAAGGACAGGGTCTGGAAGGGACCGTCCATGACAGACAGGGAACAGAGGCTCTGTACTGAGAGACTCCGTATGTGATACTCTGATGGTTTAGTTGTGTGTCTTACTGTACAAAACCTCACAGATGCAAACATCCTTAGGCATCAGTCAGTGAAATGAAGACAGAGTTGATTTAAAGCTGGAACTCTGCACAGGACCTGGTCCCTGAGGTTTAACAGCACTGATCTATTACAGTTTAAAAGGTGGGGTAGGCAGGATCTGAGGAAGTGCCAGTTTTGGGGAGAAATCTTGAATGTAAACTCTACCCCTCCCAACCAGTTTTCCCCTCAGCTCCTCCTCTCCCCTCCGTCTCTGCTCCAGCAACCCAACCCACAAACGAACGCTCCTGCTCGCTTGTATTGTTTCAAGTAAGTTCAGATATAATGCAGATAAATACTTCAGATAATTACAAATGGAGCCCAGTCAGCATGAAAGCATTGGTGCTACTGTAGATGCCAAAAGACTACCAGCAAACACAGTGTTTGCAGGACTTCTACAACTAGGAAAAAGTGATATAATCCAGGACCCGAGCTAAACAGTTTAGTGGTGCTACAACACGCAGCAGGTCCAGTTCGACAAGAAACACTTATGTTACACTTGGCTTACTTTGTTAAAGCAGTTTACCTGTCCCGCAGAAAGGTTACAGGGTCTGTAAGATCCTGAACGTTCCCCATCATTGTTGACCTGGCTTCTTAGCTCTTGTCCGGGTGGTCTACCTCTTTTCTAAGCACCTGTTATTCGTTTTCTTGCTTGTGTTGGCAGTTGTGGCTAAAGGAGGATTCAGAGAATTTCCGTACTTTCTGGTTGGTTTCTACTGTCTGATTTTGTAGCATGCTAACTTTGTTTGGGCTCCTGAACAACACAGAGGAGCAGCGTCTGCCTCACAACCAATCGGCACTAAGGAGCAGCGTCCGCCTCACAACTAAACATTATGGGGGAGGCAGGGAATGGCTTTGTTTACAGTCAGAAAGAGTGGAGTACTCTGAAATTTTCAAATGTTACTACACAGCGATATTGTGATTTTACCAAATGTCAAGAATGACTAATAGCTATTGACTGATATTAAAAGCTTTTCGTATATACACCACAAAAAAAGATTCCTGCTGACCCCACCTTTGACTCCTAACTAGGTCCTAACCCTGAAAAAGTTGAAATGGGTTTTCAACTAAACTTTACAGATGTAATTTTTGCAGACCTTACAGTCATGGTAGGTGTGGTTCTCCTTTTTATGAAGTAATATTTGGAGGTGATATCGGTGATGTTTCAGATGTTGTCCTGACTCCAGATCTGCAGCCCTGCAGGGCTCTGACTCCAGCACTTATGGTATCCTGTTACGGGGTCATGAAACTGCCTGTTAATCAGCTGCACAGTCATGTTTGGACTCTTAGAAAGAAAGATACATGTTAGTGTCCCAGTCAGGATTTAGGGGACTGACATGGCCAAAGAAGTCTGTAAGTGTCTGCTCCATCAGGATTGGTCAAGTGACTGCAGGACTCTAAGCTCTCAGAAGAAATCTGTACTCTGTGCAAGACTGTGCTCTGTGAGGGACTCCGTGATGTTTAAAGGACTTTTTGCTCTGTGCAGGATTTACGGATGGGAATTGATAAGATTTTATCTATCAATGCCATTATCGAGTCTCCTTATTGATTCAATTCTATTACGATTCACTTATCAATGTCTTTCTTTGATTTAAAAAAAAAACGTAGCCTATAGGTTTTCACCATGAACTCAAAAATTTATTGAGTCTCTGATAACAGAAAAGATGTATGCCACCTTCAGTGAGAGTCTAAAAATAATCAAACGGCAAACTATTTGTACACCATTTACTTTAGTAGGTATTAACTCAAATAAGTAATACGTTGTTAAGTCTGGCATGAATTGTGCTTATGTTAACAAAGGACATATGTTAGGGCGACCATATTCTGAATCCCCAAAAAGAGAATACTTGAAAGCACTTAAAGTGGATGCACTACACAGTCTGCGAAATTTTGAGGGTTTTTGGGTCGGGTCGAGTATTTTTTTCTGCGCTTCTGTGCTAACTTAGTTAAATGCATATTCTGAATTCCCAAAAACAGTGCGTGTGTGTGTCGCGTCAGTGGCTTTGGTTAGAAGTGAGCGAAGGGACAGAGCTGCAGAGAGCACTGGCGCGCTGCAGTGTTTTATAATAAATAAATACCTGTTCTGGACATTTGAAGGATTTTATAAATTCCCCCCAGACAGCCCCCAAAAAAGGACATCCGGGTAAAAGAGGACTTATGTTTACCTGTGCTGAGATGGAGCTGCAGCAGCTGATGACCAGTGGAGGGCATTGAATACAATGTTGCATGCATGTTATCACTGCTTGACAAACGTTGCACTGTTGTCGTCTTTCTTAGTAATATAAAGCCATGCTTAGATCATATCTGCCTACTTTTCGTAGCATCCACCATGTTTTTTTTTTTCTGTCTCTGTTCTCGTTCGCGTAGACTGGCTCTCGCAAGACCATTTTTCAAGGGACCCGAAAGAAAGAATTGTTAAGGGAATCGTTAAGATAAAATGTAAATGATGTCGATAGATTGAACCATTCGGAACCAGCTCTCAACAAGAACCGGTTCCGAATGGTTCAATCTTGATTCCCATTCCTGGCAGGACTCTGCACTGTCTGAAGGACCCTGCGCTCCCTGCAGGACTCTGTGCTGTCTGAAAGACTTTGTGCTGTCTGAAAGACCCTGCTCTTTCCGCAGGACTCTGTGCTGTCTGAAGGACTCTGTGGGTTGTGCAGGAGTCTTTGCAGATTCTCTCTGCATGCATGTTAGTTGCACAAAGACTTCATCTCTAACTTTGACCTCTGCCAGCTTCTCCAAACCATGCAGAAGTTTCAAAGCCTCTGTCCTGATCCTCTGTGACACTCTGAGACAAGCCAGAGCTGCCTTGAGCCTGAGCATGAGAGATTGAGGGGAGTGAGTGATTCAAAGCAATGGCCCCAAGGCTGTTACATAATTCAGAGCAGCCCCCTCTGCAGCACAGCACCTAGTCCCTGAGAGCGAGATCCCTACACCACACTGCCCACTCAGATAACACACAGACAGAAACACAGAGACACACAAAATACACACACACGGACACACAGCTGACACACTCACAGAGCAGACACACACACACACACACACACACACACACACACACACACACACACACACACACTGCCCACACACAGACACACACACTCACAGCTTTTCCACAGACCCACTCTGCCTCCCACCTTCATGCAGGGTTCTGTCAGAGCTGTTGTTCAGTTTGATCTGCTTTTTTTTTTTTTTTAACTAGACTCATTAAAACCTTTAAAATTGTAGGATCATGTTTTCTTGGTGCCCACTCATTGATGTTATGATAACACCATCAGAATCAGGACACTCTGTAAATGTGGATAAATGCAGAAACATGTTTAAGTAAAAAGTACTTCCTGGCTCATGTTTCTCATCCTGTGTCCTCAGCTCTCTGCAGACCTCAGTGAACCCAGCAGACCAGGTTCTTGAGTCTGAGGGCTCTATTTTCGTAAGTCAGGCCCGTTGTGCCAATGAGGCGTGCCCAAGCACTCTTTGGTATTTTGGTGAGTGGCGCAGCCCAGCGTAAGTACCCCCCCTCCTTAGTAGTGCTAAACGATTTTGGAAAATAATCTTACTGCGATTTAATTTAATGTGATTATTTTTTGAAGGTCCTCTTCTAATGTATTTTTTAACAAACACAAACAATAAATTAATTTGTATTATTGTAAACAATATCAGATTAATTATGCATAAATTGTTCTGGTAATTATCATTTCACAGACTCTCACTGCTCACGCACTATTGTGCATACACATGCGCATGCCCTCATATACAACAACAATATACAACAACCCTTCTAAATTTTGGAAAATGATTAAATCACTGTCTTCAGGGTCAAAGGATACTGTGCTGCCAAATACATTAAAGTTGAATGATGAGACCATTACAGACGAGAAAAGTTTGCTAGATTCTTTGAACCAGCGCTTTATATCTTCTGGGTTGTTTGAGCAGGACATACCACAAGTCAACAGGATCACTCATTGTCTGGGGAAAATCTACCTTTTGATTTTGATCTTGCACCTTTGTCTAGAGATGAGGTATATGATGCTCTCTTAAGGTTAAATGCCAAGAAATCCCCCGGTCCTGATGGGTTGGGTCCTTTATTTTTAAAACTTGCTGCTGAGCATATTGCAGACCCCTTGACTTATGTTTTCAATCAGACTATAGAAACTGGGATAATACCTAGCATTTGGAAGTCAGCATATGTCACTCCTTTACTAAAGGGTGGTGACCGGTCTAATCCCAATAATTATAGGCCGATATCCAAATTACCTGTTTTGGCCAAGGTCTTGGAAGGGCTTATAAGTGATCAGCTGAAAAATTTCTTGACATCAAATAGCATTTTAAATGAATTACAGTCTGGTTTCCGTAAAAAACACAGCACAGTCACTGCCACGATGAAAGTGTTAAATGATTTCATTTGTTCTATTGACTCTAAAAAATATTGTGTTGCTTTGTTCCTAGATCTGTCAAAGGCTTTTGACACGGTCGACCACTCTGTCTTGTCCCAGAGATTGGAGGTTATTGGAATGTCTTCTAATGCGGTGAAATGGTTTGCTAACTACTTGAGTGGAAGAACACAAAGGGTTCAGGTTGATGGTTTGTGTTCCAACTCCTTGTCTATTCGAAACGGTGTCCCTCAGGGGTTTATACTGGGTCCTATTTTATTTATTGTTTATATTAATGCATTATGTCAAAATGTAACTGATGCCAATTTCCATTTCTATGCAGATGACACCGTTATGTATTGTTCGGCTCCATCATTAGCTAGTGCAACAGAATATCTGCAGTCTGCTTTTAATGTTATTCAGAAAAATCTCTATCAATTAAGACTTATACTCAATACTGACAAGACTAAAATGATGTGCTTTTCAAAATCATTGAAATCAGATGACGTCTATCAGATTGTTACTCTAAATGAGAAATTAGTTGAACGAGTTTCTGTCTACAAATACCTGGGATTTCACTTGGAAGAAAATTTGTCCTTTAGGCACCATATTGAATGTCTTACAAAGAAACTCCGGGTGGAACTGGGTTTCTTCTATAGAAACAAGGGTTGTTTCTCCTTTGGTGCAAGAAAAAGGCTTATACAGGCAACGTTTTTATCCAGACTTGATTATGGTGACTTCTTATACATGCATGCAAATCTCTCTTCTTTAAAAATGCTGGACTCAGTGTATCATGTGGCATTAAGATTTGTAACTGGCTTAGATTTTTGTACTTATCACTGCAGCTTATATGAGAGTGTTGGTTGGTCCTCTCTGCAAAATTGTAGATTGGAACATTGGTATATCTTTCTTTACAAGGCCATTCTAGGTGACTTGCCCTCTTACCTATGTTCCCTCTTAACTCCCAAAATCACCAACAGGAGTAATCTCCGGACAGATCATGTACGCTATTCCTCGGACAAGGACGGTTTTTGGCGAAAGCGCTTTCAAGGCTTTTGCACCCTCCTCCTGGTGTAATTTACAGGGTTATTTTAAATTGGATTATCTGCCAAGTATGGAACATTTTAAATCTAGAATTAAGGAGTTTTTCGTCCTCTTACTGAACGCTTTATTTTATTATTATTTATTTATTGTTGCGTTTTGCATACTGTAACTGTTTTGTTTTTCTGCGTGGTTTTTTTATTTATGTGGAAGTTCTTGTGCTGCTATCCTGGCCAGGACTCCCTTGTAAAAGAGATTCTGAATCTCAATGGGTTTATTTCCTGGTTAAATAAAGGTTACTAACTATACGTCATGATACTCATCTACGTACCGATGGTGAGATGTAATTGGTGCCCAAAACAGTGGAGTCTGGTCTATTCATTCAGCTGTGCTGTCATTGCCTTATTGGATGCATTTTCCATCGTTATGCCGACGTGGTTTGAATTTGAAGTGCTGATTGCTGGTGTTTTAGCCATTCAACTATCGTACATAGCTCTGTTGCATTTTTTAAATGTCCATAAAGGTTCCTAGTGTTACCTACTGATGTAGCAATGACAGGTTCTGCACACGTTGCGTAGCAGCATCTTTTTTTAGCCAAAAAGAGACCAGATTACATGACCAGTCAAAATCACTGCCTTTGTGGTTAGGTTATCATATTGCAATGTAATCGCAAATGCAACTAATTGTTCAGCCCTACTCCCTAACTTAGCTCCTCCCAGCGGCACAAGTAGGAAAGAGGGAGCGGAGAAGGCATGGAGTAGATTTAACACAGCCAATGGGTTGTGTGCACAGATCAGAACAACAAATGCAATGCGTAATGGCATTAAAACCGGAACTAGGCATCACGCTCCATGGCCTGGCTCTTTCTTCTAATGTTGGCATATAAAGTGAACATGGCTCACGCAATTAAATATTGTAATATTCAAATGTAGGCCTAACTCCAGATTGAAAATTCACAGAATTTTAAGGATGTGAAAACATTAGATAAACGTGTTATTTAGGATGAAAGTTTCTTTTATTGTTTTGTTTAAATTTTAGAAGTAAATCTGATCACTAAGATAAATCATCTGGTCAGCCTCGGCAGCCCTGCTGCAGCAGGAGGATGGGGGGAGGACACGGATACGTGTCTAGGTTTGGCCGTGCGAGGAAGAAGAGGAAGTGGAAGAGAGAAAATATACCTTGTTAACTCCATCATGTGTGACTATTTATTGGATATTTGATTGAATGTGGTTTCAGCTGTATTAATTTGGTCAAGTTGAGTGTCCAAAAGCGTGCCAAATGCACTCATCAGATAAAATACAGATTAGAATACATCGATACAGATGTATGTGCTGACTCAGATAATTGCACTGAATATTGGTTGTTGTTGATTACTTATTGCATTGAAATGTGCCTGACACTGTGGAAACCTGCCTGTGAAGCATAGGTGACGTGTGTGCACTGCTGCACTGGTCTACCAAAATACCACTAGACCAGCTGCGCTCCACCAGCTCCACGAAAGCTGACCAGGTTTGAATCTGTGAGCTTTCAGCGCAGTTTCTATGCAGCTGGTAGGCACAGGAATGTCACCATGCCAGCTGATTTTGTCTACACTTCCCCCTACTACGCCGCCACGCCCAGCTTGGTGCATCTTGGTGCGCCTCAGTCTACCAAAATGCCGAACTGGCTGTGCTGCGCTAAAACACTTCTGTGTCTGGTGTGCCACTGGCGGGCATGAAAATAGAGCCCTGAGAGTCAGATCTTGTCCCATTCTCCTCTGATCAAGGATTTCACCTGCTCAACAGTTCAGGGTCTCCTTTGTCCTGTTTTTGGTGTCATGATGCTCCAAATGTTTTCAAAGGGGGACAAGTCAGGACTGCAGGCATTCCAGTTTATCAATCAATCAATCACTTTATTTATAAAGCACTTTTCATACATGGCTTGTATCACAAAGTGCTGTACACAGGGGATATAAAATTAAAGAAAACTACATATAATACAAACTGCAAAAAAGCCCACCCACCCACCAAGCCTAAATTTAACAGAGACACCCCCCCCCCCCCCCCCAATAAAAGAACCTTAAAATCTATTGTAAAAGATACAGGAAGCCAATGCAGAGCCTTTAAAATTGGTGTAATGTGGGCTGTCCTCCTGGTCTTCGTCAGCATGCGTGCAGCCAAATTTTTGCAGCAGCTGAAGCTGTGAAATGTTATTTTTAGGAAGACCAGAGAGGAGAGCATTACAATAATCAATTCTGCAGTTAATAAAAGCATGGATGAGAGTCTCCGCATTGGCTTGAGAGAGAAACTGGCTGACTCTGGAGATGTTCTTAAGGTGAGAAAAAGCCTTTTTGATTATATCACGTATGTGTAATGCAAATCTGAGATTAAAATCAAATATAACACCCAGGTTTTTCACTTGTTTTGATTAAAAGACAGTCCTCGGAGTTTGTTCTCCAGTTTCTCTCTCTCTGGACCTATACCGATGACTAAAACCTGGGTTTTGTCCTGGTTGAGCTGCAAGATGCTGTCTGCCATCCAGGACTGGACGTCTAAAATACAGTTAAAAAGGGCATCAATGGGCCCTGTGTCATCAGGAGACACGGCCAGGTAGAGCTGTGTATCATCAGCATAGCTGTGAAAGTTCATGTCATGTCTCCTGATGACATCTCCTAATGGTAACATATATAGATTAAAAAGTGTGGGGCCTAAAATTGAGCCCTGGAGAACGCCACACTCCATTTCATAGGTTCTTGATAGGCGTTCCCCAGTGCTAACGTAAAATTTCCTGTCATTCAGATATGTTTTAAACCAGCTAAAAACAGTACCAGAGATGCCAATGTAGTTTTGGAGTCTGTTTAAAAGAATTGTATGATCCACCGTGTCAAAAGCTGCACTCAGGTCCAACAGGACTAAAACAGAAATTAATCTTTCATCCATGTTGGACCTGAGGTCACTTACAATCTTGACCAGTACTGTACTTCCTAAAACCAGACTGAAATATGTCACCAATATTTTTAGAAATAATCAAATCATTTCACTGGTTAAAAACAATCTATTCTAAAATGTTGCTTAAAAATGGCAGGTTGGACACAGGTCTGTAATTACTAGGTACCGCTGTATCCAAGTTGTCTCTCTTCAGAAGGGGCCTGACACAGGCTGTCTTAAAGGCAGTGGGAAAGACCCCTGTCTGAAGAGAATAGTTAACAATATTAATTAGGTCATCCTTAAAAACACTAAAAGAGGTCTTAAAAAGGGATGTGGGGATGGGATCTAAAACACAAGTCACTGGTCTCAGATGGGAGACAACTTCCTCAATCTCTGCAGCATCAACCAGGGCAAACCTGTCCAGTGTTTCCCCATTTAAAAACACAGACTCAGGAGAGCTAAAATCATCAGGCTTACTGTTTAAAAAGTTTGACCTGATAACATCAATTTTATTTCTGAAGTGGACTGCAAGGTCTTCACAGGATAAATCTGAATTAAAAGGTTGCTTAAAAACAGGATTTGTTAATTGGTCAATGGTTGAGAAAAGGATTTGGGGTTTTTTGCAGTTGTCAGTTATTCATTTTGAAAAGTGGTCCTGTCTTGCCTGTTTTACTGCTCTGTTGTAAGTGGTGATTTGTTCCCGAAAACTCTTTTCTCCATCTCCTCTCTGCAATTCTGCATTTTCTCTTTAATTTGAGAACCTTGCTTGTTCTCCATGGTGGTTTTATGTTTTGTTTGATCTTTTTCACCTTTAATGGTGCAACAACATCTAGTGCTGACTTAAGTCTTTGGTTTAAATGGTCAACAATAAAATCACAAGCAGAGGGTAAAACAGCCTTTGGAGCATCACTTAAAATCCAACTAAAATTAGCAGCCACTTCAGAAGTAAGATAGTGTTTCCTGACAGTACGCTCTGGGCCCCCTGCTGGATAAAATCCATTACGTTAAAAAACACACAGTGATGGTCGGAAAAGCCCACATCCACAACAGAGGACACAGTGGCTGATAACCCAAAGGTTATTAAAAGATCCAGTATATTTCCTCTGTTGTGGGTGGAGCTCGTTACATGCTGCTTAAAATCCATAAAATTAATAAGATTTAAAATTCAGAGTTAAAAGAGTCAGATGGATTACCAACATGAATATTAAAATCCCCTACCATTATGATTTTGTTGTACTTTGAATAAATGATTGATAATAGTTCTGAAAATTCACTGATAAAAGCAGAGCATTTTTGGGTGGCCTGTAAACAGTTAAACAAAATATAGGGGGACTGCTAAAAACAAAGGAATAATACTCAGATGAAACAAAATCACCAAATAAAACCTCTTTAAAACCATGTGAACCTAAAAGAATTGTCGCAGTCCCCCCACCCCGTCTGCCCTTTCTAAAAGAATATAAATAATTAAAACCGGCCGGGGATGCTTCATTTAGTGCTGCGAGTCCATCAGAGCCAAGCTATGTCTCAGTTAAAAACATAAAATCAATACTGATATCTAAAATCATGTCATTGATTAAAAGACAGCGTACATTTAAAAGTGCCATGTTGAGTTTTCACTCTGGTGTTTGTGGGGGCTGGGGGCTCTTTTTATGTTGTAATGATTGGGTCCGGAGTATGGTTTTATGGTGTGAGCATAGACTGTATATACTATGGACAACTTGGTTCCGCCTTCCGCCTGTATACGGATTTGAAGCCAAAAAGCTCTCTGTATTTCTGGGATTTTTCTTCATTTCCTGAAATCAGCGCTGCGCAGTAGCAATGTGCACATTCGGCTGCGCAGTCGCAGAGAGTCGCTGTGATGACGCTCGGCTCAAACAGCGTGTCAATCATAGCCAACATGAACCCCCTAATAACTTTTAAAAACGGAGCTTCACAGAAAAAAGAGGACTTGAGCACAAACCAGTCTTAAAATAGCTATATGTCAACATCACAAGTAAGGGGGAGAAAAAATTATGTTCTGTGTAATAAATTTCTAAAGTTTGTCCACAGCTCCATAAGCTTTGCTGGCGGAGGCGGGATTTATGACCTCTACTGCAGCCCATCAACAGAGGGTGCTGTTCTCGGAGTGGCTTCACCCAGCGAGGAGGCAGACTCTGTCCATTCTATATACAGTCTATGGGTGTGAGGTCTGGTGTTGGTGATCACCGTGGCTTGGTGGCTTCGGTGGTGATGTTGCAGACTGTGGCGCCGGGAAAACAGCACGTTCGTGCCGAGCGGGATCTGACATGAGGGATAGTAGAATCTCCTATCACCAGAGTTGACGGCTACTGACGCTGTGGCTCACCTGGCAGAGGGGGGCTCCTTCCCCTGGATGATGTGAGCTATGGTGGTGCGCGGTGTGCCGCTGCTCCAGCGTGGTGTGACTCTCTGTTGGGTCTAAAACCTGCCCAAATACCTGAAAACATATAAAAAAGGAGAAAGACAATGGAATATACTCGAGGAGAATGGACAGAGATCTTTCTTTCAGTTATCTCAATATCACTCTAAGGGTTCTTTCTCTGTCCGGCCTCTTTTATTTAGGGTTGTCCCTGGTTACACAATGTTTCTAAAAGGTGGGGGAAAATTGTGCAGCAAAGTAAGCACTCTCATAAAGCATAATAATGAACAACTTGTGAATATGTGAAGGTCAAGGCGGCATCTAACAAGCTCCTTCTGATAAGGGTATCCTCCCCAAAACCTTCCCACGATTCATCCGTGGAGGATACATCACTCACACACCCACACCTGCTGATAGGAAAGACACGGTCACAGAAAACTGAAAGAAACATTGTTGTGCTGTGTAGTAAATCTATTGGAGAGAGAAGTTAGGAAACACTCTTTTATGATAAAAATACTCTTATATAATGTATAAAAAGAGGTCAAAGCAGTTTATACTTGTAGTATAAACTCTTACATAAGAATATGAGGAATAATGATAACTTTTATATACATTTATGCACATTATTCTAACACTCTCCTCCAGCGCGGTGTGAGGCTCCTGCCTTGTGGTGTGCCGCTGCTCCTGAGTGCGGACCCTGCACTCTGCACTCAGTCTGTCAGTTGCATGTACGGTCAGTTAACTTTATAATGCGGCACAAATAAAGGTGTCAAATTTAGTGTCAGAGCCAGACAGACTATAAGACACTTACCAAATAACAAAAAACAGAGGGATGCTCACTTCAAAACTTTTAAAAAGAGCTCAGATTCCGGCATGATCTGTCGTTAGCTGAAACAGCATGTGATGTCATTAAACGGTGCTTGACCGGCTTGATGCCACCTGTCCTGTTATCACCAGGACTCTTCTCCTACAGAGCCATGCTGTTGTAATCCCTGTTGTCAGAACGTGGTTTGTCATTGTCTTGCTGAAATATAAAGGTCTTCCCTGAAAAAGTCTTTGTTGGGAAGGCAGTAGATCATAAAACTAACTTTGGGTCAAACACACCGTAACACAGAGTTGGACACCCCCTCAGAAGATGAATGTTACCGCCTGCTGTCTTCTCTAGATATACCAAATTTAGTACATTTAGAAGGCCCTGACGAGTCGATCTCCGAGTGCAGCAGAGTTTTGCAGCTCAAGGAAGAACATTTATGATTATTACTTCAAGGAAATGCAATCACAGTTCTTGTGTGTCTTGTATGTCAGTTTATAATTGTTATTATCGAGTGCTGGCCAGGAAATGAGCACTGATGAGCATTTTTAACTTTACATATTTGCAGGGGAAACTAACGTAAACAAATGCAAGATTTCGCATGAAGTCAAATGCTATTGTTTATCTCATGAAGAGTGAGGAGACAGCATGAATGTGAAGAGAAATTAGTTACAACTGAATACCTGAGGCGGAGGAGGACACAATGGTCGATGTATGTGATTATCCAGGTTGCAGAAAGAAGCAAAAGTAGTATCATTTAGACTCATTTCACAGATTGCCGCTTCAATACGGCCAGACTATAGTGAACCTGTGGCTAGTTGTTTTGAACATAAATGTCAACACACCAACCGAGACGCTAAGGCAGAATAACTACCACGACTGCAGTGCATTATTCAACCAAGACGACTCTTTGCTGTCTAAAAGAGCTGTCGACCCAAAGAACCCATCCAAATCAGGGCTCCCCCCACAAACAAGCGGCTGCTGGAGGAAAGTGGGTGAGTTGTGTTTGGTTTCTTTGCTAAAGAAACCAGGCAAAGTTAAAAAGATGTTTGGTGGCTAGTACTATGGCAAGGTCCCTATACTGTATGTCCTGTTGATGAAGTTAGGTGCTGTTCTGAGTATTATTTGTGGCTCTAGAGTGGCTTTTTGGTTGAGGTGTGCATGTGGAGCCACAGACCACTGTGTATTGCTATCGTGCGGTCGTTACTAAAGTTGGTAAAACTAGAGGATCAAGCAGTCGGCAACATTCATCTCTCTAGGGGGTGTCTAACTCGGTGTTGCCGTGTGTTTGACCCCAAGTTAATTTACGCTGTAATATCCCTTTAATGGAGCCTTCACAGATGTGGAAGACACCCAAGACATGGACTCTGATGATCCCCATACCATCAGGGATCCTGAATTTGGACTGGGAGCTGAGAACAAGCTGATTTCCTTATTATTTTATTCTCAGGAACGTTATTCTGGAATAAATCACATTATTCCCCTAAACCATGATTGACTGTCCAAGGATCTTTGTGGAGTTTCGGGGGCTTTTGTCTTGTGTATTTTAGATTCTGGGTTTTTGTCCTCCTGATGCAGTGCTCACATGTCCACACGCTCCTTTATGAAAACATGAAATGAGAAATTTGGAGCCCTGGTGATCTGGATCTCAGACTGACATAGAACAAAGTAAACAGGAGTCCTCAGGGGTCTGGGCTGTGTTTGGTGGTCTCCAGGTTACCATTTGTTTGAGCTGTAAGGTTAGGTTAATCCCCAGGTTAGGAAACTCTCAGCTGATTAACAAAAAGTTTCTATTTAAAAAGTTTCTGTCTGAAAACACAGAAAGCTTTAAAAACGGTGCCAGGAGTTAGTCAGTGGTGGCAGCTCAGATCTGAGTGTACCAGCCTCAATCTGACCCTCAGCTGTAAAGGTCTTCAGTCCTCTCACTGTTAAAAGACTAATATGACATAGATCTGCCTGTCCATATTATTCAAATTATAACCTTTGACCCTTCAGCTATCTCTGCTTCCTGTGTGGCCTCCAAACTTGTACCTGCAGTTTTGGGCTCCTCAGCATCAGCTTGGTTCATCTAGACCGTAGATTGCAGTGCCCCTCTCAGACTGCTCAGCTATCTCTTGTTTGTGGTCTTGAGTGTGATTACAGACTTTGTGGTGCAATAAAAACTGCAAATGCAACTAACCATCAACCCCAGGACCAAACTCGACTGACCCTGTGATCAGCAGAAGACAAAATGTTTGTTAGACTGTCGGAAGGTTAATGTGCATCACCCCAGTAAGCAGTTATGATAGTTTAGGATCCTGGATCAGTGCCTTAAAGAGCAGGAGCCCTATGTGCTTTTTAAAGACAAATAGAGGCAGGAGGTGTGGAGGATCCCCATAAACCTCTGGGCTGAATAGGCGCTGCAACGTGCCAGCAGAGTCCAGACAGGCCAAACACAGAGCCCGGTGGACTCTGTCTGCAAACAGCAGCAATAGCTCACCTCTGCTGCTGGCTGTCTGACAGTCCAAATCCTGAGCCCAGACCCTCCACCTCCAAGATATAGCTGCTTTATCTAGAGGTTAGAGGAGGAGTAGTCGGAAACAAGCAAACACTGTAGAGGAGCTGTAGACTGAGAGGGAAAGGTGAGACCACCCTGACTCAGTTAGTAAAACTAACCGGAGCTCTGAAACATGTCAACACAGTCTTCCATTATTCAACCATCGCAGCACACACAGCACAGTATTCCTAAAAATCAGACAAGTGCTCCTTCTGTGGACTCCAAGCTGCTTTAGTCTCTTTAACCCTTATTTATCCTTCATTTAAATGACGCCGTGGACTTTTCCTCATGTCCAGTGCTGTGCAGAGCTGCTGGTAGTGTTTGCCTCAAGTTTCAGCACCTTCACTATTCTTTGTGGTTGACCTCTGCAGGTCTTTGGTGAGATACTTAGAGAAACAGCTTGTGGTCTTTTTAACTCAGTTAAAATTAGCCTGTCAATGCTTCCTCCAGTGTCAGCCTGAAGTTCTCTATTTATGTCCTCCTGAATCTTTCTGAGGTGACGGTTTGCTGCGTGGTTTCTCATGTCGTAGTTTTTGAATGATCCTCATTTGTGTATTTCCAGTGTGTTCCAGCAGCAGGTGTTTTTTTCTTTGCAGTGTTTCTACTGATGCTTCTTTATACTTTTATGCAGTTTAAGCTTGTGTTGTTTTTTGGCCTTTTTCTCTTAATGACGAATGTGGAACAGGTGCAGATCATCCACCCTCATTAGTCCGTGGTAGGCACAGAGAAAACCCTCAAAGAAAACCACAGGTGGAGTCTTACTGTGTTATTGAGCAGGTAAAGGTGTAAGACCTGCTAAGGGACTGATGAAGCTTTAACGATCACAGAGTATGACCTGTGGCAGTGATGATATGGCACAGATACATTTGTTATAATCAGTTAGAATCTGCTGTTGTTGAATTTAAGGGTCTTTAGGACTTGATTTCAATAATGAGTAAGTATTTATTTCATCCTAAGAGCAGCTAACCCTCCTCCTCAGGCAAACAGCAGTTAGTATAATGAAAGCAGGATATGAGCTGCTGCAGAGCTCCATAAGCAGGTTATCTCGCAGAGAAGGATTCAGCATCAGCCTGCAGAAGATTTTCTTTTCTCCATAACACTTTGCATGCCATCAAATTTGTTTAAACAAAGCAGCTGCTGGTCTCCGAAGTCGGTCAGAGAGTCTCTTAGCTGCAGATTCACAGCTCTGATTTTGGTAAATGAGCTGCAGATTCAGGTCAGAACAGCCTCGTGAGCTAATTTATTAAAGGGGTCAAATATGAGCTTTTTGATCCAGAGTTGGTCAGAGACTCAGAGCTCAGTTTATGGTTCAGTCTTGCAGAGTTATTTGGTTCTTCTCTGTCTGATGTTTGTCCTCTCCATTCAGCCTCTCAGATTTTAGTTTTCCTCATCAATCAGATGTTTCTCAAAGACTCTCTCTGCTGACAGCCTTCATTCCCTTCACAAATCAGCAGAGGTTTTACTGTGAACCACCACCTAAAGGTGTTTCCTCCTGCTGTTTAAAACTATTTTAGTCTGTGTTTTGATTTTTAATCACAGGGTTCAAGCAGCCCTGTGGAAACCTCCTGCTGGTGTTGCTGCTTTCTTTGAGAGTTTGATGTTTTTTTCTTTGGAGTCCTGTTTGTTCTTGGTGTCCAGCATAGTCCAGAGCAGCTTTAGGAAGGATAACAAGATGTAAGATATATTCTAAATGTATAAATGAGAGGAAACAGTTACAAAAACTTTCCTCCTGATATAAATGATATTAATGCCACACTAAAAGTCTAAACTCAGATAGAAAGCATGGGTCCTGCTCTATGTGTAGGTGGGTGGATGTGGGGGCGACAGGTCACATGATCACTCTTAGGTGTTGAATAATCCCTGTAGGGAAGGAGATGAAAGTGGAAAGACTAAAGGGATCCTCATTTCAAACTGTCAGAAAACTACAGTAACTCACCTAGGTAGCAAAGAACTCTCGGGTGTGCAGCTTCCCTTAAAATGTCACCCCCCCAAAAAAAGAAAAAGTGGTGAAATACGTACTGCTGTGTGTACATTTCATTAACTAAATACGCGCTAGAAAGCCTTCATCTTTTGTTCAGAATCAGCTTCTTATCACACTGTGATAAGAAGCTGATAATCACAGGTAACCGGCACAACTTCGTTCTCATTCATCCTCGCAGCGCCTCAGCGCTTCACACAGCCGGATGCTCAGCGTCTACTGACTTCAATGTGGAAGCTCAAAGTGGGTTGTTCCAGCAGCGAAACTAGACGCTCATTGGATAAATGCTGGGCTTTGTCCCGCCCATTGGACGCTCAGCGTCTCTGGAGTTCTATGACGAGAGGGTGGTCCCAACCTCCTCGCTGACGCTGAGCTTCTGCATCCATGATTGGATGAGCTGTCTGAGGTGAAACCTTTTTTTGATTGACAGCTAAACAAGCGAATCAGCGATCTTGAAGAATAAAACATCTACCAGAGCATTTTCCAAGTTATTCATTCCGTTGTTCTTAACTGCTCCGGAGACTTTACTGCTCCTCAGCGACTTCTGTCTTTGTTAAAAACGACCGCCGTTGTGTTTGGCAACTATGTTGTGATACATACAAATAAACAAACACAATTATGATGCAGGCCAGAAAAATGAGCTTCCCCTCCTTGAAAGACCAGCAGCCGCCACTGGTCCTGACCCATCCTGAAGGTGTCTGAAGGTGCTCAGAAGGGTTGTCAAAAGTATCGATACTTTGACTAGTATTGATACTTCCACGCCATATCCAGATACAATATTAATTTGCCATGATTTTGATACTACCGTGCGTGTGCCCACAATGCCTGCCGCGCGCACTCTGCAAGCAGCGCAGCTGACCCGGCAGACGGCGTCTGGCAGTCAGAAGAGCCCCCGCCTGCTGTCCCACATTTTACTGCTGCTTAGTATGGCCGGTGTTTCAAAGTGGTGGTGACAAAGTTGAGTAGCACAACGAATTTAGCAAAACACCTCAAGGACTGGCACCCAGGCCTTCATGAAGAATTCCGGCAGGTTAGTAAAGCTCCTGTTCATCCTTTGCCTTACTGTATCAAACTGATTATTGATGTTAGTCTGGCGGGTGGCCGGCATTAATCCGAGGTAGCTGAAATTAACTTTATGCTCAGTGAATGTTGGTTGTTTGGTGATTAGCTGTGGCTAGCACTCCACTGTAGTCCGAAGTAGCCGAGGTTAGCTTTATGCTCTGTAAATGTTGTTTGTTTTGTTTTTAGCCATTAGCTGGCCCGCGGCTTGCAGCCTTTAGCTTGACAATGTGTTTTCTCAATGTGTTCTCAAACTCTATGTGTTTTCTTTTCTTAAAGATGCAGACTGAAGCAGAGAGGATTTGACCTGCAACTAAACTGAAGAAACCACAGCCCACTCTTCCACTGCTATTTGAAAAACTGATGAAGCATGACCCAAACTCTCCTGAAGCTGTCAAAATAAACAGAGTTATACCAGAGTATATCTGTGAGGACTATCCATTTACACGGTGGAGAAACCTGGGTTCCAAGTGAAAAAGTGATTGTCTTTTTTTTTTTTTTTTTTTTATATTTTTAGTTTTCTGATTATTTGATAATAGTATTTAGTTGATTATTTATCTGCAGTTCTGTTTTTCATGTTAATAAAAATATTTTGTATGCCTTTTAAAATGTTTGCCATTTTTTATCCCAGTGGTATTGAAAATGGTATTGAGTATAGAGTATTTTCCTGGGTATCGATATCGAGTTTGAAATTTTAGTGTTGTGACAACCCTAGTGCTCAGAGACACATTTTTAGGAGTCAAATCAGAGATGAACTGTGACAGAGAGTCAGCAGACACTCTGTCTGATCAGACACACTATGATATGTGATGATGTATTTTCTGATCACAGGCCTGTATTGTTTGAAGTGTATCTTTCTTGTTTTGAGGTTAAATCTGGCGCTCCTGCGCAGGGACGCCGGATTATTAACCCCTCCACTGCCGGTCGCTTCTCTGTGGCTTTTGAACAGCTCTGTGTCTGCCCTGCCTCTGCAAACACAGAGGAGCTCAGCTCCTGGTTTCATTCCTCCTGTGAAAATATTCTGGACTCTGTGGCTCCTTTAAAAACTGTTCGGCCAAAGGCTAAATCGGAGCCCTGGTTCAATGAAGAAACTCGCGCAGCCAGACGAGAGTGCCACAAAGCTGAGCGAAGGTGGAAGAAAGACAAGCTGCAGGTTTCTTTCCAAATACTTAAGGACTCTTTGAACGGCTACCAGAGAACTGTTAAAGAGAGCAAAAGACAATATCTGGCAAACTTGGTGGAGTTAAATCATCATAACCCACTTGTGTTGTTTAAAACTATCGACGCTGTTTTTAACGCCCCACAGCCTGCCAGCTTGGAGGCATCTGTGGAAATGTGCAATAGTTTTCTGTACTTTTTTATTGAAAAGGTTGTGACTGCCAGGTCTCTCATCTCTGCTCCTGCATCCGACCCCTCTGTGCCTGTTCCTTGTTTGGCAGTTCTTGATATGTTTGAGCCTGTGTCTTTATCATTTTTAGAAGAGCTGGTTGGCCATATTAAGCCTGCTGGTTCTCCCTGTGATGTTGTCCCTCCCAGTCTGTTTAAAGAGGTTTTCCCCTGCATAGGTCAGTCTGTTCTGGCTATCATAAATAGCAGTCTGTCCTCTGGTGTTGTTCCGCCAGGTTTTAAACATGCAGTGGTGCAGCCTCTACTTAAAAAACCAGTCCTTGATTGCAGTGTGCTGGCCAATTTTAGGCCAATCTCCAAACTTCCCTTCATTTCAAAAATTTTAGAGAAAGTTGTTCATGTTCAGCTAAAGTCCTTTCTGGATGAGCATGGTGTCTTGGAGGTCTTCCAGTCTGGTTTTAAAACTCGCCACAGCACAGAGTCTGCTTTAATAAGAGTTTTTAATGACATCCTCCAGGCAAATGAGTCTGGTGATTATGTTGTTCTTGTTCTGTTAGATCTAACTGCAGCCTCCACAAGGGTCGATTTTAGGGCCCCTGCTCTTTTCTTTGTATTTGTTGCCCCTAGGATCCATCTTTAGAAAACATGGCATTTAATTTCATTGTTATGCTGATGACAGTCAGATATATGTGCCACTTAACAAGAAAAATGCTTTCTCCCTCACTCCACTTCTGGCATGTCTTGAAGACATCAAAGCCTGGATGGCTTTGAATTTCTTAAATTTCAATGAAAAAAAAAACAGTGAAATCCAGTTTTTATCATATTAGGCAGCTGGCGAAGGCAAAGCCTTTTCTTTTATGTAAGCAATTTGAAACAGTAATCCATGCCTTTGTTACATCTCAGCTGGATTACGGTAACGCACTTTACTTTGGAGTCAGCCAGTCCTCCCTCTCATGTCTCCAGTTAGTTCAAAACGCAGCCGCCCGGCTCTTAACTGGAGTATGTTAGAGGGAGCACATTACTCCCATCCTGGCCTCCCTCCACTGGTTACCTGTGCATTTTAGAGTTCATTTTAAGATTCTTTTATTTGTTTTTAAATCTTTAAATGGTCTGGCTCCATCATACCTCTCTGAGCTTCTCCACCCCTACACCCCTGCTCGGTGCCTCAGGTCAGCTGATCAGCTGCTCCTGGAGGTACCGAGGTCCAAACGGAAGCTCAGAGGGGATAGATGTTTTTCTGTTGCAGCCCCAAATTTATGGAATGAGCTACCCCTCCAAATTAGACAAGCCCCCACACTGTCCATTTTTAAAAGTCTTCTTAAAACCCATTTTTATTCATTGGCTTTTAACCCTGCATGAGACTCGGCTCCCGTTTTAGTGTTTTATGGTTTGTTTTTAGTTATTTGTTTCTATGTTTTTTAATTAGTTTTTAAAAACATTGAAACTATATTTTACTTTTAATTCTGCTTTTATTTTATCCATTGTCTTAATTGTTTTTTGGTTGTTTTTTATCTTGTTGTTTTGTCTAGTTATGTACAGCACTTTGCTCACCTGTGGTTGTTTTAAAGTGCTTAACAAATAAAGTTGAGTTGAGATTACACCCTCAAACCTTTTAAACTCTGAACATGATCAAACACAATCATGTTGATATTACAGCTTTAAATTAAGAAATGTCTTCTTCATAGAATTTTACTGACTCTATTAATCTCAGTAAGGAGTCAGTCTCATTTCAGTCTGTTTCACCTGAACCTGGTCTGAGTCCTTTAAGGTCAGGAGTCTTCTAATGCAGTCAGTGTTAATCTTTGTAGAAAGAGGAAGAAGCTGCTGATAAAATGCAGCAGCTGCATACAGATGTCATTCCTGTGAAACATGCAAGAGAGTCGGAAACGCTGGCTGTCATCGGGACTGAGAGATTAAACTGCTGAATAAAGAGGATGAATCAGGTTTTGACATGAATAAGAGTGTAACAATGAGGAAAGCCTGAAGATTCATAGGTAATGGATGTACAAATAGTTTTTATAATAGCCTGACTCACAGGATGTCATCTGTCTGTCTGTCTGTCTGTCTGTCTGTCTGTGTTTAAGGCTTATATTGAAAGGACAGAGGAAAAATCAAGCTGAGACACAGACCTGGATCCTGCATTGACGCAGACCTGTTCTGGTCTGTTTAGGGACGAACCAAAGATTGACAGAGAAGAACACATTGAAGAAACATGAGCCAATTAATTCTGCCCTTATGCTGACTGATTTTTTCTATAGAGTCTAATGAGTTTTACAATTTTAGGATTTTAGAAAAAAGCCCTGTTTCTAAGTGCAGGGACAACGAAAACACAGGAAGAGTCTCCTGTTTTCTTATGGGTACATTTAGAAGTAAACAACCAAGACAGGATTTACTGATCAATAAGAAAAACCTCCATCAGATGAGATAAAACTCTCAGTTTTTAACGTTCTATCAAGTTGTGACGTCTCTTGTTTACTAGGGGTAAACATGGTCTGGTTTTTGATGGGGAGTATGTTATGGTGTATAAGAATCTGTTCTTTTGTTGCCTGATTAAGGACAACCAGAGAAGTCTTGAGGTCTCAGATAATCCCTTTTATTATGGTCACAGGTAGAGTAATACAGCGCTGGACTTGGAGCGACAGAGCTCATCAAGATCACAGTGAGCAGTCATTTCCAGGTGTGAAGGAGCCAAGGTCTCTTGTGTACATGTGCATATAGTTCTTGTGATGTCTATGTTCAACTACCCGGGTGGATTTTTTTTGAGTGTCAATCGTATATGCTTGTTAATGAGGAGGGGAATCGATAATGCTGTCTTCTGCAGATGGATCCTGCAGCTGGCCACACCGATATTAGATTCTCCACTGTCCACTTCCAAGCTGGCTCACCACTGAACAAGTTCAGACCCTAAAAATACAACCTATTCACACAATGCCGTACGCAAAAGTCAAAATCTTTCTATTTATCAATTTCCTCAACTCATTACTATCATCAAACTTTCTTATCAAATGTAATCAACTATCAGGGATATACAATTCTCTAATCCAGGGTATAAGTGATATAAGCGGTCACCTAGGGCGCCATCTGCTGGAGGGGCACTGCCAGGCACCGTTGGCCTCGAGGAAAGAAAAATAAATAAATAAATAAAAACAGTAAAAATAAAAAGAATTTTCTATGCCCAGTAGCCCTCCTTTGTGTGGTCTCTCTTGAAAATCTTATAATAATATATTATTTAATATATTAAATGAATAAACAATGATTTTCCTAAAATGTGGTGCTGCTGATCACATGAGGGGTGAGCAGTGCACACCTCAGGGTCAGAGGGATCAGAGGTCAGGTCACAGACAGTTTGTTTTTAACAAGATGAAAAGGTTGTCCAAGCCCTCAGGTGCGGAGAACCAGAACAGAAGAAAAGAGGAAGAGAAGAGGAAGCTGCAATATAAAAGTAACATTAGCCTGTACCATTTTTGGGATTAATAGCTAGCTAGCTAGCACATATTTCTGCTTACTGGCTACATCGTGTTTGATGTGAAATGCACACTGCATCGGCACTGTTTATGTCATAGGAGTGATGTGAGTTATGTGACGAGTTTTCATTAGTTAGCCATACATCCTACTTAGGAAAGAATATTCAAAATGAGCTCATCAGTTGCATTGTTGGAGAGATTGTTGAGGCAATTGTCTAAGAAATTCAACCGAACAAATACTTTTCAATAATTTTGGACTGCACTCCTGATTTAAGCCATAAAGAGCAACTATCTGTCATTATTCGTCATGTTGCAGTTAAAGACACCCCACACATAAAAGAGCATTTTATTGGGTTCCTTAAGGCAAAGGAGTCCACAGGAGAAAGCCTTTCAACCCTCATTCTCAAGAGACTGGAGGAGCTCAGCATCCCATTTGAAGACTTTAGAGGGCAGTCTTATGATAATGGAGCAAATATGAAAGGGAAGAAGAAAGAAGTCCAGGCCAGGCTTCTTGAGAAAAACCCAAGGGCTCTATTTGTGCCACGTGGAGCACACCGTGCACCACCGTGAATCTGGTGGTGGCTGATGCAGCAAAAAGCTCTGCAGATGCCACTTGCTACCTATGGATACCTGCAGAAGCATTTCACAGTTTTTTCTGCTTCCACTCAGCGATGGTCCATTTAAAAAAAAAAAAAAAAACATGTGACCACAACCCTGAAATCCTGGTCAGATACCAGATGGGAGAGTCGAATCCAAAGTGAAGAGGCTGTGAGGTACCAGGCTGCAGAAGTCAGAGATGCACTTATAGAGGTAAGAGACAATGCCACAGACCCAACCGTAAAAATCAAGGCACAATCTCTAGCTGGAGAGGCTGGATCTTGCAGATTCTCAATCTGCACTGTGGTCTGGCATGACATCCTGACAAACATTCAACATGTCAGCAAATAATTGCAGTCAGAAACAATGCAAATGGATGTTGTAGTTGATCTTCTAAGGAAAACTGAAGCTTCCCTTTCGGGCTACAGAGACAGTGGATTTGCTTCAGTGTGTGCCAAGATGTGTGACAAGATGAATGTAGAGGCTGTCCTTAAGCAGAAGAGAATATGAGGTTCCTGACCAGGAAATGACAGAAACACTAAAGAAAACGGAAGTTTCCTTTTTCAATGTGGTGGTGGATGTCTCCATTGCCTCACTGCAGGAATGATTTCAGGCATTGGGTGAAGTTAAGAAGACATTTGGTGTTCTTGTCAACTTCCCTTACCTGCCCACTGAGGAAATAAGAAGACTTTGTGAAATACTGAGCAACACCCTAAGCTGTATTGGACAGTCATACCTGGACTGGAAGGAACTGGCACAGGAGTTGCAGAGTTTCCCAGACATGGGAAAAGGAAAAATGACAACATTTGAACTTCTCAGCTTCCTACAGGAGAAGAAACTGAAGGAAGTTTACTCTAACATGTGGGTGGCCCTGAGGATTACTGTCACTATTCCTGTGACAGTGGCTGCTGCAGAGAGGAGCTTCTCCAAATTGAAGTGAATCAAAACCTACCTGAGATCCACCTTGTCTCAAGAGCAGTTAAATGGACTTGCACTGATAAGCATCAGCCGTGAAGTTTCTAGGCAGGTGTCAATTTGATGATACCATAGATTGTTTTGCTGCAAGGAAGTCCCGAAGTGTACAATTTTAGTTGAAATGAAAGACATGCTCGAAAGAGTTACCTGAAAGTTGTGATTGTTGTGACTGTTGTAATTGTTCTTTTGGCTGCTCTCATTACTTACTTGAACGTCTGCTGTTGTTAAAATTAAGCTGTATGTGATTGTTCACTTGGCTGGTGTGCTGCGACGGTGGTGGTGTTTTTTTTTTTTTTTTTTTTTTTTTTTTTTTTTGGGGGGGGGGGGGGGGTAATCTCGCCTAGGGCACTAACTGAGGTAGAGCCGGCCCTGCTCTAATCATCATGAAATGAATAGATACACATCACATTCCAGCAAGATATTGACATGTGTTTCAATGTTTCTGAGAACTACAGATAACAATTAGCAAAGTGTGTAATGCTAACATTTCAAAAGGGGGTGCATCTGCAAAGAGTTTCTTAACGTCAGCTTTAATTTATCACCTGGAATCCAAACATCCTGATTGCCATTCTGAGTATAAGAAGAACACGGCACAGTGCAGGAAAATCCCTCTGAGCACAGCCAGTCTGTCTGTGAAGGATGTTGGAGCCAAATACACAAGTGGATGCTGGGGGAAGTTTCACTTCTTGTTACCTTTTATATATCTTTAACAGAAATCAACATTGCATCTGATAATATGAGACGTCTTTTACACATTGTTGATGCTGGTACCAATATAGCTTCACCCTGTGCAGTGTTGTCCGTATTTGCTGAAAAAGCCTTTGATAGACTCGAATGGGAATATCTGTGGCACACTCTGGAAACTATGGGTTTTGGTAATAATTTTATTGGTATGCTTAAAACATTGTACTGTAATCCAACTGCTGTGGTTGTTACATCTAAGCAAAGCTCTGCACCTTTCTGTATTGAAAGGGGAGCTCACAAAGGCTGTCCATTTTCTGCTTTGCTGTTCACAGTATCTCTGGAACCCTTAGCTCAAAAAATTAGAAACTCAGAGGAGGTAAAACCAATAACAGTGAGCAGAACCTATCATAAGACCTCTTTTAAGATAAATTTAAACAAGTCGTCTTTGCTTCCTTTAAATTCTGCTATGAACAATCAGCAGTTGAATGTGGGGATCCCAGTAGTTACACATTTTAAGTATCTTGGAATCAACATATATCCATCTCTTGGAAAAATTGTTTCTAAAAATTATAAGTGCCTAAAGAAATCTATATCGGACAAGTTAAACAGATGGGCTGCTTTTTCAATTTCCCTTGCTACACGAATGTCAGTGACTAAGTCCCATATACTTCCCAAGGTTAACTTTTATGCGAATATGCTACATTTACCTCCACCGGCTGGATTTTGGGAGAAGATACAGTGCCTAGTGTTAAAATTCATATGGCAAAACCAGCACCCAAGAATTAGTAGGTCTACGCTGCAGAAGAATAAGACCTCAGGAGGGCATTCAGTACCTAATTTTGAAATATATTTCTTATCCTTTATGCTGAAGTCTGTATCAAGGTGGTTGGACCAAAATGTAGACACACCCTGGGTGAATATAGAGAATCATATTGTACACCCATATGCACTTAAAGATGTCCTTTTTTCAGGCCTCTCCCCTAAATTCTGTCTGAATAAAATTGGATCAATTGTCGCAAACTCAGTTTCAGTTTGGAATAATATAGCCAAATTAGTCAAATGGGATATTAAGTGGCACTTAGATACACCAATTTTTAGAAATAATCTATTGCTTATTGGTGGTGAACCAATCACTTTTCCCTCTTGGCAAAATCAGGAAGTTCATACGTTGTCTGATATTTATAATGAAGACTGCTTTAGACCATTTCATGAACTTAGACAAATCTATAACCTGCCTGGTACCTCTTTCTTTTTTTATTTACGGGTGCGCACAGCAATGCGAACATATGGTGTTCCATGGAATCAAACGCTACCAATTCATCATTTAATGTATATCTTGAACATTGCAAAAGTAAAAAAAAAAGGTTTTGTTTCACATACTTGTAATGAGCTACAAGGAAGATTATCTGGACCCACAGGCATTGTTCTTGTCTGGAATACAGATACCAAAGATTACGGGTTTAGCATTAACTAGCAGAGAGTCTGGAGTAATATTTCTTTATCGTCCCGTAATCACAATAACCAGTTAATTCATTATAAACTAATACAAAGATATTATTTATCTCCAAGATGATGCTGCCAGATCCATATCACTCAAAGCTCATTGTGTCAATTATGTCCTCACAAAGTGTTGGGCACATCTATGCATATGATGTGGGAATGCCCCGGGGTCTATTCCTTCTGGCTCAGTATTTCAAACTTTCTTTCGTGTTTAATGCACACAAACATACCTTGTTTACCTCATATTTTCCTTTTAAACGACAATACCTCTTTGAACTTAGCAATTCATAAGAAAAGAGTACTGTTTGCGGGTTTAATGGCTGCTAAAAAGATGTTGATAAAGAGATGGAAACCACCACATGTACTGAATGTGTATCAGTGGAAATTACTATTTTATGAAATTCTGTCATTAGAAATCTCCAGTGCGCGTGCACAAAAGGCAAAAACAGAAACAATACAGAATCTGGAAGCGGCAGCTGAGAGAGTTAAACTGTCGTTCTGAGACGCCCCCCCCCCCCCCCTCCATTTTTTTGTTTTGTTAAATAAGCTACCATGTATGTACTGTAAATTTCCCCCTTTTTCTCTCTTTTTTTTCTTTTTTTTTTGGGGGGGGGGGGGGGGGGTTGATGTTGCTCTGGGGACAAGGGTGGGGGCAATGGGTATGGATGTAATGAGATAAAGCAAAAAGAAATAAATAAAAAAGTTGATCACAAAAAAAAAGAAATCAACATTGCAACACAAACTCATTCCGAGCCCCTACTCTCGGCTGCCTAAGAGTAAACACACTGACGCTTCTTCTTCTTCTAGTCACATGGGCCATCTGAGGGTGTAAACCACTCATATAATGCAGCAACACACTGACTTAAAAACTCAAAACCTGCATTGCAACTGCATGAATTTATATTTATTTAATATTTAACATGAATTTTAGTAATCCTACTAAAATCAATTGCAATGTCTTGATTTTAGTAAGATTAGTACACAGTCATAGCCTTATATGCGATGGTACCAATAATTGGCATAATAATTTCTTTTGGTTTTTCAGTTGTTGACCATGGTTTCCTTATTAAGGGTTTTCAGTTTCAGGCAAGAATTTTCATTATGGTGCATCCCTAGTCTCACCCTTTCATTGTGTTCTTTGCTAGACCTCACACACACACCTTCAGACTTAAGTATTTCCCCCTCTTCTGTCATTTCTGCTTTTTCAGTCCTAAGTTTCATTCAGTCCTGGTTCTTTGGGGTTTTTACCTCAGCTCTTTCCTGATCAAAGGCTTAAAAAGCTGCAAGGTTGTATGATCTGCAGAAATGTGCTAAACGATCTGATCTGATCTGATCAGAGGAGAGATAGGATTTGGGATTTGGAGATGAAAGAATAAAGGCAGGCAGGCAGGCAGGCAGGCAGGCAGGCAGGCAGACAGACAGACAGACAGACAGACAGACAGACAGACAGACTTTATTCTCACACCTGCTCCAAGGAGCTCTACATGTTCGTGGACCCTCAGCTCACCTGTAAGGTATTGAAGCTCCTGTTTGATGACAGACATCACAGAGGAAACGTTTCTGAGAGAAGCCCTTAGTTTGTAGATTGTAAAATCAGGTATTTATGATTCAGCTCTTCAAAGACTCTGTTCATGTGCTTCTGTCAGAGTCAGAGCTGAAAGGCAGTTTGCGGTCCAGTAGCATTGACACCAGGACATGTCCTGCAGGTCACTGACCGCCCCTGACACTGACATGCTGAGCAAATTGTAGGCAGGGACCACATTTCTAAAGGAGGAACTGGAACAGGAAGATTCAGATGAAAACATGGAGGGTTTCTGAGAGCAGGGGGGCCTGAGAGAGCAGCAGGACAGACCGAAGTGATCCCTGCTGGTTCAGCTCAGTCCACCTCTTAACAGGAAGACTGTATGAGATTAAAAGAATTCTAGCTTAGATGCCATACAATATCAACAAATAATAATAATACAGGGTTTTCCTCTGCTGCAGTTTAGATTGGAATGTGACTCTAGTTAAAACCACATAAATTCAGTGTCACTGACATGTTTAGAGAGACAATAATTCTCTTTCTCATTTGGAGCTTTCAGCAGATTTCTGCTTCCTTAAATCAAACTCTACTCATACTGTTGAGCTTTTTCAGGCTAACAGAGTTTCTTTGCCCCCCCTGACAGAAGGCTTTCAGAAGAGTCCACACCCCTGTCTGGCTGTATATCTGCTCTACCAAGACACAAGGTGTGGAGGTCCTTTCCTGCTCATTACCTGGGCTGGTGGTAGTTTCAGTGATTACATAATGCTCAGAGTTTAGACCTCCATCAGTCATGAGGTCTGAAGGAGAGGTTCACCCTTCAACAGATAAACTCCTTCAGTAAACTCTGCTCAGCCTGCTATTGTCTTCAGTCCTATCTCAGGGCTTTTATTGGAACCCCCTCAAACACTAAAACAGCTCTTTATTGCTGTAGGAGTCTAAACACTCACCAGACACAGGTGAGCATTATAAAGGTCATGTGACAAAAGGAAAACAACACTAATGCTGACCTGAGTTGTACTTTCAGTGAAGATATTTTACACACACATACACACTTACGCACGCAAAGACAGATACACAGAGACAATGGCCCTCATTTATCAAACGACCGTATGGCAGAAAATTTTCCGTATGACCATTTCCATGCAAGGATTAGCATTTATTAATTTTCACGTGAGCGTATGATACGATCAAATCTCACGACTGGTCTTACATTGTGTATGCAAGTTTGAGTAAGTGAGGATTTGCGGTGCAGCAAATGTCTGTCTCAAAATAACTGATAAATAAACCTCAAACCTGTCATTAAGCACAAGCAGCCAGATTTCATCAAGATTAATAAATAAATAAAATTAAATAAAACAAATTTGAAATGCCTTTCTAATGAATAGACCTGTTTGATAACCCCGCTGACAAACACTGCCACAGAGCAGGAGCGCTGTTTAACACACGTACAAGCGCCACTGTAGAGCACTGCTTTTGACTCCTAAAATTAAGGTGGCTCTGTGTTGGCCCAATATTGTTTTACTCTCCTGAAAAGTTGTGGGATATCATTTGGGCATTTGCACAATGTTGCACTGGAGTGCCATTGGATGTGCCAGTGCAACGTGAGGACCCAATGCCCAGAGAACAATAACAAGGAGAGACTCCACATAGGTGCTGTACGGAGGGGACAGGACCTTATCAATGGATTCTGACATGTAAAGTATAAGTTTAGAAAGTGCTCTTGATATTTAATCAGTGATAAAAAAAAATAAAAATGTGCCTCGGGGGCAGCAACACACCATTTAGTGATGTTAATAATTATTTTTGTTAAGCCTCTGTCAGACTCTCCAGTCTGCTCTACATTACAAAGAAGCTATAAATCAAAACTAAATACTTGCAATAATAGAAGCAGCATAGCCTATATCATGGTAATGAAAAATATGAGGCATGTATGAGATTTTAATTTATCATCATGGGCAATTTATTGACTAATGATTTATTCAAACTTCAAGCGGGAGTGCTGTTCACCGTCACCTTAATCCTGCTCCAGACAGGGTTTTTCTGGACTCCTTTTATACCAGCTTTGATGCCTCCAAAGAGCAAATCCTTGTTAGTTTCCAACACAGATGTGAGAATATCCACTTTCAGCTTGGAAAAGTTATGCATCCCTCTAATATTTCTCTTCTTTCATGTTTGACCTCAGTGGGCGAGGCCTTTGAACCATGAATATTAAAAGGCTTGACATGTTAATGACGATCAATTTCAGCCAGTGCATTTATTAAGACCCTATCATACGCACGCTGGAATTGGTCAGATACAAACCCTTTCATAAATCTCACGTGTGTCCTATCGTACAATGAATCCTGCACTCATATCTGCACTCAGTTCTACGCAAGATTGATAAATGAGGGCCAATGACTCTAATCAATGACCAGTTTAACCAATCAGAGGCCTCATCAAATAATGACTTTCATATCATGTTTCTATGTTAGTCAGAGCTGATACACATGAAAAGGTTCATTTAAACAAACTCTGAAAGTTCAAACTGAAAATAGAGCAAAGATGACATTTTTTGATTTAGAAACATGTAAATCCTGTTATACTTCTGAACAGTTAAAAACATCTATGCTGTAACACCATAAATTGACAGTCAAATACTCCAGTATCTGACCAATCTTCATCTTTGTTATTGCTGAATTGAATCTTTGGAGAACGCTGTTTTGAAGCTGTGAGCTTACATTATCTTTGTGTTACATCCTCCTTCATATCTGGAGACAAACATGTGAGGTGGTTATTCAGCCTTGGAGGAAAGGAGCCTCTGGGTGAACCATGTAGTTATGTAACCTCCTGCATCATGCAGTGCTGCAAAGTGTACAGGAATGCCTCTGTCACTGCTGCTGCATGAATGTTTTAGCAGCAGAGAGCTGTTCTGTTCATTGCTGTAACCTCGGGAAGCGTTCAGGTTCGGGGTCTGCAGAGAAACTCTCAAGTCCTCTTTCTCTGCCTCTCTTTCCTCTGCTCAGTCCCTGGGCTCAGTGAATGTGAGGCAGTGTGTAGGTAGCTCCAGAACATCAGTGGGCGTCTGTTTTTTTACTGTTTCATCAGAGAAGGACAAGGCGTTTACGTGCCTCTAATTGGCTCACAGGGAGGAAAGAAAGGAGTGAAGGACAGAGTCTTGCTGCTGTGTTTTAGTTCTGGTGTCAGAATCACAGCAAATCGGGAAATCTGTTCATCAATCATTACACACACCCTGTGTGCGGATTTATTAAATGATTGGCCGAATCACCATCTGTCAATCACTACCCTTTTAATGTATATTTTTATTGTTTTATTGTTTTATTTTTTGATAAAACTGAAGAACTGCAGTGACTGAAAAACCAGAGCGACAGAAGAGGTGACAAAGAGACAAGCTTTCCTGCAGACTCTTAAAGTTGGGGTAGACAGGAATTTGTTAAAGAAGCATCTTCTTTTGTGGTGTATATACAAAAAAGCTTTTAATATTAGCGTGCTACAATATAGGACTGTAGAAACTAACCAGAAAGTACTAAAAATGTGTGAATCCTCTTTTGGCCACGACTGCCAACACAAGCAAGAAAACGAAGTAAACACCGGAGACTCTAGGTGGAATAACGGGCGCTTAAAAAGGAGATAGACCACCTGGGCAAGAGCTAAAAAGCCGGGTCAACATCAATGAAGTATAAACGACGGGGGATGCTTCGGATATTACAGACCCTGTAACCTTTCTGCTGGACAGGTAAACTGCTTTAACAAAGTAAGCCAAGTGTCTGTAACTAAAGTGTTTCTTGTCAAACGGGACCTGCTGTGTGTTGTAGCACCACTAAACTAAACTGTTTACCTCGGGTCCTGGAGTAGGCCTGCATGATATATCGTTTGAGCATCGTCATCGCGATGTACGTGTGTGCGATAGTCCCATCACAGAGCCTGCGATGTCGGAGGTGAATGAACTCAGTTAATTTCAAGGGTAACTGACTGAGATACACTCCATGTGACTTTGCATGTGGTGTGCAGCGATCCACCAATCACCTTCGTGCTTTACTCAGTTGCCAATCAGACTCAGTTCTCAGTTGCCAACCAGACTACCCTGCCAGCTGTCAATCAAAATCAGAGAGGAGGAAACCCACCTCTGCAAATGTCTTGCACATGGAGGGAGTCGCTAACGCTACCGGAGTTGTGCCGAGAAACGCGTGTCCACTGAGAATTACTTTTGGAACATTCTTCATCACTGTTTAGCCCAACAAATAAGAACTGTATGGGTTTTAAATTGTACATTTCCGTGGACCACTCTACTATAAGCAGTGCGCGTTTTGTGAGGTGCATGCAATTCTCGGAGGACATGCATTTCTCAGCACAACCCCGTTAACAACAACAACAACGATCGCAAACTGAGCAACACACAGAGAAAACCACAGAAGATGAAGACTTGTTGCCAAAAAGAAAAGGAAAGTCAGTTATCTGGAATATTTCAGTTACAAGATGGATAATATCGACCAAAACACGTCTTCTGTGTTAATCTGTTTCCACAATAACGTCCCAGAACAATAAAAGCTAAAAATATCTCTGAGACAGACAGAAGCCATTCTACTAACATTCACAAAAAGAGGTAAGATCAGTGCAGGTTAACTGTCCTCAAGATTTCAGCAGTGCAGCACAACATAAAGTGTTATTCAGGTCATCTGGTGAAAATTCCTGTATTTTTTAATATCGCAATATATATTGCAGGGTTGAAAAAAATCGCAATGTTAGATTTTTCTTATATCGTGCAGCCTTATCCTGGAGTACATCACTTTTTCCTCGTTGTAGAAATCCTACAAACATTGTGTTTGCTGATAGTCTGTTGGCATCTACAGTAGCATCAATGCGTTTGACTTTCACGTTGACTGGGCCCCTTTTGTAATTATTGGAAGTATTTGTCTGCATTGTACCTGAATTTAATTGGAACGATACGAGTGAGCACAAGCATCTGTTTGTGGGCGGGCCTTGCTGGAGCAGAGAGGGAGGGGAGAGGAGGAGCGGAGGGGAAAACTGGTTGGTAGGGGTAGTGTTTACACTCAAGAATTCTCCCAAAAACTGGCACTTCCTCAGATCCTGCCTACCCCACCTTTGAATAAAGGGCCATCAAAAAGCTATGTATAGGTCAACTTGAAAAATTTGCCCGGACTCCTCCTGATGGAAAAATAATAATCCTCTAAAAAGGACCTCATCATAATCAGATGAATAGATTAGATACACGGAAAAATGTCTGGATTCTGCAGAACTGCTGATTTGTCTTGGCGCCAGGGCTTCAGGTTAACTTTTTCACTGGTAACACTGGTGCCACCTAGTTTTTCATTCAGTAGCACCAAAAAATATTAGGTATCACCATCTTTTTCTTAGTATATAGCTTGTTATTAATACTTGATCTTATCATGTAGATAAAAGTTAAAGATTGACAATGACCCAAACTTGATATTTGCAAAACATTTTAATCTGAACTGTCTGTAGGTTTCTCTGCATGAGCAGCAGTATAAAAATAGGTCATCTTCATATAAAAACATCAAAATGACAAAAAAGACCTGCACAGACATACCAGACAACGTCTCAACTTAAACTAACAAGGTGCAACAACTTAACTTAAAGTGACAACACCACAGCAGCATTAATTCCCACTGTAATTCAACTGAACTTGAATTACTAGCAGCATTCATTTAGTCCCTGCAATTTATCTCATTCTAGGGGCCAGCTTTATTAAATGTGGTGGGGAGGGGCTGGGAGCTTCTGATGATACAGCGGTCTCTGCACGTCTTGTGTTTCTGGCTCTCATGATGTAACTTAAGTGACTGAATCTTGAATTGTGTCGACCCCTTAACAAAATGTGTTCTGCCTGCAACCGACGGGCCACATGTCCTGCAGTACACACACACCATGGTTTTATCTTTGTATCGCAACCACGGGAACTGTGACAGCCATTGTTGTTGAAAACAGTACTTTTTCTTTTTCTCCCCACTCCCCACTTTCTAACACTTCTCCAGCACCAACATCTTCGTTTCTTCCCTCGGACACATTTTTTTTCTTAAAATAATCAACTATGGACCGCCCCATGTCTGCATCTTTATTTATCGGTAGTTAGCAATAGCGTGTGATGATTCAGTGAGCGTCTACAGCTGTGCATGTGACGCACGTCACGTGAGCAGACAGTCTGGCAGGCAGAGACAGGCAGGGAGTGAATAGACAGGAGAGATAGAATTCGGTGGAATGAGCCAGAAAGTAATATTTTATTATCAACCACAACCATTAATGCTCTAATATAGCCACGGGTGTGTGGGGAGAGGAGAAAAAAAAAAATCACTTGTCGCATATGCGACCTAATAGGTCGCACTCTGGAGCCCTGCTTGGCGCCACCCTGTGGGGTAACATGCACATGCTGTAGCCTTGCTGATCTTCAGCAAGGCTACAGCATATGTATGTTCATATAAAAAACCCTATTTTTTCCTGAATTGTTTTAAATAATAGAGAAAAAGTGTTTCTACAGCGAGCTGTCGATCATCTGCCCAGGCATTTCAGACACAAGAAGCTGCTAAACAGATACACCTAGGCTTGTTGTGGACGGTCTTTGCTTTAGTAGCTCATGGTTAAGCTTTTTAAAAACCAGTTAGAGACTCTGCAGAATTAACACTGCAACACATCTCCACAGTTGTGAAGCTGAAACTGTCTCTGCAGCCATCATCAAGTCTCATCAAGTCTGTGTTTGATGAACGCCATCCTTGAGAACTGCTGAAAGAGACTGAAATATCAGCTTCATGTGTGACAGTCTGACCTGAAGAAGTTCAGCACATAGTGCATCCACAGACGGAGCCTTCCAAGAAACACCCAGAGGCTGATTGGATTACTGTTTGAGTCTGTCATTCATAATGAGCCAATCAGAGCAGCTCAAATGATCAGTAATTGAAACTAACCAAATATATCTGTGTTAGCCATATATCTGTTATATTTGTGTGTGTGTGTGTGTGTGTGTGTTGCTCCCATACAAAACCCTGGACATTTGAAGGATTTTATAATCTCCCTCCTGGACAGGCTGGACACCCCTCCCAAAAGATGACATGTTCGGGTAAAAGAGGAGGTATGGTCATCCCAGGGTAAAACTTATTAGCTGTGTTAGCCAAACCACCTCCACACCATAGAGGTAGCTCCCTGTTTTGGCACTAGATCCTCATTTTAGGACAAAGTTGACGCTGCTGTGCTGCTCTCGCTCTCCGACATTGTTGTTGTGCATTCAGTAGGGAAGGTCATCACAACCCTACAGTGTAAATATTACGATATGACAAATTTATATCAACAAAAACTGTACACCGGTATTATTGTACACATTATGATATGGCAAACCCCTAGGTCTAATTCAAGCCCGAAACATGTCTGTGATTATCAAGTGACTCAGCCTGTGCCTTGCTTAGTGTCCAGACTGTGACCTGATGAATACGACAGGCCCTTCATCCCTCTGCCCTGTGGCCACTTGTTCCTTTAAAAAGGACCCTTTTCTCTTCATGCAACTTACTTTTCACCCTGTTTACCAGGTGAAATGAACTGGATACGCCTTGCATACACCTGCAGCAGGTGTTTAAAGAGAGCTCATTGTTCCTGTATCCATCTGTGTTTGTATAGAGACTGAATCAGATACAGCAGCTGTTTTTACTCTCAGGCTTTTACCCTTCACTCTAGCTGCACGGTCAGGGTAGGAATGTGGAGATAAAACTCTGGACTGAATGTCTGAGTTTCTGTGAGCATGTGTAGCTCATCTAGTTCATATTTTCACATGCTCACACATATCTGTACAGGGCATTAAGCTAAGCAGGTGGTACATTCAGAGGCACAATTAAAACTCTGCCTTTATGCTGCTGGCCCTCAGAATAAAAGATCAAACTGTAAAAAACATCCCCTCTCATTTATCTTCTCGTGTGTATGCAGCTTTAAAAACAATGATATCTGCAGCTGATACAAGTACTTTATTAGTGTTCCTGCATAGCGGCCTTTTCTACATTGCAGTAAAAAACAGATTTTATGATTATGTTATTACTCCCTGTGGGGACTCCTTCTGATTCAGACTCATAAAATAAGTCTAAAAGAAATTCTTTATGAGCAGTCAAAGCTTAAGCTGACGTCTTTTTTTGGGTGAAACATCCAAACCGAGTTCAGCTTCCTGTTTCAGCATCTTTCAGTGAAAGATTAGGTCACAAAGCATCTGGAACCGCTTTAAAACCTCACAGTGTTTCTTTGTTTTTAAAACCTGAATGTGAGAGCTGGAAATTCTGTTCATGAGAGTGTCTTTTTTCTAAGAACTCAGTGAGCACATTTCAGTCAGGGCCACTTTTACCACAGATAATACTACTACTACTACTTCTACTAATAATAATACTAATACTACTGTTAATAATAATAATTCATGCAGTACATCATATGGTGGTTTAGTTCTGGTCTGAGAGCTCCCTGCCCTTTCATCTGTGAGTATGAGAGCAGAGAGAGCATACCTTTCTTTTGTATGCATGCATATAGGCTACAACAAATTGTTTTTTTTACACCAATAAAGTTAGAAAATGAAAATCAGTGTTTGGTGCAGATTCATGGATTGATTAGTAAGAGTGATATGCTGTAGGTTTTTTAACAAACCTTCAAACAGCTTTAATGCTCTCATTACACCTAATACAACAATGTCAAATCTCGAGGCAGGGAGAGCACAGCTCTCTTCTGTTTCAAGTGCATACTTGAAAAGCCAAGGCAGGGAGATTAGCAGCAAATACATCAGCAAAATCAGACAGCATTAAAAGTAGGAGCTGAGGTGGAGGTGAAGGAGGAGGAGAGGGGTGCAGCAAATACATCAGTAAAATCAGACACAATTGTATCTGATGTTCTGTAGCCTGAGTTTGACTTTGTGACCTGCCTGAACTAGCTCCATGCTTAATCTGTTCACTCTGGAGTTGTCACTGTATCAGTGAGCACAGCTGTCAGTATGCTGTTATTACTCCATAACTACTTAGGCCCTTCTTATAAACTAGTTAAACATGAAGTGTTATGTACTTACATTAAAGAGCAAAGTGCTTTTTAAGGCATAATGCAAAAACATGCATGAATGATTTGCTGCAAATTTGAACTCACTGTTATGGGGAGTCACTCTGTGATAGCTGATTAGCTTGTATCAGAGTTTATGTCTTACGAAGTCAGACTAGTGAAATTTTCAGCATTCCTGAGGTGAGGTTCAATAATTCGTCCCGTGGAAAATCCCAAATGAAGCTGTATGACTGCTGCGTCTATGGGGTGCATTTAAGAGGGCATCTTCCAGAATAAAAGCAGGCAGACTCGTAACTGTGATGTTCTGGTTGTGTGCAGGCAGACTTTGCTTTCAGAGGACTACAGGACTTGTTGCTCTAAGCTTAGGTAGTGGTTTATTTGCAGATTTGTCATTTGAAAGCTTGATCATTGAGTATAAAGGTCATGACTGTGTTTTTATGGTTAAAACCATTTGATAAGAATCACTGACTGAGTTTCAGTTTGAAGGACTGAAGTTTGTGTCAGCAGGAAAAGGATGTCTCTCTGTAGCTGTGTTATTTCATTTTTCACCATGTTTTTCTTTTCATTTGATGTTGCTCATTTGCCTTAAGGCTCTGTCATCTCCTCTCCTCTCCCTTCTCCTCTTCTTATTTCTGCTCTGACAAGGTTTTGTCTTACAGTCTTCTCAAGGACGCCTCCTAAATACAATCTGATCTCCTGTTTTCTGTGAGAACAGAAGGTGAAACTCTGCATTTTAGGCGATTCCCTGTGTTCAGCCATCAGATAGGACACACTGCAGCTCCATCAACGAGGCACGTTAGCTGACCCTCCTCTGTCCTCCATGTGCTTCCGCTCTACAGCTTGCTGTGTCTCCGTCAGGTTCACTGAGACCATCATAATGCTCCAGCAGAAAAAAAGGAGAAATCAATACTGTCCAGCAGCAGAAGCTGTCATTACCCCCAGCTTGTATAATGCAGAGTTAGCCCCACTGAGCCATAATGGACATTAAGATGAAGAACAGCTGACTCCGGAGGCATTACCATGGCAGCAGAGTTGCTCCAATTACCTCTCTTGCTGCCTCCCCCTCCCTATATGTTTTCTGTCTGTATCTTGGTGCAGCAGAGCCAGTCAGACCTCAGATCATTTAGGACAACAGGGAAATAGATGCAGAGCCAGTAAACACACTGCAGTGTCTCCATCCAGAGAAGAAGAGTCTTGCCACTCAAACTCTGAGACCACCATGAACCAAGCTTAAGACATGGAGTGAGACACGCTGATGCCACCCTTCGGTAAAGGACTTCATTTTTAAACCAAGTTGTAGATTTGGAAGTTACCTTCCAATAAACATGTCTGGAGGAGACATTGAATGGACATGGTTGTTTTAAAAGGACCTAGCAGTAAACCTGCTCGACCCTTTGGCCATACACTTAGCGGGAAAATGTTCTTCCAGAGAAGAAAAAAAAGAAAAGTTTAAAGAAAAGTTGGACCACTTCCTCAGTTTGAAACCAGCTTCACAACTCTTACGGTCAAGCTTCTAATCACCACTCAGAAAAACAATGAGTCTGATATTTTATCTATGAATATTGTATTTAAGACAGTTATGAACTTAATCAACTTAAACAATTAGTCATATTTGTCTATGCAATGGCAAAACCTAAGGCGGGGAGAGCACACCCTCCTATGTTCAATTACCGATACATGTTCGCTGGACCAAATCATTAATACTGTAATACTGTATCATTAATCACTGTAATGTTATATTGTGATGTTTCACCATATACTATGGACAACTTGGTTCCGCCTACCGCCTGTATACGGATTTGAAGCCAAATAATATTCACTGATGTTAAACTGTGATGTAATACTGTGATGTTATACTTTGTTGTTATACCTTACACTGGTGTAATACTGTGATTTTACACTGTGATGTTATAATGTGATGTTATACAATGATGTTATACGCTGATGTAATACTGTGATGTTGTACTGTGATGTTTGAGAATCGATGGGAATCGATAACTGGTCCATTTTAGAAGGATATAAATGGGAATTGTTTGTCTGCCTCCTTAACCATTCTGCTTATTGGCTCTTCTTCTGTCTCTATGCGAGATGACGTAGTATGCGCGAAGTGTGTTTTGGTTCAGAGCTTTCCTAGCACGGAGTCGAGGCAAAAGCACTCCAGAGTTTGGCTGAATTTCACACGAAAAGTTGATACCAGGACTACTTGCAACACTTGCAAAGCTTTAATTTCGTTGAAGGGGCGAAATACTTCCAATATGCAGAAACTTTTGTCCATCCAGCATGCATACGAAACTTGTATGTTATTCTCTGATGTTAAACTGTAATGTAATACTGTGATGTTATACATTGTTGTTATACTTTATACTCTGGTGTAATACTGTGATGTTTTGCTCTGATGCAATACTGTAATGTTATACTGTGACATCATCCCATGTTAGTATACTGTTATGTTATATTGTAATGTTACAATGTGATGTAGCATCATTTTTTTCTGTCGTTAAACATACTCTGAAAGTATCCCTGCCGTGAAGCTGGCCTAAGTCCCTCAGTCTGAAGCCTCACAGATGTCAAGTTTGTGTTTTATTAAGAGTCTGCTGTTTGTGTATCCTTTCAGGAGGTGATTCATGATCACTGCTCCTCTGTCTGCCTGATGACTGACTGTGCCTGTCTCCAGTTTCCATTTGACTGAAACCTTTCTGTCTATCTTTCTTTGTGTTGCAGTTGAGAGGGAAGTGGTGCAGAAGAGGACCTTCACTCGCTGGATGAACCTACACTTAGAAAAGGTCTGTTCCTGCTCTCACAGCTGCAGAGTCTCAGCAGCGGATGGTATGATGGAGCTGAGATTACCCAGCATTTTCAGCTGGGACTTGTACAGCATATATATATATACACTACAGACCAAAAGTTTGGAAGCAAGATCAGATTTGTACAAAAAAAGACCATGGTTTCATTAATATAATTTGCAACACATCAAACATGACTATTGTGTAAAGAGTAACTTATCAGAAGACATTTTGACTACAACTATTAGGTATCTGAGTTATTGTTGCTTAGACTTTGCTTTCTTTAAAGTAACCTCCTCTGGCTTTAACAACAGCTTGGCATATACCAGGCATTCGTTCCACAAGTTTTTTAAGGTATGTTCCAGGGATTGCATTCCAAGCTTTCTTACGTTCATTAAAAAGAGACTGCTGATTAGTGGGACGTGTTTTTCTGACTGATCGATCCAATTCATCCCGCACAAGCTAAATTGGAGAAAGGTCTGGAGACTGAGGGGGCCAAAACATCTTTTGAAGAACACCTTCCTCTTCTTTTATGTCTAGGTAACTCTGACAGAGCTTGGCAGAATGCTTAGGGTCATTGTCTTGCTGCAAAACAAACTGAGCCACAATACTGAGTCCAGATGGAACAGCATGGTGCTGGAGGATGGAGTGGTTCCTTCTTTATAATATCTTTACTTCAAACAAATCTCCTACCCCATCACCTGCAAAACATCCCCATACCATGGAACTACCACCTCCTTGCTTAATTGTGGGTGTAACACATGGTGCTTTCAGACGTTCACCAGTTTTTCTGTGGACATAGACTCTGCGTTTTGAACCAAACAGTTCAAACTTGTTTTCATCGGTCTAGAGGACTTGTTTCCAGTCATCATAAGTCAGATTTTTTTTTAGCTTTTGCCCACTCATATCTCTTTTTCTTGTTCTATAGATGAAGTAGTGTTTTTTTTTTTTTTTTTTTTTTTTGCAGATACACAACCCTTCAGACAGTGGCATTCCTAAGCAACTTGGTACCCTAGGCAGGATTTCTGGTAGCGCCCCCCGGCGCAACTTATTAGACCAACCACAAACCAGACCCTGCGCAACTTATTAGACCAACCTCAAAATATTCATCATAAACTCACACAGGGCACAGGGTATCTTCACGTCTTTGGAATCTTAAAACCGCAGTTGTAGTGCAATATGCATAATGTAGTAATTGTACTACAATAAACTAAAGTAAACTAAACAGCAGCCATATACAAAATACCGTGGACAACAGCAATCAACAGTACCCCACAAAATCCTCAAAGGAAAACAAAATGGCTCAAAAGACATATACAGCAGCATTGTAATTTAATATCAGTCAAGGAAAACTAGTGTCAAAAACATAAATTGCAATATTAATAAGGTAATAGTACAAAATGCAATGTTATAGAAAAATACAAACACAACAAATTACAAAAAGTAAAGTATGTAAACTAGAAAGAGTGCAAATATTCAGTGCAATATGCATATGTAGTAATTGTACAACAATAAACAGGGCCATATACAAAATACCCTGGACAACCTCAATCTAGCCCACAACATCCTCAAAGGAAAACAAAGTGGCTCAAAACACAGCAGCGTTGTCATTAAATCTCAGTCAAGGAAACAAGTGGCAAATATCTGTAAAATATCTTCATGATGAGTCAGTCAGTCAGTCATCACTGCACAGATAATTTTGTGTAAATCATTAGTCTGTACAGCTCAAAAATGAAAAGAAAAAAAGAGGAAGAAAAGCCAATACGGCCGGTGTTATGCCGTAGAATGCACCCCCGCCATAGAATGCATCCCATCCACTCATTAGCTTCTTAAAGTGGAAAAAAATGATCTCATATTTAAAAAACACACAAGTATTGGATCATGAAAACATGTCAAATGGAGCAGCAAACTTTCGTTCTGTTTTTTATGGAGCCAGATCAGGCTCAAAAGTATTGAAAAAGTAGTGTAAGTGAAAAAATAAAAAGTGAAGTGAAAAAATAAGATTTGAACCTGAAAAAAATAAAATGGTACCTGAAAGTCTTGAATTTTGAAATTGAACTTTGAAAAATCCCAGAATGCATGAAAAAAATCTGTTCAAATGTAACTTCGATTCTGTTTTTTAATACTTTTGAATAAATTACTTATTTCTATTTTTCACTTCAATGTATATTTTGATCTTTGAGTACTTTTTTTTTTTGATTGAATTTTATTTATTTATTTCAGATTCAGATCTTATTTTTATGGATTCAAAACTTTTTTTTCGGTTTCAGATTTTTTTTTTTCAGATTCAGATCTTCTTTTTTCAGATTCAACTTGAAAAGTTTCAGGTTGACTTTTGAGCCTGTTTTTCCGTGGGGGCGGGCCTCGACTGAGAGGGGCGCGGTCTGCCATGAGTGACAGGCCTCCCCCTCCTTCCCCACCCCATCACCCTGCGTTCAGGAAGTGGCATGAATACACATTAGCTTAGCCTACAATTAGGCTGTATTGGCTGAATGAGATCGTGTTGGTTCGTTCCACTTTAGTGGTGCAATATAAACTGTGATTCATTAAAAAGCTCTATTGATAGTAAGTACTAAAAAAAATATATCTACTCATGTCATCCTGTCGATTTTTAGTAATCAGTGTTTCGGTGTCGAACTATTTCCTTTCTGCGGCGTAGTAATACTTGCACACGCGCAATCGAATATGCAGGGGGTGAAGCGATTTTTGTCACGTGGACCAATAGGAGCCGAGTCTCGTTGCCATAGTATCAGAAATACACAAACATGGCGACGACCGCATCTCGCAGCGAGACAAGCGAAGAGGAAGAAAAGAAAAGGAACAAAAGAAAACAGCCTTAAAAAGTGCATAAAAAGGAGCAAAACGATGTTATATGCATCTATCATCTGTCCAGAGTGAAGACGTTCTCGACTTTACAAGGACACGTCGGGAAACTTACAGAACTAGTATTAGAAAGTGGCTTTCTCTACAGGGTGAGACAAAGGACCTTGCAGAAACTTATTGTTTCACGTTATTGTTTCTCAAACCCCTTTTTCAAATAAATCGCTTGTAGCATGTTATGTGAAACCCAGTGTCATCAAGAACATTGTCAAAGTCGATATCAACGCAAAGTTTATTAGTTTCTGCAAGGTCCTTTGTCTCACCCTGTAGAGAAAGCCACTTTCTAATACTAGTTCTGTAAGTTTCCCGACGTGTCCTTGTAAAGTCGAGAACGTCTTCACTCTGGACAGATGATAGATGCATATAACATCGTTTTGCTCCTTTTTATGCACTTTTTAAGGCTGTTTTCTTTTGTTCCTTTTCTTTTCTTCCTCTTCGCTTGTCTCGCTGCGAGATGCGGTCGTCGCCATGTTTGTGTATTTCTGATACTATGGCAACGAGACTCGGCTCCTATTGGTCCACGTGACAAAAATCGCTTCACCCCCTGCATATTCGATTGCGCGTGTGCAAGTATTACTACGCCGCAGAAAGGAAATAGTTCGACACCGAAACACTGATTACTAAAAATCGACAGGATGACATGAGTAGATATATTTTTTTTAGTACTTACTATCAATAGAGCTTTTTAATGAATCACAGTTTATATTGCACCACTAAAGTGGAACGAACCAACACGATCTCATTCAGCCAATACAGCCTAATTGTAGGCTAAGCTAATGTGTATTCATGCCACTTCCTGAACGCAGGGTGATGGGGTGGGGAAGGAGGGGGAGGCCTGTCACTCATGGCAGACCGCGCCCCTCTCAGTCGAGGCCCGCCCCCACGGAAAAACAGGCTCAAAAGTCAACCTGAAACTTTTCAAGTTGAATCTGAAAAAAGATCTGAATCTGAAAAAAAAAATCTGAAACCGAAAAAAAAGTTTTGAATCCGTAAAAATAAGATCTGAATCTGAAATAAATAAATAAAATTCAATCGAAAAAAAAAGTACTCAAAGATCAAAATATACATTGAAGTGAAAAATAGAAATAAGTAATTTATTCAAAAGTATTAAAAAACAGAATCAAAGTTACATTTGAACAGATTTTTTTCATGCATTCTGGGATTTTTCAAAGTTCAATTTCGAAATTCAAGACTTTCAGGTACCATTTTATTTTTTTCAGGTTCAAATCTTATTTTTTCACTTCACTTTTTATTTTTTCACTTACACTACTTTTTCAATACTTTTGAGCCTGATCTGGCTCCATAGTTTTTAGGTATTTAAAAAATGCACATACAGAGGTGTACTTGGGTATATAAACTGTACAGTAAGCTGTTAAGGTAGAGAACGTTATATTTTTGGGGCAGCAAATATTCCGAATCAGAGGGCTATTGTGTTCGGCATATCTGAATAGCCTGAATGAAATCATGAAAGGCACATGCTTTTTAATCAGTCCAACAGTAAGGAAAACTTGGATTATTTCGCCTTGTTGTGTACTTTCAACCGCGCTCACGTCAGGGCAGCATTCTACGGCAGGGGTGCATTCTATGCCATAACACCGGCCACGGGAACAGGGTCTTAATAAAGCCCCCTTAAATCTGTAAATCTGTAACTTCAACTATAACATCAGCAAATGGCTTGACACAAACGATTTCCTTAGCTAGTACGTTGTGTTTTTGATCTGCGTTCTGCAACATGTTGGACTGCCATGATCTGACGACTTTGAATGAATTGAAAGTCAAGACTTGTCTCGACTTTTCACTTTGGAGAAGTCAAGCACTGAGGCATTATGCCTCGGCAAGAAAGCATGTTGTTGCCTAACAGCTGAGGCATTAAGCCATGATGATAATTGACGCTGCTCTGCCTGGTCTGCCTTGGCTTATTATTGCCTTGTTGGCTGTGCTTGGTGTGGTCTCTCTGTGTGGTGAACTGGTGGTGGCGATGCAAAAGCCGCGGCGGCGGCGCTGCGGGTCTGTTGTGTTACGAGTTACCTGGCTGTAACTAGTTGAGTTAAACAGAGAAAGAGTTACCAACCCAACTTACCTCAGAAGCAAGTGCAGTATGACTACGAGGAGAGAGCAGGGGGGCGGGGAGGAGTCATGTCCTGACAATGACCCTAAGCACTCTGCCAAGCTCTGTCAGGGTTTCCTAGACAAATAAAATAGGAAGGTGTTCTTCAAAAGATGGTTTGGCCCCCTCAGTCCCCAGACCTTTTACCAATTTAGCTCGTGCGGAATGAATTGGATCGATTGGTCAGAGAAACATGTCCCACGAATCAGCAGTCTCTTTTTAATGAACTTAAGAAAGCTTGGAATGCAATCTCTGAAACACACCTTAAAAAACTTGCCAAGCTGTTGTTAAAGCCAGAGGAGGTTACTTTAAAGAAAGAAATCTTGCTTCCAAACTTTTTGGCCTGTAGTATATATATATGTATATATATATATATATATATATATATATATATATATATATATCTCAGATTAACACTTTCCAATGAAACTTAAACTGCACTCAATAACCTTTAACCTGTAATTCAGACTGCAAAGGTGTGTGTGTGCTGTACGAGTCCCCGCTAAAAATACTGGGTAATCTCAGCTCCAGGATGCTGGGTAATCAGCTTAGCTATATACACACACACACACACACACACACACACACACACACACACACACACACACACACACACACACACACACAAATATATATATATATATATATATATATATATATATATATACACATACACACACACACACATATATATACCAAACCCTTGTGTACCCTAAACCCTTGTCCAGCCCTAATACTTGTATATCTCAGACTTTATAATTCTTCTGTAAATAGTAGATGATTTGAGACATGTCACATGAAACTATGGACGATTAAATTTTCCTCTGGGGAATAAATAAAGTTCTTCATCTCAAACTCAGACAACAGTGGGCCACAGGAACCATACTAGTTCCTCTAAAAGAAGTTCCTGAAGCTATGTTTTTTACTTGTACTTTTGGTCCAAAACCACCCTCAGGATTTAGATAATGAATAAGTGGAAGTGGAATAAAAGAAGCCTAAAAAGGACAGGACTCAGGCTGTGGTTTGGATAGATGACTTCAGCTGCTTTTCAACCAAAAATACCAGGAACTTTTAGATCCAGCAGCCTCTCCTTGTGGTTCCTGTTCCCACTGTACAAATGTGGTAGATGAAATCACCTGCGCTGCTCTTTATTTGAGTCTCTACTGAACCTCTGTAGAAAAAACACCAGTCACAAATCTCATTAGCAGCAGCTACTGTAATAATTATTAACTCAGTCAGGACCACTTAAGTCAAAATTAATCATTTATTACATTGATTTGGTAGTATGGCTCTGTGCTGATAGTTCCCTGCCCTTCCTTGTGATTGGATGGAAAGCCATGACTGTCAGAGGGGAGAGGCCCTTTTTTCATAGGCTGGGAAAGCAGACACCGCAGACAACAGGAGCTGGGGTTGTAGCAGGCAGAGTAGGCAGGTGGAGAAGTTTAAAACGGGCGCCGTTTGCCCATCTGTAGAGGGAAATCAGCTGATCTGTCAGTGGACTGAGGGCTGGTATAGGATCAGCTGATAATAGCCTCAAGCTTGACTTTGTGTACTCTCCAAACTAATGCTATCCTCAGTATAACTGCGGGTTATGGGAAATGTTGGCAGGTGCAGATAAAGTCTGCTTAGCTAGATTGGTGTAAATGGCGCACCAGTTTATAACGTTAAAAAAAGTACTGTTTCCCTCTCCCCTAATAAGACCTAATAAGTGTTTCCTCATATGGACCAGAAATTAAATAAAATAGAGTCAAGGATTCATGTAAGTTCTTTGTTTTACTGACCAAGGAACTTAAGGTTTTGTGGGATATAATCACTATCTCTCCTCCTCCCTCCAGTGTTTCATATATTAATTACTCTATCGTCACATGCTGCAGAGTTTCAGAGATGTGTCTGAACACACTAAACTATATCTGCTTTTACTATAGCTGAGAGAAAGTCAACGTGAACAGGCAGGTGATGTTAAGGTACATCTGTGCATGAACCGATATCTCCTCCTGCAGAGTCTGACTTTCTGTGTTTACTCTGACATGCTGTCTAACTCCCTGTTTGTTTGTTTGTTTGTTTTTGGGAGGAAGGGGGAGGCAGGGCAAGTCCGAGCGAGCTGAGAGTCTGATCGCAACTTTTGTTTTCCCTCTCACAATGAGCCTCTCTTATCTAACTCACTGTTTGGCTTTCCATCAAATCTCTGATGCAATAGTCCACAATCACACCTTTGTCTGCAGCCATCTTGGAGAGTTCCAGTCAGTGCAGACCTTCACACACACACACACACACACACACACACACACACACACACACACACACACACACACACACACACACACACACCACTGAAGTAAATTTATAGACAGGTTATCAGAGGTATGTATGATGTGCAGTCTGCTTCACTGAGTTCAAAGCTGTTAACTTCTCTGTTAGCTGCTCTAATTTCACCTGAACTTCACTTGAACTTCACCTGACAACATTTTTCCTGACTCTGTGTTTTGTCCTAACTTTAAAACATGATGACAAAGGGCTTCCAACAAAAACAGAAAACACAAAATAAATTGTTTTAAATCCATTAAGGAAAGACCAACAGAGACAGAACAAAGTGTTTGGCAGCTCCTTCAGCAGCAGACTGAGACTCCCACCCTGCAGGACGGAGCGCTACCGCAGATCATTCCTCCCCTCTGCAATAAGACTTTACAATGAACAGTAACAAAACTGGATTTACACCACCACTTTTTTTATGGCATTTAAATTGTGTATATTGCAGAAAGCTTTATTTTTTCTTCTCCCTTTTCTCTTTTCAATTTTTTTTTTTCTTAATTATTACATTTATTAAGTTCTTAATATTAGGACCCTTATTGTTATAACTGCATTTTGCACTTTCTGTCTTGTCTGTGATGCTGCTGTGACAAAAAAATTTCCCCCATGGGGGATCAATAAAGGAATATTCTATTCTATTCTATTCTATGAATTTAGAGGCCCACAGCATGAGACCAAAATTTAGAGAGACTCATCTATGAATGGACAGACAGACAAACAGACAGATGGATGGGACATGGATAGACAGATAGACGGATAGATGGGGGATGGATGGATGGATGGATGGATGGATGGATGGATGGATGGATGGATGGATCAATTAATCAATCAAATTTTATTTATATAGTGCCAATTCATAACAGTTGTCATCCCAAGACGCTTTTCAAAGAACAAGAGCAGGTCTAGACCACGCTCATTGTTTGATGAATTATCAAGACCCAACCTAAGATGGGTTTTGGCCCATCTCATCTAACATGAGTAACAGTGGCAAGGAAAAACTTCCTTTTAAAGGGGACCTGCCACCAAAATTTCATACCCATTTTTATCAATTTTTCATAATCCTTGATGTCCTCTGATCATGTTTGCAACATAATTTTAGCTGAAAAGTTATTTGATGGTTTGTTTTAGTATGCCTAAAAAACCTTACAGGAAAACCAACTGGTTTGGCTCATTAACATTTATGGTAATGAGCTTTGCTCTGATTGGATCGCTGCTGTGAAGCCTGCTGTGCTCTGATTGGCTCAGCAGTGGAGGTTCGGATTTCGGCTTATCCACTGTTATTATGCTAATGCTAATAGCATATGCTATTGTGTGCTAAAGTAAGGTGCCCAGATGTCTGTAATGATATCCGGGGATATTTGGTGCGGCGGCGGCGGTGGTGCAGGGGCTGCAGGGGCTGTGTGATCACAGACAAAGTCTCGGTACTATTTAGTAGCAGCTCATGCCCCTTGTAATAACCCCGTAAGAACTGTTGTTCAGGACTGCTAACTAAATTCGGCTACTGTAATAACCGTTGTTCGAGCCCACACGCAACATTTTTGCTCTCATTAATGAAACGCTTAAATCGGGGACATTTTCGGGGACAGCTTTTGCTGGGGACAGATCATCCAATACGGGGACTGTCCCCGGAAATCGGGGACGTCTGGTCACCTTATGCTAAAGGCTAAAAACGGCAGGTATTAAACCATATATTTTAGATCCCGAGTCCGAAGAGGAGGTGGAAGTTGAGGAAGAAGCCGGAGATCTCCAGCGGTGTTTTCTCATTCACTCTGCCCGGCTTTAAGTTCATTTTCCCGGCAGTGAACCGAAGGAAACACCGATCGTTTGGAAGAGACCCATAGCGGATACTGCGGTAGCTGGGTCTCGCTCTGGCTTTGACTGAGTACGAGAACGAGAGAGTGGGCGCGGCTCACCGAGGACGCGCTCGTGAATAGTAATGAGCAAGGTCGGCGCAACGTAACACCGACGGGCTTTTTCTATTGGCCTGGTTTACTCGTTCCTTGATTTTAAACCTTTACAGAATGCAAACGACGTAACGGTTTGTTTTCACATGTACAACATAAGACGAACATAATATGGACCTTATATGACACAAAAAACCCCAAAAATTACATTTTTATGGCAGGTCCCCTTTAACAGGCAGAAACCTTGAGCAGGACTCGACTCATGCCAGACAGCCACCATGCCACTGCTGGGCTGGGGAGGAATACACACAGAGAGAGAGAGAGAGAGAGAGAGAGAGAGAGAGAGAAGGGGAAGGAGAGAGAGAATGAGTGAGGGAGAGGGAGGGGAAGGGAAAGAGTGTAGAGACTGAGGGTGAGAGAGAGAGAGACAGGGGACAGCAGCAACATTAAAACAACAACAACAACAACAGCTCATGTAATGGTGAAACAAAATGAATTTAGTTTACAAGGTTAGGATACGAGTAATTATGGACTATGTTAAATTAATTTAATGTGATTACAGTCAGCAGGCCTAATAGTAGTCAACTCTAGTTTTATGTTATTAATGTCAGTGAGGCTGATGTTCATGTCTGCAGTAACAGTCCAAATGTCTCTACTTTTAGAGACATTTGGTACAACGAGCAGACCTGCAGACTGTGAGCGTAACAGAAAGTAAGGTATTACAAGCTCATCGAGATATGATGGAGCCTGGCCATTAAGCGCTTTATATGTCATAAGGAGGATTTTAAACTCAATTCTAGATTTAATGGGGAGCCAATGAAGAGAGGCTAAGAATGGAGAGATGTGCTCCCTTCTTCTGGTTCTAGTCAATACCCGAGCTGCTGCATTTTGGACCAGCTGAAGAGTCCTTAAAGACTTATTAGAGCAGCCTGATAAGAGAGAATTACAGTAATCCAGCCTAGAGGTAACAAAGGCATGGGCTAGTTTTTCTGCATCACTCTGGTACAGGATGGGTCTAATTTTTGAGATATTGCGCGGGTGGAAAAAAGCTATCCCAGAGATTTGTTGAATGCGGGAGCTAAAGGACAAATCCTGATCAGATAAAACTCCCAGATTTCGCACAGTGGGGCTGGATGCCAGACTGATGCCATCTACCGTAGCTATATTTTTAGAGAACACCTCTCTAAGGTGTTTATATCTTTGAGACAAGCTTCTAATTTGGTAACCTGATTTGTTTCTTCTGGCTTCATGGATAAGTATAACTGGGTGTCATCCGCATAACAGTGGAAATTAATTGAGTACTTCCTCATAATTTTACCCAGAGGAAGCATGTACAAGGTAAAGAGGATCGGTCCAAGCACTGACACTTGCGTGACTCTGTAGCAGACCTTGGTGTGCGCAGAGGATTCATTATTAACATGGACAAACTGGGATCGATCTGTTAGATAAAATTTAAACCAGGAAAGAGTGGATCCTGCTATGCTGACTGACTGTTCCAGTCTCTGAAGCAGGATGCGGTGGTCGATCGTGTCAAACGCAGCTCTAAGATCCAACAGGACAGAGAGAAGACCACTGTCCGAAGCCATGAGTAAGTCATTTGTCACCTTCAGCAGAGTGGTGTGCTGTGATGGGTTCTAAATCCAGACTGGAAATCCTCCAACAAACTGTTGTTAAGAAGAAAATCACAAAGTTGCTTCGCAACAACTTTCTCTAGGACTTTAGAAATAAAAGGAAGGTTGGATATTGGTCTATTGTTAGCTAGGGTGCCTAAGTCAAGAGTAGGTTTTTTAAGGAGAGGTTTAATCAATGCAGTCTTAAAAGACTGGGGAACGTATCCTGTTTAAAAAGACGTATTGATCAAGTTAAGTCAAAAATGTACTAATTAAAGGAAGAGTTTCCTTCAGCAGTTTAGATGGAATTGGGTCTAAAAGACACGTTTATGGTTTGGCTGCCAACACCACTGAATTCAACTCAGGGGGGTCAATGGATGGATGGGTGGGTGGATGGATGGGACATGGAAGGATGGATGGATGGATGGGATATGGTAAGTTGGATGGATGGATAGATGGATAGGATATGGATGGATGGGATATAGATGGATGGATGGATGGATGGATAGGATATGGACAGATGGATGGGACATAGATAGATGGATGGATGGATGGATGGTATATGGATAGATGGATGTTGGATGGATGGACAGATGGATGGGATATGGATGGACGAATGGATGGGATATGGATGGATGAATGGATGGGACATGGAAGGATGGATGGATGGATGAGATATGGTAGGATGGATGGATGGGTCATGGATGGATAGATGGATGAATGGGATATGGATGGATGGGACATTTAAAGATGGATGGATTGATGGGATATGGATGGATGGATGGGACATGGAAGGATGGATGGATGGGATATGGATGGATAGATGGATTAAACATGGATGGATGGACAAGGGTAGATATGGACATACCTTAAATTGTGTATATTGTATATAGTTTTATTTTTTCTTCTCCTTTTTCCTTTTCTAATTTTTTTCGTAATTAGAACATTTATTTAAGTTCTTAATATATGATCTTTATTTTCAAAACTGCATTTTTGCACTTTGTCTGTGATGCTGCTGTGACAAAAAAATTTCCCCCATGGGGGATCAATAAAGGAATATTCTATTCTATTCTATTCCATTCTACCTATTGTAATATACTCTTATTAATCATACTTTTTGGGTATTTTTTAAATTATTTGTCAGTATTTTTGCACTGTTGGCTGGAGAGAAATGTCCATTCTGAGTCCTGTGTATGTGCTCACATACTGCAGTAATTGACAATAAAAAGAAGCTTGAAACTTGGATAAATATTTGGATGGATAGATGGATGATTTTAGAGTTAAACTCTAGATCGTCTTTCTCACAGCCTCTTAACTCTCGTTGAATCAGGGTTCTGATAAACTTCCTTTAATATGAGGATTAAAGTCCTCCTGTGAATACTAATAATTCTTACTATTATTATCATTATTATTGTTATTTTACTATACGTCATACCTGTTGTCTCTATTTGTCCCACATGATGTCCTGACATAGTTATCTTCAGGATGTCTAGCTAGTGTTAGAGATTTGCGGTTCACACATGTCTCTCACAGCGTGCCGTGTCACCATCAGCTGAGCCCTCACAGCATGAAATAGTCTGATCAATCAGCTGGGTGCACATTCAGGGGGAGGGGGAGTTTGAAATATTGTTATTCAATATTGTTATTTTAGTCATAATAAAATCAATGTTCTATTCAACAGTCTCTCTTGTCAACCTGGGAGTTTGTGGCTGAGGGACAGACACTAGAGGTCAGATCATTAATGAGATTGTGACAGGATCACAGCTGACAGTATGTGGATGGTTAACTCCCCCCCACCCCCCTGCTAACAAGACCTCTGAGACTACATCCTCACATCAGATTATTCTCTAAGATTGTTACTGGATAAAATAATCCAAAAGAGTGTAAGACATGTTTTCATGCTGGTTAGCAGGATTTCTGTGAATGAAAATCTCTCTGTCCGCACCACTAAAGGGTCCATTCTGCCATCAGGCACATAATCATTTTTTAGGTAAATGTCACACCTTTGACCCTGTGACAGCTGAACCTCAGGTTTGATGAAGTCTGGTCTCCCATTTGAGCAGAAAACAGCTGCATGTGTTAACATTCCTCATCCTCTAAAAAATAAATCTGTCCTCTTTCTTTCCTTTACACTAGTGTGACCCCCCCATCGAGGTACAGGACCTTTTCCGGGACATCCAGGATGGACACATCCTGATGGTGCTGCTGGAAGAGCTCTCTGGCTGCAAATTGGTCAGACTGTAGTTGTAAATAACTGTAAATTACCTAACACACCTGGAGGGTGTTTCAATACTACACTGTAAACCTGGATTAGTTTCTGTGCAAATAGTTTAAGTATACATCAGTTAAAAAAATTGAGTTTTGTTGCATTACTTAAATAGTGTTGGTATGTTTTACTGGCATTATTTGATTAATATGTGCACTAGCAGTTTTATGTCGATTCAACTCAAAAAATTGTGTTGAGCCTTACTAGTTTAGATGCACTTATAGTTTTGAGTTCAATAAACTTAAAAAATAAACTTCTATACACTGTAAACCCAGATTAGTTTCTGTACAAATAGTTTAAGTTTACATCAATTGAAAAATTGAGTTTTGTTGCATTACTTAAATAGTGTTGGTATGATGTACTGCTATTATGTAATTAATATGTGCACTAGTAGTTTTAAGTTGATTTAACACAAAAAAAAATTGCGTTGAGCCTCAATAATTTAGATGCGCTTATAGTTTTGATTTCAACAAACTTCAAAAATTAACTTCTAGCCTGCACTTTAATCTGATTGGCTAATTGTGTCAAGACTTGTCTGGGCTTGCAAGATGGAGGACATTAGACTTTTTCTTGTCATCACAGAGTTAGCCTTCCTGTTCCCTGCACTGTACTCAACATTCCTTTATTTTCGACAAATACCCTGGACTGTATGACTGATCTGCAGTGGAAGAAGATGAATGTTTCTCAGTTTTTCTGATTTTCAGAGAGAGCAGTGTAAATCAGCTGCAGTAGATGAGTTCCCATTTTGATCCTCATGGAGCTTTTTACGTTCTTCAACTTGGTGAGTCATTTTCCATATTCATTTTGGTTGGATGACATTATTTCATTATCCTTGAAGCCTAAAAATTTGTATTGTGTTAAAATTTTGGTGTGTAAACAACATCTGAGAACTGTAATCAGTGTAGTCCATGTACTTTGCTTATCCTCTCAATTTTTGCTGTTTCACATTGCTATTTGGCAGAGATAGCTAACATAAGTTGATACAAATGACTTCATTTCACTTTTTTATTGCAAACAAACAACAGCATTTTCTCAAAAAACTCAGTGACCTACTTTAAAAAGCTGACTAAAACATTTGACTGTAAATATATATTTAGTTTTTGTTAAACAATACATAGAGACATGCTTTGGAAATGCAAATTTTATCCTGTTAACTATGAAAAAAGAGCACAGCTTTTCAAACACCACAGACTTAAACAATGAAGTTATGCCAGGACTGAATGCATTCCTTGCTTACATAAGGATTACCCATGTACAGGCGAGAAGCTCCAGTACTGTCAGATCTTCAGACAGGACAAATATTACAGACAAAGTCTAATTGTTATGAAAATCTCATTTTATTTTCCCATAGGATCTTCATGATGCAGACTTAGTGATGACTTAATGACTTACTGATGCACTTGAACCGAGAGGTTGCTGCAGGTCTGGTCTCTCTGTATTATCTTTAAGTTTTGTAATGTTTGCTAGTTTTTTTCATATTTTTGTTGTCATTTTGTTGGCTGCTGATGGATACTTCTGCTGGGCGAAGAGTTTACTTAAGAGAAGAGCTCCTTTCATTGAGGAAAAGCAAATCTGGACAACAACCCTTGGATTTTAAATGATATCAGGTGTAATGCTGATAAACAGAAGCTCACAGTTCTGGTACCACTGGATCTAAGTGCTGCCTTTGACACATTAGATCACCAGATTTTATTAAGCACACTCAGGCACCTGGTGGGCCTCTCCGGTACTGCTTTTAACTGGTTCAGTTCTTATCTCTCGGAACAATCCTTCTTTGTAAGTATGGATACCTGTTCCTCAAAAACTCATGAAATTAAGTGTGGGGTGCCCCAAATGTCAATTTTAGGTCCAACACTTTTTAATCTGTATATACTTCCCCTTGGGGACATCATCAGGAGACACAGCATCAGCTTCCATAGTTATGCTGACGATACACAGTTGTACATCGCCGTGTCTCCTGAGGACACAGGGCCTATTGATGCCCTTTTTAACTGCATTTTAGATATCAAGTCATGGATGGCAGAGAATTTCCTACAGCTTAACCAGGACAAAACTGAAGTTTTAATTATTGGTCCTGAAGGCAAGAGAGAGAAACTTTTACCAAACTACAAGATTTTAAACCTGCTCAATCCTGTCAAGAATCTGGGCGTAAATTTTGACTGTTTGCTGAATTTTATTCCACATATCAAGAACATAACAAAGATAGGTTTTTACCATCTTAAGAATATAGCCAGAGTCCGCCCGTTTCTCTCCCAGGCCAACACGGAGGTGCTGATGCATGCTTTTATTTCTAGTCGTATAGATTAGTGTAATGCCCTGCTCTCTGGTCTTCCCAAAAAGACTATTCGCAGTCTACAACTGCTACAGAATTCTGCAGCACGTGTGCTGACAAGGACCAGAGGGCGGGAGCACATTACACCGGTTTTAGAATCACTGCATTGGCTCCCCGTGTGTTTCAGGATCAATTTTAAGGTTCTTTTAGTAGTTTTTAAGTGTCTTAACGGTCTTGGCCCATCTTATTTATCTGAACTGCTTTTATCTTATCAACCCTCGCATACCCTGAGGTCCTCTGGCACCGGCCTTTTAGTTGTTCCTCGGACAAAAACCAAAACTCACGGAGAGGCTGCCTTCAGCCATTATTGCCCAAAGTTATGGAACAGCCTGCCAGAGAACATCAGGACCGCAGAGACCGTTGATGTTTTTAAAAGGTGGCTCAAGACCCACCTTTTTAGTTTAGCCTTTAGCTGATTTAACTGTTTTAGTTTATTTTATCCTTTACTTTTATCACATTTCTATGTCATTTAGATATTTTAACATTATTTTAATTCCTGTACTCTACCATCTTAGTATTTTTAGCTGTAGTGTTTCCTCGTGGGGGCCCTCCACACTGGGAGGTGTCTCTGGTCTGCCCCAGAGCGTGGTCCTTGGGATTGTCCAGGCCCGGACGGCTAGGGGGCTCTGCACTATGTGCGGGGTGCACCCGGGCTGTCTGGGTCAGGGGGTCTCGGGGGCGGTGCTCCCTGTGAGGGTGGGCTGTGGCTCCTCTCGGTGTGGACGGCACCCATAGGTGGTTTTTCCTCACCAGGATCCTCAGTGCCTTGCCATGTTTTTACTGACAGTTAGTGTGTGGGTGTGTGGATACATGTGTGCGTGTGTGTGTGTGTGTGTGTGTGTGTGTGTGTGTGTGTGTGTGTGTGTGTGTGTGTGTGTGGGTTTGTCTTTATCATTTTTGTAAAGCACCTTGTGTTGCAGCTTGTATGAAAGGTGCTATATGAATAAAGTTTGATTTGATTTGATTTGAACAACATACAATTCCAGAGGACATCAGGAGGTGTTATTGTGGTTGCCGTGCTGGTGCAAAGGTGAAGGCAAAGCTAAATGCTAGGAGGTGGCGACATAAACCCCTTCTTCCATCAATCATCATGGGAAACATCAACTCTCTGCCCAACAAAAGCGATGAGCTGGAGATATTGGTGAAGACTGAGAAAGCATACCGTGAGTGCAGTTTCCTGTGTTTTACTGAAACCTGGTTGAGTCAAAACAACTTGGACTCCAGTGTGGATCTACCTGGCTTCACTCTTATAAGGTCAGACAGAGATGCTCAAGCTAGTGGCAAGAGGAAAGGAGGAGGTCTGGCTTTATTTGTCAACCAGAGACGGTGTAACTCTTCACACATAACTGTCAAGGAAAAGTTGTGTTGGCCATATTATGTTCCAAGAGAGTTTAGTCATATCATAACAGTAGTTGTTTACATTCCACCCAAATCAACTGAAAAAATACCATGCAATGTTTTGCATAATAGTGTTGCCAGGCTACAGACTGAACACCCGGAGGCACTAATAATAATATCAGGAGACTTCAACCATGTCACCCTCTCCTCTCAACAGGTTGACTGCTTTACTGAATATGTCAACTACTGTAGAGACACAGTTATACCCACAAAGACTGTTCGCTGTTTCCCCAACAACAAACCCTGGATCAAAAGTGAATAAAAGCAATCCTTAACCAGAAAAAGAAAGCTTTTAAAGATGGTGACAAAGAACGACTCAAACAAGTGCAACAAGAGTTGAAGAAGAGACGAAGATGGCAAAGCTTGAGTACAAAAAGAAGATAGAGAGGAATCTACAACACAGCAAGTTGTGGCATGTATCAGAAATGGACAAGAAGCTGAATACAGAGATCTGATAAGAGTCTTCAGTGACTGGAGTCACAAAAACTGCCTCCTCCTCAACACCTCAAAGACAAAGAAGATGGTCATAGACTTCCATAGATCCAAACCCTCTCTTCAGCCAGTGAACACCTGTGGAGTGGACATCGAAGTGGTGACATCATGTAAATACCTAGATGTACATCTGGATATTAAGTTTGACTGGTCTAAGAATATAGACTTCATTTACAGAAAGGGGCAGAGACGCCTCTTTTGCCTGAGAAGACTACAATCAATAGACATCTGTAGTAAGATGCTGCAGATGTTTTGTCAGCCTGTGGTGGCAAGTGTTCTGTTCTATGCTGCAGTCTGCTGGAGAGGAAGCATCAAACACAAAGATGCAAGACGTCTTAACAAACGTGTGAAAAAGGCTGGCTCTGTGGTTGGACTCAAGCTGGACTCAGTGGAGGATGTGGTGGAGAGATGTACACTGAGGAAGGTGGCAACTATTCTAAAGAACATGGATCACCCACTTCACAACACCTTGATGGACCAAAGGGCCAATAGTGGTGTACGACTCCTCTCTCTTCGCTGCATGACAGAAAGATTCAGAAGATATTTTGTACCAACAGCCATCAGACTTTATAACTCTTGTGTAAATAGTAGATAACTGTAAAAAGTAGATAACTGTAATAGTAGATAACTTTTAGAGACATGTCAAGTGAGACAACAGAAAATTGAATTTCCTTTCGGGGATTAATAAAGTTATTCTTATTCTATTCTTATTCCTTGGACATTCCAGTAGACATTCTCTGCTTTGAAGAAAGTGGGACCCAAAATCATGCAATCATATAATAATTATATGTTATGATAATTCTATTTTATGTTTATTGTGGCTGTTGTTTCGTCCTGTTTTTGGCAAATGTCAATAAAGTTTAATGAGAACTTTTGGTGAAATATATTTTTGAGTTGGCATAACTTAAAATTGAGTTTAATGAAAGCTAAAAACAGCTAAATGCATGTGAAAAAATTTGTTGTCACTTAAAATGGTGAGTTAAATAGGTATGAATTTTAATACAGATTATGAGTACAAATAACTTTTCTTTCAGTGTATTCAACTCAAATAATCTATTCTATTCTGTATTTAGGTAGATTCAACTTATCCGGGTTTACAGTGTAGCTGCTTAGAGTGGTTCATTGACCTCTTTGGATAGTCCTCACTGACAAGGTTCTCATCCTGAATCATTTCAGCTCCATGGGTTCAAGAAGTCCACCCATCGGATTTTCAGACTCAACAACATCGCCAAGGTGCTGTCCTTCCTGGAGGAGAGAAATGTAAGCCCAAGGGACAAACCTGCTGGATGGTTTAACACTCCTATCGCCTGGGTATTTAGGTAGAGCTGATCTACACCTGTTTTGTCTGGTAAAGCTGATTCAAACACCTGCGTCATCAGGGAAAGCTGGTTAAAAGACCTGTATTTTCAGGTAAAGATGGTTAAAAGACCTGTGTTCTCGGTCAAAGCTGGTTCAAAGGTCTGTGTTCTCGAATAAAAGCTAGATTAAAGACCTGTGTGTTGTCAGGTGAAGCTGGTTTAAAAGGCATATTGTCAGGTGAAACTGGTTTTAACACCATGTTATCAAGTGAAGCTGGTTTAAATAGCATGTTTTCAAGTAAAGCTGGTTTTAACACCATGTTAACACCATGTTATCAGGTGAAGCTAGTTTGAACGGCATGTTTTCTGGTGGAACTGCTTTAAACAGCATAATTTTAGCTCCGGCTGGTTTAAATGACATGTTTTCAGGTGAAGCTAGTGTCTATTCACGCTCCCAAGCGTCAAAGTCACATGACATATTTAACCAGATGTAGCTTCAAGACGGAGCCTCGTTGAATCTCTGTTATCTCAAAAGTGAGGACCTTTTACAGTTTCTTTTTTGCCTGTTCCATTTCACATGCCTCTCCGAGTTTTAACGCATCACACACCAACTCTTTACACCCCACTTTTTAATGCATACATCACAGTGAAGTTTTTAATGCACCACATGAACAACACACAAGAGGAGAGTCATGTGTGGCCCGGTGTATTTAGGGGTGGAATGGGTGGTCAGTTCGGTTGGCGGGTGGTCACAGGGCGGGGCCCTGTGGGGTGCCCCACGGGCGTGCTGGTCGGCCTGCTTTTTGGCAGTGCGGGGGGCCGGGCCGGGCTCTGTTCCTGACTATAGTGTTGGATATTGTCGTGATTTTTGTTGTTTTGTATCCTCATTACTATTATTATTATTATTGTCGTCAGCGTTGTCATTTGTTTATCGTCATTTTTATTGCCGGTATTACTATTGTTGTCATTATTGATGCTGTTGTGGTTGTTGTATCGTCGCTGTTGTGTCGGTGATTCGGGGGGGATTGTGTGTGTGTGTGTGTGTATTGTTATTATTACATATATATTTCAATGTGAGCCAATTAAGATTTTTTTATACTCTCTATTATATATATTCTTTCCCCCTCCCCTCCCTCACAAAAGTATTTTTGTTAATCTTTTATTATTTTTTTTGTTGTTGTTGATGTCGTTTTTGTTGTCACTCTGTTTTGTTGTTAAATCACGCTGTATGAGACAGTGACAGCGCTTACAAGTAGAAAAGGCTTGCTAAAAGAAAAAAAAAACACACGACAACCCCTCTCCTATTGGTGAAAAACTTTACCACAACAACCAATCAAAAATTATATGGCGACTGATTGACATGGAGCGGGCGCTTACGCTCTTCCTCCAACAGGAGAAAGCTGAGGGAGACTCAGCGGAGCCACAGTCTGATACGGAGACACGTTGTTGGTCCCCTAGCGACCTTGTTGTTAGATTCAGTGACTTTTTAGACCCCCTAACTACCTATTTAGAAAAAAGGCGACTTCTTCTGGAGTTTAGAGACTCTTACATGAAGCAGACTTTTCTTACTGAGGAGTTAGCAGCAGAGCCACACATAAGCTCTGAGCTTTGGGAGACTGATGCTGACAGAGCTCCAGCAGTGAGCAGGTTTCAGCCTCAGAGACCACCAGTTTCAGTTTAATTTTATTTTTTTGCTATAGACACAGTCAGAACAATCTGCAGTAACACTAATAAAAATGCAGCAAAAAACAAAGAATTATGGAAAAATTACAAATGGACTGACATATAGGAGGATCTACATAAGTTTTTTACATCATGTTTTACATCATTCCTCAATTACATCATGGTTTTTTTTTTGTAGTAGTAGCATAAATAAAATGTGACATTAGTGAGACTATACATTGTTTTGTAAATAGTTGTACAAAAAACGCCTGAGGCAATACCTGCATTTTAAGATAAATAATGGTAAATTACTAGGTTATTCGCTAAAATTGTATATATGTTTTGAAGTTTACAATTTATATTTGCATTCTAAGTAATAAAAATGTTATGTTAAACATATTTGTGGTTTTTACAGTAAAAAATGTTACTTTTTCCCACTTGGATTTTGTGGTTTATGTGTGAATTTAGGTCCTCTGTGCTAATACAGTAAAAATGATAAAGCTGCTCTTATAATGTTTTAAGGTAAAAGCTGTTAAAGACATCTGTTTTGTCAGTTAAAGCTGCTCCTAACACCTGTGTTTTTTTTTCTAGGTGAAGCTGGTCAGCATTGATGCGTCTGATGTTGCAGATGGAAACTCCTCCATCATCCTAGGTCTGATCTGGAACATCATCCTCTTCTTCCAGGTAGGGATGGCTATTGTTAGGATTCCTATGAATCGGATTCTGGTTCTGCTTGTCATTTCTGATTCCTAACAGTTCCTTATTTCAATTCCAAACAGGTGAAAAATAGGAAGCTACTGTATATGTATATTTAATTGACTGGCGACCGATTCAGGGTGTACCCTGCCTCCTACCCAATCCCTGCTGGGATAGGCTCCAGCCCACCTGTGACCTTGAAAGGGATAAGTGGTATAGAAGATGAATAAATGAATGTTTATTTAAGATTCTTTATTGCAAACTAAACAGCAACATCAATATCATGTGAATAAAGTGCATTCAGTAAGAGATGCTTCTGATAAAATGCTTCTAATGCCTTTCTTTTGTTGTTTGGCCCCTTATCGCCAAAAAAAAACAGGTTACTGTCTCAGTGGGGGGCTCTGTTGGGGCAGCCACGGGGGTGCTTGTCCTGGGGTTTGATGTCTCACACTGCAAGACATCAAACACTGCACAGTCCTTAAGTTTCGATGCCGTGCAGTCTTAAATGTTTTGTGAGGGTGGAAGTGCAACCTGTCTTGCAGCTTATTAACAACCCACACTTTTTCCCTGTTCATCACCACTCTAATACCACTCTAAATAAAGCCACACCTTTAACCGCTTTCTCCAGTCCATCTTCTGTCGCTAGTACCTGCTGCTGCTAGCTCCTCTGTCTGCTGTGTTGACAATGTGCAACATACCAGACACACAACCAACAGGTCCTGGCAGATATCAATCCATAAGTAGCCAATCTGTAAATGAGCACATCCAGGAGAAAATATGAAAAACTGAAATAATGACTTGTTTTATTGATACCTTGTAGGAATAAGAATAAGAATAACTTTATTTTATCCCCGAGGCGGAATTCAATTTTCTGTAGTCTCAGTTGTCATGTGTCAAAAAGTCATCTACTATTTACAGAAGAATTGTAAAGTTTGATGGCTGTGGGTACAAAAGATCTTCTGAATCTTTCTGTTCTGCAGCAAAGAGAGAGGAGCCGTCCACCACCATTGGCTCTTTCGTCCATATAAGGTGTTATGAGGTTGGTGATCCATGTTCTTTAGAATAGTTTTCCCCTTCCTCAGTGTACATCTCTCCACCACATCCTTCACTGAGTTCAACTCGAATCCAACCACAGAGCCAGCCTTTTTCACCAGTTTGTTCAGACGTTTTGCATCTTTGTGTTTGATGCTTCCTCCCCAACATACTGCAGCATAGAACAGAACACTGTAGAAACCACAAGCTGATAAAATATCTGCAGCATCTTACTACAGATGTCTATTGATTGTAGTCTTCTCAGGCAAAAGAGGCGACTCTGCCGCTTTTTGTAGATGAAGTCTATATACTGAGACCAGTCCAACTTAATATCCAGCTGCTCCAGGGTTTTCATGATGTGCGAAGTTAGGGCCACTGGTCTGAAGTCATTGAGTTCAGCTGGACATTTTGTTTTTGGTACTGGCACAATACCGAATGTTTTCCTCAGAGCAGGTACCCACCCCAGCTGTAGACTCAGGTTAAAGATCCTGTGGAGAGGTTGACACAGTTCTGCAGCACAGACTTTAAGCAGCCTTGGACACACACCATCTTGGCCAGCTGCCTTCCCCGGACAGAGTCTTCCAAGCTCCAACCTCACCCCTGTTTCTGTGACAGACAAGGTTTGAAGTAGTTGAGACATTTGAACAAGATGGAGGAAGAAGGGGAGAAGTTGTACTGGAGATTTGTTGTGAAGAGGAAGATGGAGTAGCAGTGGGTACATCAGCAGTGTCAAATCTGTTGAAGAAAAAGTTGAGTTCATCAGTTCTTTCCACATCACCCACCACTGGCTGTCTCACTGCAGTACTCACTAAATTTAACTCAGTTCCTACTTGGAACTGAATTTTAGTACCTAACCCTACTTTCAGGTTTCAGTCTCTCTCTCTCTCTCTCTCTCTCTTTCTCTCTCTTCCCCGCTCCCTTCCTCCCTCTGAGGGGGTAACACCTTTCTGAGTTTCCATTCTGGTCTTTGTTTGACCACTTCATAAGGTCAGCTTTGAGAATTGAATCTGTGGAGTTTCCGTTAACTTGGCGTGTCAGATTGGAGCTGGCTGTGTGATTTATATAATCCAGACTGCGGGTCAGTGACTGGGACAGACAGGAGCCAGTGGGTTCACTCAGACCATCCTGGTGTCATAGAGTCTGTCCCTTATGAGGCTGAATGAAGCATCAGGATGACCTGGATTAATAGAAATACGTTGGAGACACTTAAACTCATTTATAGGACATAAAATCAGCTGAGAAGAGAGGAATCTGTTTAACTCATATGAAGTCTTCCAGGACTTCATCATTTCACCCTACAGTTAAAAAGCTGTCATTGTTCTGTTTTGCCTAAATGTCAGAATAAGAATCAGAATCAGCTTTATTGGCCAAGTACTGTATGTATGGACATACAAGGAAATTGACAACTGTAAACTTTGCCCTCTATGTACAAATGTCTTCAAGCAGCTGGTTTTTTTGTACATGCAGCTGGATGGTTTGCAAATTATCTTTTAGACAGAACCCAGGCTGTCCAGTTAGAGGGTGTTTCCTTTGAGATTTAGTTTATCCACAAGGGGGTACCGCAAGGTTTAGAACTAGGCCCGTTGTTATTTACTTTGTATAAACATTATTGAAATGAATATCCCAAATGCAGCCTTTCATGTTTTTCTCTAATTCAAAATCAGCAAGGTCTGGTCAGTCTGTTATTGTCACCAGTAATGGCTAACAAATCAAATTTGTATCTACTTTTAGATATTTGGGGTTCCTGATTGGTGGAGCCATTCTCAGGGTTCACCTGAGTGGCGCTGTGGGGGCCGAAAAGGACATTTAAGGTGCCCACTAATTGTTACAGATGTGGTGCACAAGAATCCTTTGTTTTTTGACTGCAGGCTGGTTGCTGGTTTGTTTTTTGAGGTATTGGTTAATTATGCCTTTGTGCAAAAATGAGTAAACAGATTGGCTTTTGCCTACAGAAGTATGATTGTGCTTAACTTAAATGGAATAAGTTGTGGACTCTCAAGGAGCAAGCTGAAACATCACGCAGAGGTCGCGATAACCTAGCCAGGTTATTCCTCCTCATTCTTTGCGCACATAATGTTACTGAATCTAGTCCTGACCAATTGCAGCAACCCCAGATCATAGCACTGCCCCCATAGGCTTGTATGGTAGGCACCAGGCATGATGGGTGCATCACTTAACCTGCCTCTCTTTCTACCTTGATGTGCCCATGACTCTGGGCAGAGGGTTAATTTGGACTCATCAGACCACATGACCTCCTTCCATTCCTCCAGGGTCCAGTCTTTATGCTCCCCAGCAAGCTGAGGCTTTTTGCCGCTTAGCCTTACTGATTACTTTTATTAAGGCTACACAGCTGTTCAGTCCCTATCCCTTGGGTTCACTTTGCATTGTGCATGTGGAAATGCTCTTACTTTCACTGTTAAACAGACCCCTGAGTTCTACTGTTGTTTTTCTTTGATTTAATTTGACCAAACGTTCAAGTGAACACTGATCACGATCATTCAAGATTGTTTTTCTAGCCATATTTCTTCCTGGAAAATAATGGTTCCCCACTATCCTTCCAGTTTTTGATAATGTGTTGGACAGTTCTTAACCCAATTTAGTAGTTTCTGCAATCTCCTTACATGTTTTCTCTGCTTGCATCATACATGCCAATGATTTAACCCTTCTTAAACAGACTAACATATTTTCCACAACCACAGGGTATGTCTTTTGACATGGTTGTTTAAAAAATTAGAAGTTACTCAATGCATCAGCTGAGGTCAAATAACTTGTGGCCAGCTAAAAGATAATGGCCCATGCAGTAATTAACCAGTAGGAGCTTTGTACCTATTTGCTTAATTAAATCCAGGTGGCAACTTTTATTTTGGCCAGGCAGTGTATTACAGGTGGGGTATGTACAAGAGGTAAAGATTTATTATGTTTAACTGTGTAAACATAAACAAAAAAATATTAGGTATGGTGTGTAGAGGGTTGTGTCAGGACAGGAATGATTTTAGAGTAACTATTTAACAGTTTTAAAGTCAGTTATAAAACACAATATTTTTATAATCTTTGTTCCCAACAAATAACCAGAAAAACTAACCTGTTAAATCCATATTCAGAAAGACTATAATAAACTAACTAACTCTCACTGACTAACTCTTTGGATGGAGGTGACACCTGCAGAACGGTGGAGAGGGATGAGCTGGTGGATAAACAGGTGGAAGAACGGGTGTGTAAAAGGGTGGATGAACGGCTGTATGAGCAGGTGGATGAAAAGGTGTATGAGCAGGTAGATGAACGGGTGGATTAACGACTGAATAAGTAGGTGGATGAAAGGGTGGTTGGTTTCCTCCTGTGCTGTCACTATTGTTTTCTGCAGAGTGGAGCATCCACACAGACGACCAAACTGGTGATGTCAGTTCCTGTCAAGTTTAATATTTGCTTTGAGGGGACTGAATAGAGACTGTTTGATTGATTTCTGCTGCAGGTAGAGTTCTTCTTGTTCATCTGAGCGGTAGGACTAACTGTACTGCAGTCGTGTTCCTGTCCTGTGAGATACAGTTCATAACCAAGAGTCAGTATTTTAATCTTTGGCTTTCCTGCGTGCATGTTACAGCTGAATTTTTCCTGATGCCAGCTACAGCAGGAGCTTTGATCAGTCAGCTAATAGCTCGCCCTCTTACTTGGTGTCTTCTTCTAAATCAGATAAGTTTGACAATTGTAAAACAGAGTGAAAAGTGCTGATGTGCTGAGAGTCTGCATTCAGAACAGTCTGAACAGTTCCATGTGGAGGTTTCTTTATCAGAAGGCTTACCTGTGCCATCTCATGTGAACTCATATATTTATACAAAGACTTATTTGTGAAATGACGTGACTGCAGTCTGTCCGCTTAGATCTAATCCCTGACCCTGCTGCCCCTGTCTGATTATATCTGGAGTGTTTTGGTTCTGAGAGGTGGTTTCTTAGACAAACATGAACTCATTAATCCTGTTATTCTGACTAAGACCTCATGTTTGTTGAATAGATGTCTCCTTTTATATCTGGAGAATTTTCAGTCTGATTAAACTTCCCATCTGAGCTGTTTTCAGGTAACTGATATGCTCTTTTCTTTAACTCAGCACATTGTTCACTCAGGTGTCAGCACGGGGCTCATGGTTAGATAACCTGCAGGGTGAATCAGTTACTCGGCATCTGACTGCTTGCTTAAACAGCCGACTACAGAGGAATATGATCTATCTGTGTATCCCTGCAGATTAAGGAGCTGACCGGGAATATCAGGAGCCAGTTCCCCTCCTCCTCCAGCCTGTCCTCCATCCCTACCAGCTCAGACTCTGATGCCTCCTACTGCAGCACGCCATCAGATGAGAAACAGACGGCATCCTCTGCCATGCGAGACCACAGCAAGGCCATCAAGAAGCTGCTGCAGTGGGTCCAGAAGAGAACACGCAAGTAAGTTTGGTCTGGGGTTTTTGAGAAATGGTTCACTGAAGTCCTGGAGGTCTGCTTCCGTTTAACCTGCTACATTTCAACACAGCAGCAGGGGAAGCCATGAGTCTATTTCAGAGCTTTCTCCTAGAACTTTTCTGGTTATTCTATATGACTTTACTCTGACCTTGTCTTGTCCCAGGTATGGTGTTGCAGTACAGGACTTTGGGAGGAGCTGGACCAGTGGTCTGGCCTTCCTGGCTGTCATAAAGTCCATCGACTCCAGTCTGGTGGACATGAGGAAAGCCCTGCTAAGGACAGCAAGGGAGAACCTGGAGGATGCCTTCAGGATAGCTCACTATAGCCTGGGTATCCCACGCCTGCTGGAGGCTGAGGGTAACAAGATCTAAAGCCTGTTGTACCCACAAATCCAGGTCTTGGAGAGCTAAGAAACTGTAAAAATAATAACCAAACCAGAGTCTGATGGTTCATGAAGCATTACATTTAAGTGATAAACAATACAAAGAGGGTTTAAATGCAGTTTGAGAAAACAGCAGTATGTCAATGCTGCATCTAAACTGAACTGGACAGATTGGTGGAAAATGACCTTCAGATATGGATGTTTATTATTATCCATGTCTCGTGGCACTTTTGTTCCTACAGATGAGATAAAAGGGGCATCTTTAATCGCTTTAAAGTTTAGGAGAGTGAAGGAGAGGTGAGATGGTTGTTCATAACCTTGATGGTTTTCTGATAAAGTCTCTGTCTAATAAAGTCTCTGTGCTCTGTCTGGTTTGGGGACCTCTGAAAGTCTTTCTCAACCTCTGACAGAGGAAGTTTGTAAACCCTGTTAGGGAGGATTTTCTAGTCCTAAGCCAAAAGAAGAAGTAATCAGACACACTAAAAATGCAGAGGAGGTCTGCTCCACATTTCTGTGTTTCAATTTGTTAAGATGTGAGGACTTTGTGCAGAGATTCCAGCTCCTCTGAACAATTAAATAAAAGTCAAGTCTACATATCGTAGAGGGTCTTGATGTGAATTTGTAGTGATTGTTGTTTATCTGCACAGATGTGACCATCAATGCGATTGATGAGCAGTCCATCATCATTTATGTGTCTCAGTTTTTAGAGCACTTCCCAGGCAACCAGGAGGTGAGTCTGAACATATATAAAAACAGATTTTGACTGGATGGTCCTCTCATTGATTTATTTCCTCTGATCTTACTGAATCTCAGGATGAGCACTGCCAGCTGACTGAACGGAGCGTCTCCATGTGCCGACTGAACTACGGAGACGCCAACTCTGAGTACATGAGGAACAGCACTTCCCGAAGCAGAGTGAGGGAGAGATCCTACATGTTTGAGAGGGACTTTGCTCAGCCCCCTCCCAAAATCCTCATATCATCCATGTCTGAGGATCGGAGCTCCAAGTCACTGTCCTACAGGGTGGCTGCAGCTCGCTCCTGGTCCAGTGAGGACATCTTAGCAGATACAGAAGAACTCTCCAGAAGTGAGGTCAAAGACAAACATAAGAAACTGTCCAATGAGGCCTCAACAAACTCAGCATCCAACCACCAACAACTCACCTACAGTCAATCACCCAGCAGCTCCTTAGTGCCTGAGTCCTTCAACACTGAGTCTGCCATTGGCGACTCAGCGATCAGCTCCCCAGACTCCTGGGTGGAGAGTGAATTAGGGGTCACACCAGAGAAGTTCAGTGAGAGTTGCAGTGATGGTTCTTTGTGTGACAGTGGGACAGCTTGGGACATTTACCGAGCCACGCCAGTGGAGATCACCACCATGGACGACGTGGTCCCTCTTATAGAGGACAAAACCCCTGACGAACAGTCCATCACTGAGTCTTACATCGACGAGGAGATTTACTCTCTGAGCTCAATGGAGAGTACTCTGAAGAAAGGGGGTGAAAGGAAGCAAGAGGAGGTAAAGAAGGAGGGAGAGGCCAAAGCCAAGAAAACACACCAGGAAGAGGAACAGGTGACCAATGACAGTAGAGCAGAGACTGAAAACGAGCCTTACTCCAAACAGATAGACATGGATCAACTTCTGAAAGAGCAAGAACAATTTCCTGTACCTTGCAATGTAAAGACACCGGTGAACCCTGATTTCCCTGAAAATGATAAAACCAGCCTGCCAAATCCCATAAAATCCCATAAAACCACCACAGATTTCCCTGGCATTAGAGAAGATCAGAGTGAGCAGAGCAGTGCTGAGGATAAAACTCATAAGGAAGCAGACTGTGAAGAGAAAACTGAGGACATAAATGAAGTAACACAGAACCAGAAAGTACAAATAAACGGTATGACTAAAAGTTGGAATGTAAAGAGTAAATCTGAGGAGGTGAAGGTGGAAACTGAATGTGTGAAAACAGAGTCTACCTCAGAGGAGACAAAAGAGAAGGTAGAAGAGCAATCAGAGGTTTTAAAGGAGGAGGATGGAGGAGTGGTAAAAACAGAAGACAAAGCCAGTGAAAAGGTTCTAAGTGACTCACCAGAGACCCCTTATGTAGTGAACTTAGACAGGGCCTCAGAAACAGGTCTGACTCCGGCCATCAACATTCCTGTGATCTCTGTTTCAAGTGAACCAGAGGAACAGGAAGCAGCCAAAACATGCGACAAAGAAAGACAAGATCCTGTTACAAAAGACAAGCATATGTCTGGGAGTGCTGTTACTGAAGATGCCAGCATCCCCCAAAACCCAGACGAGTGGAACCACAACTCAAACACCAATGAGGACCAGAAGCATGCAGAGACTTCAAGTGGCCTGGAGTCAGCAAATGCTAAACCACCGACAGACGTTGGAGATTTGGAGGGTACCAGTGAGCATAAATCATCAGATTCAGATGTTTGCCCAGCAGACACAAAGGAACAAGAACCCCAGAATCATGAACCTCAAACACATCCCTTCGAGAAGGATTTGGTAGATCTGAGGTCTTCAGCAGACTTTAAACCTGAACCTGTGAACAAAGGGCAAGAAGCCAACTTAACTGACCAACCCAGTGGACTCCAGGGCAAACTGATAGACGTCTCTTTGGGTAGTAAGACACCTCCCACCCAGCAGACCACATCAGATGGAGTCAGCTCAAAACCCGACGGTCTGACAGGAACTTCCTATGGTGAAAGAGGCAACACGTCCAAAGACACAGACTTGTTTTCTGCAGACCTGAATCGAAACTCTCCTACAAATGATCTTCTTGGTGACCCTGTTGAACCAATGGACCTGTTCTACCCAGACAAAGAGGACCCCATGTTCACTGAGCCTCCAGACTCTGAGATTGAGAGCTGGCCGTCTGTTCTAAGCGTGTCCGCTCTCCAGCCAGCACCAGCCTCAGAAACTCTATCTGACGACCAGCCACTCATCCTGCTAGAGCAGGACATCGGGATCAGAGTAGATACAATAAACAACAATGATAAGGTAAAGGGGTTTGACCTCAGTGACCTTAGTTTGACCAGAAGAATTCACCATGAAGGCAGCTTCTAAACTAAAGTAAGAATTTGGTTTAACTCCACTTTTAGGCTCTTTCTATGGATGGAGCATGGAGTCACCTACTGTATGTGATGTGTGCAGAAATGTCACTACTGCAAATATAGCAAGGTATTTTAGCTGATCCTAAAACATTTTTTTCTGCATTCATAACTTATCAGGACAAATGAAACTCCCCTAGTGGAACTTGAAGTATCTAACTTTTAGTAAATTAAATATTATGATGAATATAGCCAAGACTGAGTTCAGGAAAAGGAATGATGCTGTTTGATTCCAAACTACTGGCTGTGTAAAGCTGGATTGACAGTATTAAACAATTTTGATGTGCAGAAAACACATTTAATTAATAACTCAATTAGTGTCTGTTGATCTGAATTTTACAGAGTGATAATTAAGAGTCTCTATTATAAACTTTGGCTGAATTGCATGGACTGTAAAAGTCAAAGTCAACTTTATTGTCAAATATGCTATACATGTTAAACATACAGTACAGATGAAATTTCCGTCCTCTCGGACCCACAGTGCATAACAATCAAATATAAGAATAAAACAACAAAAGTATAAATATAGAATGAACAACTAAGCTAAACATAAGACTAACTTCAGAGGCTAACGTATTTAGCAGCTAGCTAATGTTATCCACAGTCAGCAACATCAGCATTGCCATCAGCTCTCTTCTCTGGGTGCTTCCTGGACAGATGTCAGTTAAAGTTTGATATTGTCCCCGTCTTCCCTTCAATGGTTTTTTTACACCATGAATATGTTGCTCTACATTTACCAGCGTCTGTGGTAAAATCTTTGAAAGCAAACCGCAGAACCCGTGGACCCTCCTTTGGCATTTTGCCCTGCACTGTTGCTGAATGAGACAACATGTGAACGCGCATGCAGGTAAACAAAAATATGTGCCCGCCGTGGGCTGAAGACTGATCTGTTGTTAGGACCTTATATCAGAAGAATTAATAAATAAAAAATAACAAAGCATTTATTGATAAATAACCCTGAGTCCTCCAAGTCCCAGTGCAGCCAGAGCTTGAGTCCAAGTCCAAGTTATCAGCGTACAAGTCCAAGTCAAGTCACAAGTCTTGCATACCCGGACTTGAGCCAGACTCGAGTCCAAGTTCTGAACTAGAGTACTACAACACTGCTGTAAGGACATTTGTCAAGAGATGACAAGAACAGCTAGACACAATTAAACAGTTGTAATCAAAAGCCTTGAAAGGGTTTGACCCCATTACAACAGCCACAATGTAGCTGCTAGTGCTCACCCCACTGAGGACTCCTTTGGAAACAAAGAACAGTACCAGCTGGATTGGAGTCTCAGCTGTTACTGAAACCTGGAGCTGTTCACCTAAAAAGAACTTCATAAGGCTCAGAGACACAAGCTGGAAAAAAACATTACAACAGCAGATAATGAAACCCTGGGAGTACGGGGTGGATGGTTCCTTATCAAGGGCCGCCCAGTCCCTCTACCAAAGGGGCACGAGCTTGGTCTGTGTAACCGGTTGTAAGTCAGACTTATTTCCAGTGAGAGTTGGACTCCGCCAGGGCTGCCCTTTGTCACTGGTTCAGTTCACAACCTTTATAGACAGAATTTCGAGGCACAGCTAGAGGTTGGAGGGTGTCCAGTTTGGCAGGCAGAGGATTGCATTGCTGCTTTTTATGGATAAGTCCAAGGCCATGGTCCTCCTCGGTAAAAGGTGGATTGCCTTCTCCAGGTCGGGGGGGAAGTCCTGCCTCAAGTGGAGGAGTTCAAGTATCTTGGGATCTTGTTCACGAGTGAGGGTAGAATGGAGCAGGTGATCGACAGGCAGATTGGAGCGGCGTCAACAGTGATGCGGACGCTTAACCGATCTGTCGTGATGAAGAAAGAGCTGAGCTGTAAGGCTCGACTCTCGATTTACTGGTTGATCTATGTGCCGGCCCCTCACCTATGGTCATGATCTTTGGGTAATGACCAAAAAAACGAGATTGCGGATACAAGTGGCTGAAATGGGTTGCGGCCGAAATGGGTTTTCTCTGCAGGTTGGCCCGGCTCAGCCTTAAAGATAAGGTAAGGAGCTTGGACACTCGGGAGGCACTCAGAGTAGAGCCGCTGCTCCTCCACATCGAGAGGAGTCAGCTGAGGTAGGATGCCTTCTGGACGCCTCCTGTTAGAGGTGTTGCGGCCCAGGAGGAGACCTTGTGGCCGGCCCAGGACCAGGTGGAGGGATTACATCTCTTGCCTGGCCTGGAAGTGCCTGGGAGTCCCCCCGGAGGAGCTGGTGGAAGTGGCCAGGGTGAGGGTCATCTGGGCTTCCCTCCTGAAGCTGCTGCCCCTGCGACCCAGACCCGGATAAGCGGAAGAAAACAACGACAACTTGGATAATGAAACTTGAGCTGTGTAAAAAATAACACCCCAAACTGTGTCTAGCTTTCTGTCAGAGTAAAAATATCTGAAACCAAGTCTTAGTCAGAGGCTGTATAGTGATAAAATGAAGGCTTTCACCAACTCCAGTATGAGCTAAATGATGAATTGTTAGTGATTTCATTTGGACCTGTGAACCATAAAGATTTGTTCTCAACAAGAGCTAATGTAAATAAAAAAGTCAAAAGCAGATTTTATTGAAGGGAGCACTGGAAGAGTTGCCGAATACTTATTTTACGAGGAACTCCCCTGCACTGTCATACTGTACAATGACTTTTTGCAGGATTGTATCTTACCAGCTTATTTTGTCCTCAGAATCTTTCCTTCATTTTTGACTCTGTGCACGTGACTGATCCCTACATCTGTGCAGGGTTGTCTCAGTGTATTGCGTCGTGATTGTTTTTTTCAATCTTTTTAAAACTTGAGTCAAATAAGTTTTGGCTTCATAGCACTGCAGTTGGATTTCTGCTGACTTCATTGAGACTATTATAAACAGTAAAACTGAGTCTCAGCAGTGTCAGAGGAATCCTGCACAGCTGTGCTTCTCCAGCCTCTGGATTGTTTGTTTTTCCGACATATCTGAAAGGCAAATATTTGTGTGTTGTGCTCAAACCGACGGGTCAAAGTTACATGAGGAGCAATAGGCTTAAACCGTCTCACTGTGTGTCTAAACAAATCACTAGAGTTTTAATCGAGAGCCTAAATTGACTGATCTGAGGCTGTCGATGAGAGAAATCTCACTGAGATGATTCTCCCTCACCAGAGCATCAGTTACTGCCTTTGTACCTCACAATGAAACTAAATCCAGAGAAAAAGTCAACAAACTTAAGAAATCCTCCTCTGGGGGTAGAAGTTTAACTGAAGTATGTTTTTCTGAGCCTGCCATCTCCATACTTGAGTTATCCCGCAAGTTGACCATGATCTCTGTTTGTTTATCCCCATCAGTCCATCCCTCTGATCAACCTGGAGACAAGCTCACCACCTATGTCTCCAGACTGCTGTTTGCTGAAGAAAGAGGGACTGTGGGGTGGAGATGTTCCAGCAGACTGCAGTGACCTTCATGAGAATGAAGACCTGAGTCCAAACACAGAGCCTGAGAGGTGGGTCTGCTATTCTTAGTCATCAGCCTGCTCTACACTGCGATAAACACATAATTAAACACATTCATGAAAACACACACATTGAAACACACACTCATTGAAACACACTCTGAGACAGACCGTGGACCCCAGGGGAAATGGTGTGGTGGAGCTGGATGTGACTTGCCTGACCTGGGACCCTTGTCAAGTTGGCTCAGAGATTTCCTTAAATGTCTTGGACAGAGTTTTCTCTGCAGGCTGGGAACCAAACAGGCCTTATGTGGGTCCAAACCCTGTTGCAAGGAGGGAGGGGGGCTGAAAGTGGCAGAGAGCATATGAAATCAAAGGCTGACTAAGATCCTGTTTGACAGTCAGTGAATATATAAAGTTACTCTCATCATTACTGTCTCCCTGACATATAGACTGTAGATAAAAACCGTCTTGTCTGTCTATATAAGATCCTGCCAGAGTGATGATCTTTAGTCCACATAGTCCAGAGTTTAAGGTGTCCGAGTATTCAGATTAGTGCTCTGAAATGTCTGGAGTTCTACTGAAGATTTGGGCCATCAGAAAATGTGAATATCAGATAAAAATGATTGATAAACAAATGAGCCTGAAGTGGGTGGGGTCTTAACAACATCTTGGTATCCTGGAAAAGGGTTGACTTAGACTGCTGTCGCACAACTAGACCCTGTATAAGGGGAAGAAAATGGATGGATGGATGGATGGATGGATGGATGGATGGACAGATGAATGGATGGACATGTGGACAGATGGACAGGTGGATGGATGGATGATAACAGATTCTAATCAGAAACAAACAAGTCATTTGTTCTGTTCATAACTTTTCATGATGCAACATTGATTCTGTTCTGATGTTGTACTGATTACTGGGGTAACCATTTAGTTTGTGATTAGTTAGCTGAAGCAGCAGCACTAGCACCATGCTGAACAGTGGGCTGACAGGGTAGCAGCTTTAGCAGCTGATGAGACTCTAAATAGAAACTCCTCTTATATCTTAGACATCAGTTTACAGTTCCTCCATGCACACCCACTAACCAGGGGTCCGTTTCACGTAGGTGGTTCAACAAACTCTGAGTCAAATCCTTAACTCTGAGTTGATCTACTTTGAGATAGGAAACTCTGAGTTTCCAGTTTCACAACACCAGAGGACTGTACTACAAAGCTGGATCAACACATCCAGGGTAACTCTGCGACAACTCGCTCAACTTCACCGGATCTCTGCGATCCCGATCAGCTGTACTACGAAGCCAGTTATCAACTCGATAACTGAATCCAGGTGTGGTCACTTCAGATCTGGGGTGGGGTCAGTTCCACCGGACCAATCTCCACAATGGAGAAGGCTGCACGTCATTTTTCACAGCCGAAGAACAGAGCATTATTTTACGAGGAGTACCGCAACATTATAACAGTGAGGAGCAGGACAGCTGCAGCCGCTAAAAGCTGGAGGGACTGCTGGCAAAAAAAAATCGATTGTGTAAATTACATTTGTGCGTTCATAAATTTATGGCCCCCTAATATGTTGTCATGCAGCGTGTGTGATCACCTCCATCAATGACCTCATTATTTCAGAAACAACAGCAGTGGGGAAAAGAGTACGTGGGAGCAAATAAATCTAAAAACATCCTTTAAAATATTTTGTAAGTTTATTGGAAGATTTTATTTGTACATATTTCAACGCGTAAACAGTGATTTCCTCACACTGCCTTTTTTTTTTCTTCATCATCTGATGGTCACATGTCATCTGCAGACACATTTGGGGTCAAGAGGAGTTTTCCAATCTGCTTCAATAAATTCTGAATGATGACTGATATGCTGCATGAAATTGGAACCTGGAGCTTGGCAAATATTAATGCATTGCTTAGACTACCTGAAGATTGAGGCCGTCCGAGGAAAACCTCTAACGTTCATAGAGAACGTCATCAGGTAAATCAAACGGATTTGAACTATTATGAATATAACGCAAAGCGCTCCTCTCACTATCCGTGCAACGATGTCCCCGGGATCCGGCAAAAGTGGGCAAGCCATTTTCCAAGAGATCCGATCGGTGATTGGGCGGTCTTTTATACCTGCTGAGATCTTATCCTGAAACATAACCTGCTCCGGAGCAGGTTTGGCATTCCGCGTAAGTTACCGGGGCAACGGACCCGGATAAAAGAAATCCACCTTCGTTGTACGGAAAACCCAGAAGTTATCCAGAAGTTATCTCGCTAAGACCAAATCCAGCTTCGTAGTAAAGGCCTCTGATTTAAGTCAGTTTTAGCAACTCCGAGTAGTTTCACCTGGACTTAAGCACGTGCACGCCAGACATAAACAGCCAGCATCTGTGGAGCCCAGATTCATTGATCAACCATGGAAACAGGGAGAAGCAGGGCAGCATTTTTTACGCCAGTGGAGCTGGAAGTACTGATGCAAGCCTACGTCGAATACAGCACGTTTTTAAAAGAAAGTGCAATACAGCAGCAGCTGCAAAGGAGAGGGTGAGGGCATGGGAGTAAATTGCTGCTTGCGTCATTGCGTAAGTTTAGATCAAGTCTTGTGCAATCACAATGACAGACTGTTGCAGGGGAAACTGCTTACATGGAGCCAATTCATTTATTTTATGTAGGTGCAATCCAGCGGGACAAAAGCGCACTTGGCAGCAGCTGAAAATTAAATATAAAAACATTGTGCAAACAGGTGAGACATCTGCATTTTCTCATTTTGATCATGTTTTACATTGTCAAGTAAGTATTAAGTGGCAGTTTGATCCCTTACAAAATGCTCTTTTCACACTCAAAAATGAATTTTTGCTGAATGCTGCTGCTGCGGCCGATGGAGGAGAAATTGGCTGAAAGAGGGCGGAGACAGAGAGAAACTCTGGGTTTACTGAGGAAAACCTGGTACTGACCAGGGGCCTGTTCTACGAAGCAAGTTGAACCTAGCGAGGTAGCCTTGGAGCTACCTCACTCAACTTAGCGCGGTAGCCAGCGGTCTCGCTAAACAGTCTTACGACGCTGGTTATCAACCTCGTAAGTTGATCCAGCTTTGCCATGAGCGCGTGCACCAATGTAAGGCAGAGCCCGCCGCATCTGACCAATCGTGAACATGGACCAGTCTGGAGTGTCAGAGCTGGCAGGAGAGCTAAGGACTGCATACTTTACAAACGAGGAGCAGGAGACGATCATGAGAAAGTATGAAGAATTCAAATCTATCATAAACCTCAAAAGCAACACCGTCGCCGCTGCAAAAGCACGGAGTGAATGCTTGCAGAAAATTAATCTTTGATGCCATTATCATCCTGAAATAGCACTGTTCAACATGCGCTTTTAAATTAGGTGACCAGACGTCCCCGATTTCCAGGGAAAGTCCCCGAATTGGATGATCTGTCCCCGGCTAAAGCTGTCCCCGAAAATGTCCCCATTTTTAAGCGTTTCATGAATGAGAGCAAAAATGTTGCATGTGGGCTAGAACAACGGTTATTACAGTGGGTAGGAAGCACAAGTAAGCAGTCCTGAACAACAGTATTTACGGGGGTTATTATAAGGGGCGTGCGCCGCTACTAAATAGTACCGAGATGTCGTCTGTGATCACACAGCCCATGCCCATTCATTTCCAAGATGAATTCATTCATTTGTTCATTCCTATCGTGTTCACATTTTTTGTGTGATATGTAGGCCATATGAGCCTTTCATAAAGGTGGTCATCCGGAAAAGTAAGTGGGTCCGTATAGTCCATGAAAACTCTCGCGCGCCGGAGTGCTCCTCGGACAATACGAGCACCGAGGTCTACAGGATCCGCCAAGAACGGACAAGCCATTTTTCAAGCGAGCTCATTGGTCAGTGGGCGGGGTTTTTATACTCCGTGAGTTCAATCTGGAACCTAACCTGCCCCGGAGCAGGTTAGCCGTTCAGCGTAAGTTGTCATGGAGACTCGCCTCGCTAAGAAGTGAACCCGCGTCGTAGAACAGGAAACCCCGAACTTACCCTCGAAGTTACCTCGCTAAGCAGTTATCCTGCTTCGTAGAACAGGCCCCAGGTTAGGTTCACAGAGTCTGTTACGATGGTAACTGACCGCGAGGTTGAGTTACCTCTCTTTGTGAAACAGGTTCGGGTTCGGGTCACTCTGGTTTAAGTGACCCTCCTTTGTAAAACGGAAAACTCAGAGTTTCCCTGATTTCAGGGTTAACAGACTCTGAGTTTCCATTAAACCTGCTACGTGAAACGGACCTCTGATATAAAGACCAGGGCAAACCCTGACACCTGGTCATGTGTTTGAACTCTGGTATTCGCGCATACGTGTACAGTATACAACAGTGATAGAACAGCACTAATACATCTCATCCGTAAACTCATAAACCTTTAGACCAGCATATTTAATCCTTTTAAGTATCTTTTGTTATGTAGTCAGTAGTATGCCAAACTGGCTGTGGTCTTCAAAATTCACTTTTATGCTCCTGATTTCTGGAGGTAATCCAGATCTCGCAAATATTCCTGGTGCCTTTTCTTCTCAGTTCTGCTCTCATGTTAGACTTATAAACCTTATTTTGTCTTTCCAGGACTGACTCTAAAAGCTCCATCAGACCAGATGAAGTCAAGACCCCTCCAGTTCTTCGTCACAGGAAGGGGGCTCGCCTCTCTGAGTCTTTGGTGGGTTTGACTCTTGATTCCTCCTCTGTATAAACCATCCCTGTCATTACTTCGACATTCGTTTGTCTTTCCCTGCAGGGTCAGACGGCTGCAGGAGTTAGAGACCCAGAGGACAGAGACTCTGCTGTTTGGTAAGAAGCTTTCTATCTGAGCTTCAGACGCTCACACTGCACACAGCTCTCCTTGTGATGAAACTAGTGTGTGTGTGTGTGTGTGTGTGTGTGTGTGTGTGTCTGTCTGTCTGTCTGCGTGCCTGCGTGCCTGGGTGTGTGTGTGTGCAGGTGGGCTGACGGCTGCTGGGAGCTATACCTGCTGCTGGTGCTGTGGCTGCTGCTCTACTGTTTCTGGCTGCTGCCTCAGATGGACCTGAAGACCCTGCCCAGCGTGCTGCTCAACCTCTGAACACACACTTTCTGGATGTCTTTCTCTCTCTCGCTCTCTCTCTCTCTCTCTCTTTCTCTCTCCCTCTCTCACATACACACTTGCGCACACTGGCATACACACACATATACACACACACATGCACACAAAATGGTTTGACGGTAGTTGTCTCAGCTGAGACTGTGGTCCAGAGGCAAGCCCAGAAAACCTGAATCACACCACACAGATACAGACTCACACTCTGAACATCAGCACTTGTTACATAAGAGCTCCTTTTCACGCACAAACGCACACACACGCACACACACACACACACACACACACACACACACACACACACACACACACACACACACACACACACACACACACACACACACACACACACAGCCCTACTGCCACTGCTGACCCCGTTCATCTCAACATGACGTGTCAGAGCTGCTGCTGCTGCTGCTGCAGGGGGGAAATAATTCTGTGATTTTAGGAACGGACATGAAGAACATGTACACTACTGCATGCTGTCTGACATGAAGAGCATTCATTCATTATCAGCATTTTTAGTCTGAATCAATGAGAACCTCTGCCGAAGGACCAGGACCCAAAACCTTCCAGAGACATCCGTGTTGTATGTCAGACAGTGTGCAGGAGTTTGCCAGTTTTAAAGTCTCCGAGCTTTGTATTTTTTAACCTAAATCTATCATCTTTTAAGAGAAATTATTTTGAAAAGTGCTCTGCATAATGATAATTCTACCTTGTCATCACAGAAAAGGGCTTATTGTAGAAATAAAGTTAGACTTTATTATTCTATCAAAATATTTAAGAATTAATATTTCTAGAGAAAGTTAGTCATGTGGTCAAAATATGACTTAGAGTTGTAATTTCACTGGAATTATCATTTTTCAAAATGTAGTTAGTGTAATTGTTGTTTTAATCAATAAAGTAGAGTCAAAAAATATAAAAACCACAGGAATTAAGTCTTAAGTTTGGTTATAGGTTCAGAAAAGAGTCACAAAAGTGTATTACTTACACAGCAAGGTTGTTATTACTGTCTGGTTTTTGTGTCTATGTTGACTCTATTCTGGATCTGGACACCACAGACTTCTACAGTGTCCACATCGTTCTGCAATACTCCACCTGAACACTAGGTGTCAGTGAGATGTCCGTGATCTGAGTGGGGTTTGAGCTGAACATCTTTTACAGTCAGACTAAATCTCAGTGTGGTTATACCCTGTTTAACTAAACGGGCTTTCTCAATTCAGGGTCTGCATAGGCTACTGGACATTTGCTGCGTGCATGAGGTCCTCACGCAGTGCCGAGGGTGTCCCAATTTGCTTGTGATTCTGAGGGCTTTCCAAATGCGTCCACAAGACCACCCTGCCTCAGCCCCTTTTACAAGTGTGCAGCTATGCACACTGTGTGGCCTTGGAATCTGCAGAATTGTTTGCATGCTGCTGCACAGGTGCGAATTTTGGGTGAGACGTCTGACCCGCTTGGGGTGAAAATCACAGCGCCTCTTCAAACTAAAGAAAGAAAATCCAAAAACACAAGACTTTCAGCTTAGGCTCCATGTGTGCATGCTGTCTTAACTTAATTAAACCTCCTGCTTTGCTTTACTCCACGGCTTTTCTTCAAGTCAATTGTGATGCGAGCCTGAGGGCGGAGACATTTGGTGACGCAACCATAAAGTCCACTGGAGGGTAGACTGTCCTAATCATAGATATAATATACTGTACGTAGACACCTCAGAGACTTTCACTGCCTGTTGAAGCTGATGCATCAGCTATGATACAGGATGCTGTCACACATTAAAAATTACCCAAATTATTTTACAGTCTTAGTTGTGAAATGTAATTCTACGTGATCCTGCTTCAATACTGTGCCGGTTTTTGCAACTATTGGGTGCACATAGGGCATAGTTGCTTGTTTGCCATTGACTCAGGTTGGCCCTGGTGTGAGCCGACAGTGAGGCAATGCTCAATTAAGCTCAAGCACTTGATGAGGTATCTTTGCATGTTATGTTTATAGTCCCAATTAACAAAAGTGAAAGCGATTCACCTTAGGCAGGGTGCGCAGGCTGTATGGGCAGTATGCAGACCCTGAATTGATACACAATCTCAGATTGCTACTTTCGATGTAAGTGACCCCTGATCTTCTTGTAAAATTGCAGCTTTTCCATTCTGACACATGACGTTTCCTTTGATCCTGTTGAGGTTCTCAGACCATAGTGTCTCAGATTCCTCCCTGTTTTCTGCAGAGGGCAGCTCTGACAGTCTGCTGCAGCTCTGCTATTTGTTTGGATACTCTATAAAGTCTGTGTTTCATTGCTGTGCAGAGCCCACAGAGCTGACTTTGTATTACTCTAAGATTGTACAGCACTCTCACGTGTAAATAGAGATCCTTGTTCTGGATGTGTGAATGCACAGTTGCACAATGAAAAGCCATTTTAACCCAGAAGTCAAACAGGAGATATGCATTTATCTATATCTATCTACTAATATATCTCTATCTATCTATCTATGTATCTATCTATCTATCTATCTATCTATGTATATATATATATATATATATATATATATATATATATATATATATATTTGTGTGTGTGTGTGTGTGTGTGTGTGTTTTTCTTTTTATATATTTATATATGTGTGTGTGTGTGTGTGTGTGTGTGTGTGTGTGTGTGTGTGTGTGTGTGTGTGTGTGTGTATGTGTGTGTGTGTGTGTAAACCTGTTGGATTGTGAAGTGCTGATGAGTGTGAATGAAGGTCTATTTCTGGTCATGTTGCACATGTAGACTAAAAACACAAACTGCCAAAGAATGTGCTTAAAGTGCTAAAACAGAACCAACACACCACTAAACCTAATAATCTATTTTTTACCTGATAGATTAGCTCTGACACTGAAGATCACTCTGCTCCATGCTGTTTATCAGCAGAGACAGTTGATGTATTTGTAATCACTATGGCTCACCAGACGTATGAATGGAATTTTAAAGTTTAATGACAAAGACATGTTTAAGCTCGTCCATGACAAAGAATGCTTTTCTATCAGATCTACCTTTATAGATGTTTGATGAAAACCAGGGCCATACAACACATTACAACACTTTGGATATAAACTGAATAAAGACTGAGAATTGACTGGAGGCAGACTGATGAAGACTGAGTATAGACTAAGCATAGACTGAATATAGACTGAGTAAATACTAAGGATAGACTGAATATAGACTGAGTAAATACTGAGCATTGACTGAATATAGACTGAGTGAGTAAAGTCTGAGCATAGACTGAATGAAGACTTAAAAAAGACTATGAATAGGTGGAATATAGACTGAATAAAGACTGTGTGAGACTGAACATAGAATGAGTAACAATTGAGTTTAGACTGAATATAGACTTAGTTTTGACGAAATGTTGACTAAGTAATGACTGAATGTAGACTAAGTATAGACTGATTAAAGACTGAGTATAGACTGAGTAAAAACTGATTATAGACTGAGTAAAGACTTCTTATAAACTGAGGATAGACTGATTTATGCTGGGCTTCCACCTAACGATTTTCACAGTCCCAGACTAAAAAGTGAAAGTCTTATGTAAATCTTGAAGTTTTACTGGAGTCACAGTGGAGTCAAAGTGCGATCCTGTCATCTCAATCTTTAAGGTGGTAATCTGTGCTGTTTTATATCAGTCTTTTCCTAGTCTTTGGTTTGTGATAATATCAAATGTGTTTGATATTTTCGCAAGTCCCAGTGACATAACACAACCAGTGACCAATAGATGAGCTCTAACAAAAGGAAATGGAAACCTGACAGTCAAAACAAGAAAAATAAGACTGTATGAAGAATTACTGGTGATAAAAAAGGAGCGGATAGTGGAGCTGTGGGCAGATCAGCCTTGCCTATTCAACATCAACTGCAGGGTTTCCCCTACATGTAATGGCTCACCGCCATGGCTAAATAAAAGCCGCCACACTTCAACAATAAAGTTTTTAACGCGCTACTTTGGACTCGGCACGCAGGGCGGGTGTGCCGAGTATTAGCATTAGCGAGTTTTGAGGTGTCATATGCAAACACACAGCTGATTGAGCCATCCCCTTTAAATCATACACCACCACAGATAGATTTCCCACCAGTGGGAAACACTGTCAAAAAATGCTAAAAGAATCTAGTTGTAGTCTTGTAAATAGTGACCCTGCAAGATTCACAGTCTTAGTAAATTCTCAGTCTGAGACTACGCTGTGACCAAAAACTCAAAACACTTGTCATTAGATGTGAGCAGGAGTGAGCTGATAGTTTTCCAGTTATCTTTTCCAAATCTTCTCGAAGTCCTCTGGTGGATAGCAGGCCTAAAAACTGAGTAAAGACTGAGTATAGACCAGTGTTTATTTATTTATATGTAAATTCTACCCTCTGTTCCTTTTGAAGAGAATGATGTGTGACCCTGTTGTGGCAGAAGAGAGTCGCCAAACACAACGCTGGTTGTTTTTAACAAAGACAAAGTCACTGGGGATCAGTAAAGTCTCCTGATCAGTTAAGAACAACAGAATGAAAAACGTAAATGCTCCAGTGGATTTTTATACTTTAAGATTGCTGATTCGCTCATTTCGCTGTCAGTGAAAAAGGGATTCCACCTCAGACAGATCATCCAATCATCATGCAGAAGCAGAGTGTCTGGGCCAGCCCACTGCCCCATAGACCCCAAGGCTGTGTCTCAATTCAGCGCACTGCCTTTATGTGGACTTGAATACCCTGGGTGAGATGGTCCAGATTTTGTGAATTGGGACAGTCTACCCTTCGGAGGACTTCCTGGTTGGGTTGCCAAATGTTCCCACCCTCAGGCTCACGTCAAGACTGACTTGAAGAAAAGACGCGGAGCGCAGCAGTTATTTTTTAATTGTGTGACCTTGCACAGACACAAAACAGTAGATACATACAAGCACAAATCATTTCCACAAAATTCATCCAATGATTGTGTAGGAGCCATGAGGGCAAGATAAAGGTTTGTGGTTATTCTCTTGATTTGTTTTGGTATTTTGTTGTGATTGGTGGCAGTGATTTGTGGAATCTGGGTCACAGGAGTATGGGCGGTGTCACTTAGTTGATTTAAGCACCTGTTCACCTGTGTTCATGAGGGAAGAGGTTTGAGTGGGTCACCGTATTTTTTGTTGACTGCACGCACACACACACGTTAAGTCCAGTGATTGCTGTTTCTTTAGTTGGTATCGTTTTGTTGATTGTTTTCTTTAGTACTAAAGCATGGTATGAGGGCCATATTGAGAATTCTTTTGAAGACTTCGGGATTAAAGTTGTGAATTTACCAGAATAAAGTCATTATTTTTGAGAATAAAGTCACAAGATTACCTGTTATTTTAAAGGAGAGTTGTTCAAATTAGGGCCGTGAAGCATTTGAAGGAACTGTGCTTCAGTATAGGTTTCACAAACAAGGAGATACTTCATCCTTTGGCACATCAGCATTACATTGTCATAAGTATAAGGACTCTAAAAAGATTATATGAGAAATGCGTCTTTTTCGAGGAAAAAAAAAAAACAGGTGGACTTTGAGGAAATCGCTGATTTGTGGAGGCAGAAACTGATCTGCTGCTGATGAATCCGTTGATGCAGCCGTAAATAGCCGTGAATGGCATTTAGCTTTAATTTATGATATGAATCCATATGCCATAATAAGGCGTTGGTTTCTCTGCAGGTGTAGGTTACTGCCAGTGTCAGAGATGTGGTGCTCATTGGAGCTCGACTCCCTCTGGATCACAAATGTTGATTATCAGTTGGATTGTTTCTTCAGAAACCACAAAAACTCTCTGAATGACCCGCTGATACATCCACCAATAACCCTGCAGTTGACCAGCTCCACCCATTTCCCCCTCTACTAAAGCAGTTATATGACTTAATTTACTTTATGCCTTTATTAACCAATAACCCTGCAGTTGACCAGCCCCAGACATTTCTCCCTCCACCAAAGCAGTTTTATGACTTTATTTACCTTATGACTTATTCTCCCAAGTATACAACTTTAATCTCTAAGTCTTCAAAAAAAACATTCTCGAATGTGATCCTGATACTTTGATGTAGTTTTGGCAGCTTTCTTATTTCTAATAGTTTTGATTGTGGTCACAGAGTCGATCTGTTTTTTTCTACAGAGTATAATGTTTGGTTTGCAGATTTCAATGAGTTAAGAGATCATGGGCTCATGGAGCCCGAGCTGACTGTGTTTTTGGATTTCTTTTCTGGAATTCAGAATTCTGGGATACCAAGCCCACGAAAGCGTACATAAATGCACGCTTGAAAAAGGGGCGGGGGCAAGGTGGTTTTGGGACCGCATTTGATGCGTGCTCAGAATCACGAGCCGAATGGGACACCATTAGCGCCACATGATGACGTCATGCACACTTGAAATAAGCTGTTCGATGGTGCAAGTCAGTAGATGCTCAGCATCCGGCTGTGTAAAGCACTGTTGTGCTGCAAGAGAATGAGAAGGAAGCTGTGTCAGTTACCTTTGAGAAGTACTTGATTCTGAACAAAAGATAAATGCATTCTAGCGCATATTTAGTCAATAAAATGTCCACACTGCAGTGCATATGTCACCACCTTTTTTGTTCTTTTTTTTTTACATTTAAGGAGAGGCTGAGTTTCCCTTGCAGTCTTAGAGCAATCGCCACTGGTACAGACTGAGTAAAGACTGATTACAGACTGAGTTAAGACTGATTATAAACTGAGTAAAGATTGATCATAAACTGAGTAAAGACTGATTATAGACTGAGTAAAGACTGATTAAAAAGTGAGTATAGACTGAATATTTTGGATACTCTGGATCTAAGCTTGTTTTGAGCTGATGGTTTTTACCTACCCACAGCGCCTATTTTACTCTGAAAGAGCTGCAGATACTCAGAACAAAAAGAGTTGACCTGCAGCCCAGAGCCTCAGGTCCGTGTACTTGGCAGCCAATGGAATTTCCTTTTTAAATGAAAAAACGAAAATGACTAGTAGGGAATCGGAAAACGCAAAACAAACTGTTTTCTGTTTTGATCATAAAAATCAGAGAATGAAAAAACAACTCAGTGTTTGACTGTCTGTAATGTGGCTTTAGAGGGAAATCGAAGATCAAAATATATGCGTGAAAATCTTGTTTCAAGTTTCATTCACTTTTTTGTTGTGACGCAGAATTTGTGACTTGGAGCGAGAGGCTCTCATTAGCACAGAGAGAAGACCAGATACGCCAGCACACTGTAGCAGCCCGCCTAATGACGCGTCTACGTGGCAGCCATCTTGGTGAGGGCAACGTTCATGGAAAGATGTACATGGAAAATAACTATCTTGTTCATTTCTCAACTGATTTTCACGTGGTTTACTTTATTGTCAATGCCAGAACGTGAACAGAACATATTAATACAGAACATTTGATTAAAAATACCGTAATAAAAAAAACAATGTTGTGCATGAATAGCACAGGTTCATATCTGTGACAGAGCCGGCACTTTCCACAGTATCTACGCTAATTGCGATTATTAAAGTCATTGAGGATGAAAACAATGTGGGAACATTATCTGTAACCCTAACCGGGACAGTGATACAATTCCGCTGCCCTTTTCTATTGGGGGGTGGAGGATGATATAAAGAACTGGCTTCATATAATGTATACTACCTTTTAGCTGGTTTGTTAGTGCCGTTGCTGTAGACTAGGAGGCTGAGGCGTATCTTCTAAAGCCACTTCACAGACAGTCAAATACTGAGTTGTTTTTTCATTCTCAGATTTTAATGACCAAAGCGTGAAACAAACTGTTCTCCATTTTCTGTTTTCTGATTCCTTGCTGGTCGTTGGCAGCTTGGCCCCCTGATTTTTGTTTTTTCATTTTAAAATGAAAATCCGCTAGCCAACAAGTATACTTCAAGTATATCTACGTTGTTTGTGTGTATTTGTTCATGTGGGTGTGTGTGCATGAGTGTGTGTGCATGCATGTCTGTCCTCCTATCCTTGTCAGAACTGGGCCTCTGTCCCACTTGCTTTCTGTTCAGTTTCTTGGTTTCTGCAGACTGACTGATTAAATCAGGAACTAAATCAGATCCTCAGATTTTCTGCTCTTAGACTGAAGATTATTTTAACGATTTGAAATGAGAAAATAAACATTTATTGTCTTATTGTCTGATGCTTTCAGGTAAAGGCGTTTCTGCATTTCCTACATTTCTCAGTGTGATTGTGAGGTTATTATCATAAGGTGACCAGACGTCCCCGATTTCCGGGGACAGTCCCCGAATTGGATGACCTGTCCCCGGCAAAAGCTGTCCCCGAAAATGTCCCAGATTTAAGCGTTTCATGAATGAGAGCAAAAATGTTTTGTGTGGGCTAGAACAACCATTATTACAGTAGCCGAATGGGTAGGAAGCACAAGTAAGCAGTCCTGAACAACAGTTTTTACGGGGGTTATTACAAGGGGCATACGCTGATGTTGCGTCCAACCCCCCCCACCCCCCCCACCCCACCGCCACACCGAATGTCCCCGGATTTCATTACAAAAAAATCTGGTCACCTTATATTATTAGCCAGTTTACTCTGAAGTTTGTTCATTTATTCATTTTGCTGTTTGGTAAAAACTGTCAATGAAGTTTCTGAATTTCACCTAACTATGATTATGGAATTTTTAATTGCATGATTAAAACATAACGTCTTCACTTTGAAAACAGTTTTGAAGTCCATCATAAGAATGTAAAGTCGTCTCAGTGTCTTGATTTAATTAACCAGTCAGTCTTTATTTATTCAGTACCTTAATCAAGACTCTTTACAGACAGAGCAGGTCTAAACACTTAATGTATTCATTATATATGTGATAGCATGTTCTTGAACTTTGATTTATGAAAATAAAAGCTGCTCTGCTGCAGCTGTGTGGACTAAAAACCACAACCAAGAGGAAGGAAAGTTCATCATTTTAAAGAATAACTAATAATGACTTTAATAGTCTGCAGGAGTGCATGATCAAAAATGTTTCATCAGTGTGTTGAGTTATCAAAGGTCAGCTTTATTCATCATTATGGCATATTTAACATAAAATAAGTTTGTCTTTACAGTATAAAAGACATGTTATGAAAATTAATTCAATAAATCATCTAATTAATATAGATATAACTAAAAAAGCTGTTGAGTTAGCTATTTGTCAGCTGTTTCATCAGAAATTTAAACCTTCACCCAAACTCTTACACAGCAGCTGTCTCACTCCCCAACAGTAACTAATCTGCCCCACTGTGAGTGTTCAGTTCAAAACAGATGTTTTGCCTCTTCACTGACGTCCAGGAATCCCTGGATACTGCAACAGCTTAAGCATTTTTCAGGAGTTCCGGTTTGGTTGCTGTCTTTGTTGCATACAGCTCCTGTATGTGTGTAAGACAGGTAGTGTGAACATGCCGACCTGAAGAAGTTCCTCAGACCGGAGTCCTCCTCAATGTGGACTGACCTCCAGTCGGTTTTCACCCATTGAACAAGGCTGTGTTTACTCCACTGATTTAGTTTAGTCAACAGACTGCAGGACACATTTAGGTTTGGAAAGACACGGCCTCCACCATCATTTATAGAACACCAAAAATCATGACAGCCAGCCCACCGCAGAGGCGCTGTCTTGGATAGCAAATCTGAGCTCAACACTGCAGAGAAGCATCTAACTCTATCTGTGTGGGTCATTAATCTGAGTGAGGTCCACAATAATCTCCAGGATATTCAGGTCAGAGCTCAGAAACATGATCAGGTCTGAGTTCAGACAGAGTCCAGCAGACAGTTTAAGGGTTACAGAATGGGGAGCAGTTACAGATTTTACAAGGATATTGACTGTGTGTGTGTGTGTGTGTGTGTGTGTGTGTGTGTGTGTGTGTGTGTGTGTGTGTGTGTGTGTGTGTGTGTGTGTGTGTGTGTGTGTGTGTGGTAAACATGGCTGCAGTCTCCACTCAAACACCCCCATCAGACCAGTGAAAGGCCTGACCCACTAAAGCGTCTTGGTCTTTGTATCAGAGCCTGGTGATACAAGCACATTAAACAGCATGTTTTAACCCTCTGTATCTGTGGTCTTTTCATTGCAGAGCAGCTGTTATAGTTTTACCAGGTCTGCTCAATTCTACTGCTTCAGGCAGAGGGTCAGAGGTCATCTATACACACTGATCTGTCACAACGTAAGGGCTGATATCACCCGTTAGTGGGCGGGGCCTGTCAGGCAGCAGGTGTCTGTCACATTTTAAGTCTTAAAACCTGCAGCTCTGTGCAGGATGATCAGGGTCTGGGATGGACCAGCAGAGGACCAATGAACCTCTAACAGACAGTGGACACCAGAGCATCAGAGCTGACCCACAGAGCCATGGGGGGGTCTGGAGGATCCTGATGAGTTCAAGGTGCTGGCCTGGTCTCCAGGTCCTCGTCTAGTCCAGTCCAGCATCTGTGGTTCTGATCTGTGGAGGACTTCACAGCTTCAGGAATGAGAGGATCTGCTGCATGTCTTTGGCCCTGAAATGATGAATGGGTAATTCAAACTTAAAATGAGCCAAGCTGAGACTTCAAGACCAAGAACATCACCAAGAACCGAAACAAACATACAGTGGCCTCCTATTTAATACATTAAATAACTGTGAGTGATGTATCTGAGAGTGACAAGATCCACTCTGCTGAGATAATAGTTTCTTTACTTTGTTGTTTTGACCTCATTTCAACTGGTTTTAACAGACTGCATCACAACACTCCTCTCGTTGTCTTCCTGTCCGTTTTCTTCTTTTCCATCTTTCTGATGTGATAGCATCAACCGTCAATTTTCAACTGTCAATCTTCAACTATCAACTGCCATCTATTGTCTATGTATCTGCAAATCTGTACCTCTTTGCCTGTCTTTCTTTGACATGATTGTTGATTTATCGTCCACTGAGTTCTGCCTGTCTCTGCCTTTGTCTGTTTTATGTTTTAAAGCACTTTGTAAACACCTGTTCTTCAAGGTACTATATATATAGTTATTAGGGCCCGAGCCGACGCTGCAAGCAGCGGGCAAGAGCTCTATTGAAATTGCAGGAAGTATTATTATTATTATTAGTATTTCATTTTTTATATAATTATTACAACCTTTTAATTTTTCTCACCCTCTATATGGGCTCGAAATTGCCTGAAATTTGGCAGGTGGGTCGGGCCCGCCTCAAATGCCAATATTTTGCCATGCCCCTACATATATAAATATATATATATATATATATAAACTCTCTAACACATCCTGACACACTTTTCATGCTCGAGGAGTTTCCTTTATAACTGCCCGTACACTGGTTCTACACCAATCTCACGTCTCGTTGCTATGTTGTAGCACCACCTGGTGACAGAGGGTTATGCGTTTTTCAGTTAATGACCTATAACTCGGTCATTAATAATGGGATGCAGCTGAGATTTGCTCAGGACACACCTGATGGGGTACCAGATAGGCTAGGTGCTCTCTGTGGTGGTGTGTGGTGGTGGTGGCCACAGAGAGCGCCACCACCTTCTTTTTAATTGAAGGAAGTTGTACATAGACATATGAAAAAAAAGTGTGAAGAGGGTGCTTTGCCGTTTGAACTTCTTCAGGTTATGGAAATTAGAGGGGTGATAGTTATTTTTGTCTATGATACTTGCCTTTAAGCTTACTTAGAACATCTGCCCAGCAATAGCAAACTGTATAATTGAATGTGTGTGTTAGAGATGAGTGTTGAATGCATAACAAAACTCCTTATTAGGTAAATACCTGGACCCATCTATGTGAGAGGTTAAGAAGAGACATGAACCAGCGTACACGTGAAGACAACATCAAGTATAGGAAACTCTTTGTCTCGATAGGCGGATCCTCAACTATAAAGGGTACAAGGTAAAGTTAGTTGGGGTTCTGAAGCGCTCAGACCTCTAAGTTGTCTGTTTGGTAGGATGAGCTAACTTTGAACCCAGAGATCTCTGTTGCACATTTCTTGGCTCATGTGTAATTAATAAAGTTAATAAGAGCTTCAACTGAGAACTCTTCTGAATCCTTGTCTTTTCTTCTTCCCATCGATGACCATGTGGGAAAAAGGTGAGAGGTAATTAAGGAATTGGAGTCAGAGAGTTAAAATCAGTGAGAATAGAATAGAATATTCCTTTATTGATCCCCCATGGGGGAAATTTTTTGTCACAGCAGCATCACAGACAAAGAGTGCAAAAATGCAGTTATAAAAATAAAGATCCTAATATTAAGAACTTAAATAAATGTAATAATGATTAAGAAAAAATTTGGAAAAAGGGAGAAGAAAAATAAAACTATCTACAATATACACAATTTAAATGCCAGAAAAAAGTGGTGGTGTGAGTTCAGTTATTATTACAGTTCGTTGTGAAGTCTTATTGCAGAAGGAAGGAATGACCTGCGGTAGCGCGCCGTCTTGCAAGGTGGAAGTCTAAGTCTGCTGCTGAAGGAGCTGCTTAAAGCCCCCACAGTCTGGTGCAGTGGGTGAGAGGGATTGTCCATGATGGATACAAGCTTTCTTAACATCCTCCTCTCACCCACCTCCTCCAGGGAGTCCAAAGAACAGTCCAGGACAGAACTGGCCCTTCTGACCAGTCTATTCAGTCTCTTCCTGTCCCTCTCGGTGCTCCCTGCCCCCCAGCAGACCACTGCATAGAAAAGTGCAGATGCTACCACAGAGTCATTGAAAGTCCTGAGCAGAGTCCTGCACACTCCAAAAGACCTCAGTGTCCTCAGCAGGTGGAGACGACTTTGGCCCTTCTTGTACAGGACGTCTGTGTTGGTTGACCAGTCCAGTTTATTGTTGAGATGGACACCCAGGAATCTGTAGGACTCCACCATCTCGATGTCCAGACCCTGGATGTTCACTAGAAAAGTCTGAGGTGTCCTCCTCCTGCGGAAATCCACAACCATCTCCTTTGTCTTGCTGGCGTTGAGCTGGAGATGGTTTGTGCTACACCAGTTGACAAAGTCAGAGATGACAGTCCCGTATTCCCGCTCATCCCCTGACGATACACATCCGACGATGGCTGTGTCATCAGAGAACTTCTGGAGGTGACAGCTCCCAGAGTTGTGGCTAAAGTCCGAGGTGTACAGGGTGAAGAGGAAGGGGGAGAGCACTGTCCCCTGTGGAGCCCCCGTGCTGCAGACCACCATGTCCGACACACAGTTCTGAAGCCTCACAAACTGTGGTCTGTCGGTGAGGCAGTCCACGGTCCATGCGGCTAGGTGACAGTCCACTCCCGCCCTCTCGAGCTTCCCCCTGAGCAGTGAAGGCTGGATGGTGTTGAAAGCACTGGAGAAGTCAAAAAACATGACCCTCACAGTGCTGCCGGTGTTCTCCAAGTGGGCATTGGACCTCTGCAGCAGGTAGATGACTGCGTCGTCCACCCCGATGTTCGGCTGGTACGCAAACTGCAGAGGATCTAGATGAGAGCTCACCAGGGGGCAGAGGTTCCTCAGCACGATCCTCTCCAGAGTCTTCATCAGGTGAGAAGTGAGGGCCACAGGTCTGAAGTGGTTGGGCTCCCTGGGGTGTGCTGTCTTGGGGACAGGAATCACGCAGGAAGTCTTCCACAGTGTTGGGACCCTCTCCAGACTCAGGCTCAAGCTGAAAAGGTGCAGTAGCACCTCACAGAGCAGGGACCTTATGTATCAACGCTTGCGGCGCAAGAAAACCTTGCGTACGCCAAAATAGGTGCACACGTCCAGATTTATCATCGCGAAACGAGCGTCGGTTCCAGCGCTAATCAACGCAAAATCAGGAGGTGGTGTAGAAATTGGCGTTGAGCCGAAACTTGCGTTGACTGTGATTCGCACTTTGGCGACGCTGTGTGGCGGTGTTTGGTGACTCACTATGTGACAAGCGTGCACCACATCCCCGTGGCCGAGCAGCACGTCGCCCCACATGACGAACCAGCAGCAGACGGAGGGATGCGAGTTGATCCCTGCCGGGCCGCCGTCCTCGCGCGGGAGAATCTCATCGCCACAATGTGAATGGATAAGAAGTGAATACACAGTTCAATGAGCCAAATTAATTTAGTTTCTCCACCAGACGCTCGAGGACATTTACGAGCCGGTCCAGCCGCTCGTTGATCCCCGCGATCCCCCTGATGATTTCTTCCTGCGATTGCAGGACCCCCACCGCGAGGACCCTATCACTGCGTCCGGGTGGTCCAGCGGAAGCGCCGCGGCTGGTGGACGCTCCACCGCTTGTCGGCGCGCTGGTGCTGATGCTGGTGCTGATGCTGGTGCTGGTGCTGGGGCCGGGGTGGCCCAAATGCCGCTGGTCCTGGCCGACGACCCCGAGCCGGCGGACGGGCTGCCGCGGGCCGGGGTTCCGCAAGCCGGCGACACGGCCGACACATTGATTTCTGTGACGCAATAAAAATATTGGTTCATTTCAATTCCTGCTTCTGTGTATCTGTTGCGTTTACATCTCTCTCCACGGTATCATAGGTAATGTAATCCAGTATTTAGAGGTCAGTTATGCACATTACAGTTGTTTATTGCATAAAAAATGTTATCGAAAAATGAAGTTAAGTTAAATCACGTCTGAAAATAGACTGAATCCCGACATTGAAATGAAGTATAAACTTAGACTAGACGTCTAATATACGTCTTTTGCTCAGTGGGATGACAAAGCATGTGGACATTTGTGTGACACGCCACTTACCCTATAATAATAATCGCCACCACCCGCTGCTCAAACGGCGTGAGGGTCTCCTCCCCCGGACCCCCACCTGTCTGGCCGGTACTCCTCCGGAGGGCAGCTGTATGCCGCTTGACCTCCACCTTGAGGTCCGACCACCGAGGTGCGTGTCTCGGAACCCACCGCATTCACCCTCTCGCAAACTTTCTCCCACTCCAAGCGTTTTTGTTTTGCACTGACGCCACTGGACAGGCTACCAAACAAAACACGCTGTCGCTCCTCCACCTCCGCCACCAGCACCTCCACCTCGCACGCCGTAAATTTAGTTTTTCTTGTCATTTTGTCTGCGTGCGAGGACAGGGAGACCCTATTTAAATAAATCTGCATATTTATAGGAGGGCGTAACGGGGACGGGCCCAGTCACTCCGACATCTGCGCTCAATTCCACGCTGATTGGGATTTATCAAGGAAACACACGTGGATTTCGGCGCCCGCACACATTGATACATACGGATTTTTTTCAGCGTGACGGACCTTGCGTGAGCTCGTTTCTGGTATGAGTTCCACGCAAGTATTGATACATAAGGCCCCTGGTCTGCAGAGTCCTTCAGGAGTCTGGAGCTGATGCCGTCAGGACCCGTGGCTTTCCTTGGCTTCATTTTCCTCAGCTCACTTCTCACCTGGTCAGCTGTTATGGAGAGGCTGGGGGTGGTGCTGGAGGGGGTGGTGGAGGATGAGTGGAGGGGGGTTGATCATGCCAGTGCCATGGGACTGAGGTGGTGTGAAGAAGAAGCAGCAGACGGGTCGTTGGTTTGATGAGTCGGGGGAGGAGTGGGAGCAGAGTCAAATTTATTGAAGAACAGATTCAGGTCCCCTCTCATGGCCCCTGCTATGACCTGAGATGGATTTCAGGCCTCTCCAGACCTCCCTTGCGTTGTTCTGTTGCAGAAGGTTTTCCATCTTGGTCTTGTAGCTGGCCTTCCCCTCTCTGATCTTCTTCTTCAGCTCCTTCTGCACCCTCCTCAGCTCCTCCTTGTCCCCAGATTGAAAGACCCTCCTCTTCTCCTTCAGGAGGACTTAAAGTTCCGGGGTCACTCAAGGTTTGCTGTTGGAGAAACACCTTACTTTCCTGATGGGTACGGTGTTCTCAACACAGAAGTTTATATAGTCCGTGATACAATCTGTCATGGTGTCGATGTCATCACCATGTGGGCCGCACAGTACATCCCAGTTTGTGGTCCCGAAACAGTCCTGCAGCGCCTCAGTGGCCTCCTCTGACCACCTCTTAACATACCTGATGGTGGGGGGTTGTTTCTTCACTATAGGTATGTAAATGGGCTGCAGTCTCACCAGGTTGTGATCTGAGCGGCCCAGCGGGGGGAGGGGGGAGGAGGTGTATGCATCCTTGGTGTTTGCATACAGTAAGTCCAAAGTTTTATTGTCTCTCGTCGGGCAGTTCACAGACTGGCTGAAGGTAGGGAGAGTGGAGGAGAGTGATGCATGATTAAAGTCTCCAGAGATGATGATCAGAGACTGAGGGTGTGATGTTTGTAGCTTGGACACTTCACCATGGAGGAGTTCACAGGCTGCAGCAGCATTAGCCGAGGGGGGGATGTAAACAGTTAATGCGATGACGTGCAAAAACTCCCTCGGCAGGTAATATGGCCGCAAACTCATAGCCAGCAGCTCAATGTCCTTAGAGCAGCGCTGCTCTTTAACATTGACGTGCCCAGCATTACACCATCTCTCATTCACATACACCGCTATCCCTCCTCCTTTCTTCTTACCACTCTCCCTCACGCTCCAGTCTGCTCTGACGAGGTGAAATCCGTCCAAAGTTACGAGCGGGTCCGGGGTGAGTTCGTTCAGCCATGACTCTGTGGCAATCATGAGGCTGCACTCCCAGTACTCCTACTGCAGCCTAGTCAGCGCTGTGAGCTCTTCCATCTTGTTGGGGGGAGACCTCACGTTTCCCATGATGATGGACGGGACAGTAGGTTTATAATGTCCCTGCTTTGCCCGATGCTGAACTCCAGCCCTGCATCCTCTCCTTCTCATGCCTAGTTTGGCGGGGATGTCCAATCTGTCCAACAAAGGTGGCTGGGCTTGGCGCAGCACCAACAGCTGTTCATGGCTGTAAACAATGGGACCGCTCAATGGGTCACTAGACGCGGACTTGAAAACTCCAAAAAGTAAAAGAAAACAAAGTGCTAGAGTCATGAAATGCACATCCGTGGTTGCAATATGCAAAACACAACACTGCTAAATAAAAAGAAAGACAAAGAAGGTGCAAAAAACAACAATAAGAAGGCAAAAACGTAAAGTCTGTGAGGAGCTGCTGTGACCTGCTGCCACTCTCAGGGCACTCAGTCACACAGTACCTTCTGTTTGTGTTTGTTAAAATGAAGCATAGCGGTAGTTCAGGCAGGTCACGGAGTCAAGCTAAAGGCTACAGTCAGCTGATCTTAAGCCAGCCCTCAGTCAGCTGACAGCTCAGGTAATCACCCTCTTCACATACTATTGGCTAATGTCAAAATGTTGCCCTATTTAAACTGCTTCTCCTGCCTACTCTGCCTGTTGCAACTACTCTGCAAGGCTGCATCCGCTCCTCAAGGCTGCATCTGCTCTGCAAGCTCCAACTCATGAGAACACTCAGATCTGCGTTTTTGCTTTTCCTACTCTGCTCTTCATCATGTCGATCCCTGCCCACGACGAGGATCCATGGGAGACTGACTGCTTTCTGAAACGCAGCATCAGCATGTGAAGTCGTTTGAGGAAGCCGGTCCTTGCAATGTCATCTGCGTTCCCTTCCACACAAGCTCTCCTCTGGCAAGTAAAACTTCTATTCTTTCAGCTTCATGAAGTCCAGGCTCCTGGAAGTCCTTTAAAAATAACATCACAGCTCCAGATGGTGCCTCACATCAAGAGCTTTTCACCTTGTTCATGGAAAATATCCACATGGAGACTCCACTGGCAGTTCTCTCTTTCTTCTCTGTCTCTAGAAAAGCGACCGAGAAAAGAAAGCTGTTCCCGCAGTGTCACGGCAGTCCCAGCCTCAGCCGCTGCGTCATCGCCGCCACCAGCAGAGTGTGAGGCTCAGTCCCAGCCACCAGAACAGCGGATGTGGATGACAACCCATCCTGAACGCACTATCCAGCATCCAGCCATTTCTCACCCATATGTCTTCAAGGATCGAAGACTCAGAGTCCGGTTCGGCACGTGGTAAGCTGTCTTCCTTCATCCCAGCTGTCTAATCAGTAGACATTTCACTGGGCATCAAGCTTTCTCCTGCTCAATCTGTGGGTCTTTTTTTTTCTCACACCCAGAGGTGAAAGTAAGCCAGTAAGCCGGTATGCAGCAGTACACGGCGGTACACCAAGTCATAATAAGCAGTTTACAGCCGGTACGCAGCAGTACGCAAACCTTCACCCCTGTAGTGTATGCAGGCTACATCTGCTTAGTGTGTTGCCGCACATCAGTATGCACTCTGGATGGTGGATTCATAGTGTTCAAGATGGCCGCCATGAAATGAGCAGGAGCAGAAGGAGAAACAAAATCAAGCAAATATCCCCTTTTTAAACTAACCATCTATTCGTATATTGAAAGGACTATCTTTTTTATCTCTAGAACCAGCAACATTACATGCATTTTTTGGAATATTTAGTTTTTTAGAGTGACTTTGAACACACTGCAGTAGCAGTCTAAACAAACAAGGCAAGATGGCCGATTCAAGTGACACCACTGAAGGAAGAGAAAATAAGACATGGAGCTCCGTCATTGGGCGCAACAGGCCAAAAGAAACTATTTTCCCCATTTTCATCATGGAAAGGGAAATTCTATCGAAGGAGGAATGCATTAAGAATCCTGTGAGAGAAGCTGAGGTCTATCATAGCCTCATCCAGGAGGTCCATCCAATTCATCTCAGGTCAGTACAAAGAGTGGGCGCACTCCGGCCTATTTACCTGCATGATAAGGGAGCAAGGGCAAAACTCCTTATTAAAGGAATTTCCATTCGTGGAAAGCATATCAGTCTCAAAGAAGAAAACCCATTCAGTCTTAAATCATGCATGGCCAATCAAGATGCAAATCAGATTACCATCAAGGAGCTACCTGAGTCTGCTGATGATAATTTGGTGACTGAGTTTTTGTCTAAACAAGGATGTAAGATAGTGGGAAAAGTCATGAGGCGCATGATTCGATATAATAATAACCAGCTGACAAATTGCTCCAATGGAGACCGGATGGCGTACATTGAAGCCATGCCCCCTGAGCCCATATCTCGGTCTGTGAAGATAGGCCCACATTGGGTAAAGGTGTTCTATTATGGACAGGCACCAGTTAAGAGACAACACCGTGACAATAAGGAAGCAGAGGAAACTGCACCCAGTCCACAATACAGTCCAACCACTGAACACTCATTTAAGATCATAAGAGAGACCTATGAAAAGTATGTGGAAAAACCACCCTCTTAACCTGAGCATGCTACAGAGTCAGCTGAACTGAAAACAGTGGACTCTGAGATGGAGAACATCACCTCACATGCCTACAGGGTCAGCCGAACCAGAAGCAGTTGATTCTGAAATGGAGAACATCACTTCTCATACTACAGAGGAAAAAGGTGATGAGTCTGGAGATGTCAGTGCCGAAGACCTTTCTGCAGCTACAAACACCACAACCAAGAAGAAAAATAAACACGAGAAAAAGAAAAAAGAAATCAAGGAAGCAACTGAAATAAATGAAAACACATCCATAAACCGTGTGAAAGAGAGATCCAAAGATACCATCAAGATGAACTGTCGACAGTCAAACTCACTTGGAAGAGTAATAAATGTGGATACATCGTCAATTACATCTTACTTCCAGACAGTATCACTCCTGCAGACCAAGAGGCCTAGGGAAGTGACGTCACCAAGTTCAGAATCTGGAACAAGCTCACCAGCGAAGAAGAAGGTGGACACAGTAGACACTGGCCACCAGGAGGCAGCTGAAGTACCAGGCACCATCAGCAGCCCAGAAGGTGAAGGAGAAAAAGGAATGGATGGAGAGGGAGCCAGGAGAAAACCTGGAGGACTCTTCGCATGATTAAAGAGGGAAAAAATTGATTACTGTGGAAAAAGCACACTCATGATACATATTCTAATCATGGTTATACTTTTAACATAGATATTCTATGAGGGTATAATTTATTTTACACTTAAATATGGCTTTGGACAGACTGTGTGTCCTTTCCCTGAATGTTAGGGGGCTTCGAAATAATGATAAAAGAGCCCAAGTTTTTTTCTTGGATCAGAAAACAACATGCAAGTATTATAATGCCACAAGAAACATATTTTACTAATGATCTAATCAGAAAAGTGAATAAGGAATGGAAAGGAAAAGCTGTGCATAATATTGGAACAAACCACAGTAGGGGTGTAAGTATTCTATTTGACCCTAAACTGAACAATATCGAATTGAAAGAGTTTAAGGATGATCTTGGGAGAAAAATATGTGTCAATTGTAAGATTGCCAACAAAGCATATTCATTTCTTAACATTTAGGCCCCTATTGTGTGTGGCGATAGGATCATCTTTTTAAATGAACTGTCCAGGTGGCTAACAGGTATTGACATACATGACATAATTATAGGTGGGGATTGGAATACTGTGTTGAATTTGGAGATGGATAAAAGCCCCCCTATAACCCACTCACCAGTGTATTATCGTAAAGCAGCTGAGGTAATTGGTAATTTGTGTAAAAACTTCCAACGATATGATGTATGGAGAGAGAAATACCCAGGGCTAAAGCAGTTTACATGGAGACGTAAGAATCCAGAAACAGCTTGTAGATTGGATTTCTTTCTAATTCATCAAGAATTCGTACTGACCTGAGATGAAAAGATTCGTTCAAAAGTGAAACACTATGTTGACGGAGAAAAATCCACTAAGTATTTCCTCAATTTGGAGAAATCAAACAACAAGAAGCATACTATAAGTAGCCTGAGAGTTGGTAGTGAAGTATTCTGCCACACTGCTGACATCCTCTGTGAAGCTAGGAAGTTCTATCAGCAGCTCTTAAAACACGTGAGGCAAATTATGAAATGGTAGACTGTTTTCTGAGAAATATAAACATAGACCATATTGTACCATATTGTAAGAATCTGAAGACTGGCAAAACACCAGGAACTGATGGAATTACATCAGAATTCTATCAGTGCTATTGGGATATTGTAGGAGTGTTTGTTATTAATTCAATCAGGGAAGGTCTTGCACATGAACAGCTGGCAGACTCCCATAAAAGAGCCATTTTGAAATTACTTTATAAAAAAAGAGATAACCAACTATTAGATAACTGGAGACCTATAAGTCTTTTAAACACAGATTTTAAAATACTTACCCATGTGCTAGCCAATAGGTTAAAACCATTGTTACCATACCTAACCAATGAGACTCAAACTGCCTATGTAAAAGGCAGATTCATTGGACAAAACGTACGCCTTATTACATATGCTATTGACTATACAGATGAAATGCAAATTCCTGGTATAGTTCTCTTTCTAGACTTTAAAAAGGGATCTGATAGTGTAGAGTGGGTCTTTTTATTTAAAGCACTAAAGAAATTCAACTTTGGGAGTTTGTTTCTAAGATCGATTCAAACTATTCATACAAACTGTAATAGTGCAGTAGTCAACAACGGATGGACATCAGAATTCTTTGACCTTAGTCGGGGAATTAGGCAAGGTTGCCCTTTGTCCGCAATCTTATTTCTTTTTGCCATGGAAACTCTAGCACTGTATATTAATCAAAATGAAAACATCAAAGGTATCAATTTGTCAGATGGAAGTGCTACCCATGAGGTTTAAACTTCACAAGTAGCAGATGATACTACTCTACTGCTTGGTGACGAAAGGTCACTAACTACAGCACTAGAAATGATATCATCTTTTGGCAAAGTTGCAGGCCCTGAATTGAACTTAAAGAAAACCGAAGCAATTTGGGTTGGTTGCTGGAAATTTAGGCGAAAAGAAATCAGTGGAATAAGGTGGCCAACTAGTCCTGTAAAATCACTTGGTGTATATTTTGGGTACAACAAACTTTCATGTGAGACGAACCTATGGAATGAGAAAATCAATAATATAGAAAATGTTTTAAATCTATGGAGACAAAGGAATCTCACATTATATGGCAAAGTAACTATTCTGAAATCATTGATTGCAGCTAAAATTCTGTACTGGGCTACTGTGTGTAATGTGCCAAATAATGTGACTGTCAGGCTGAATACTCTGTTTTTTGACTTTCTTTGGTCTGGAAAGAGAGATAAAATCAAAAGATCTGTTATTTTTGGAGATTATAATACAGGGGGTATAAAAATGTTAGATATTCAATCTCATGTAGAAGCACTTCATGCTGGCTGGGTGAAGCGCATCATGGATACATCATCAGGAGATTGGAAACTGCTACCCAAATTGTATTTAAATAGACTAGATAAAGATTTCCTTATCTTAAGAATGCACTTTAAAGAAAAAAAACACTGCCCAGATCTGAAAGGAATTCCCACTTTTTATCAAGGCATTATTCAAAGCTGGCACAAAGCAGGAGGTAGTTTTGTGAAGGAACCATGTACAGCAGATGAAGTCGGAAACCATATCATCTGGGGATCTGCCTTTTTAACAGACTCTAGAGGGAAGTCCCTTTTCTATAAACATTGGATTGGCTCAGGCATAATTTATCTCAAAGACCTATCTGTAAAGGAAAAACCAAAGCTTCAAAACTGGAAAGGAGAAATTAGCGAATTATGCATCATCAGAAAGGCAATTCCCAAAAAATGGCTCCCATTTCTGAACAACAGTATAACATTAAGAGATAACAACAATGATGCACACATTGCTCCGACAGGCTATACTTGCAAGATAATCTATAAGCTGTTGTTAAAAGAAAAGATAAAAAGACATTATATATGCAGACATATTGGGATGCTGCACTAGCCGACCAAACAAACAACATCATGTGGAGCAATGTGTGGCAGAGACAAACAATAAAATTATCTCCAGATAGGAAATTGGCCGAATTCAATTTCAAAATATTACATGGAATTCTTCCAAATATGTCAAACCTGTATAAATGGAAGCTGGTCCCCACTCCTCTATGTGCTGTTTGTTTGGTAAAAGAAGATACAGAAAAAATGTTTGTTTCATGTCGTTGTCTGGGTGGCATTTGGAACCAGGTTTCTGCACTTATGTCTCAGTTTAATATCACCTTTAGAGTAGAACTGTCAAATATTATTTTGGGTCTCAGCACATCAGCAAGTAACAGATATTGTGCAAATCTGACTCTAACAATAGCAAAACTGTCCATCTTTAAAATCTGGATGAGATATAAAGATGATCAACAAAGGTTTTCTACAGCAGACAGGGTATCTGTCTTTCTTTCGGAGCTGAGGTCAAGAATAAAAATGAACCTTTTGGTGGATGAGTCTAGAGGTAACGAAACCTGGGCAAACTTATTGTGGTTGTTGGACAGAACATAAAGAAAAGGTTACCTATATTTTCTTTTTCTCTCTCTTTCCTCTGTATGTATACAGTCCATCTTTTTGTATATACATGATGTGTGAGGGTTTTTTATGCATCCTTTTTATACGCTGTTTTTTAATTAAATAAATTATATTAAAAAAAAAAGTATGCACTTTGCATTAAAACCAAAGAAATCCAATAGGACCAGGCTGCTTGAGAGTGAGTCGTATTTGCTTCCATACAAACCCAAGAAATGGAAGCTCAAGGCGCACTTTTGATTGGACGCTAGTTGCCTGGGCGCTGGGGCCCGCCTCCTGCCTTTTGCAGAAGGAGGGAACTTTAAAGAAACAGCTGCTTCAATCTAAAATGCAGAAATAAGTCAAAATGATAAATACATCAATAGATTTATCATCAAGAGAGAGATGCAGCAGATGATGATACTGTGGCATCAGAGTCAGCTCCCTGCTAAACGTGGGTATGCTCATCTTGTTCAAAGCCTACGGTTCAGTACATGCAAGAACCTTTTCCTAAATTAACTCCTGTTCACACCTCCAATCTGTGCCCTAAAACTGTGGCTACAGGCCAACCAACAAGCTTCTTCGAAGACTACAACTCGGCAAGGCCAAGTTACTGCAGGGACGGTTATCTAAAAAAAGCAGCACGCCCAAGATGCACCCACCTTGTATATCCCTGAGCAGGGGAAGGCACTGGCAAAGCATCCCAACTGCTGTTGTAAATTATTTGATAACAGTACTGGTTCAGGGGTTCCCAGCAGGTTTGGTCTATCTGCCAAAAGTGTCATTTGTGTGTAAAAATAAATTTACAATCTGCAATGAAAGATCCTGAAATAGTTGATGGACAGGAGGTTAAGAAAGGATTCATGATTGGCCGCTATACTAAGTCACCCTTTCAATTACCAGCATTAATCCTTTAGGCATAGCTATGCATAAATACTCGAAGAAAAAGCATCTAAGTAGAAAAGTAACAGGACATGCTCGAGAGGCAGTACGTCTAACGAAAAGAGAACTTCTCTCTTTGCTTGGGCATATTAATTTACCATGCCTGTCATGCCTCAAGGGCGGTCCTTTACATCTAGACTTCTCAACCTCACCAAATCAGTTGAGAAACTTCATGATAGGGTAAGCTTAGATAAAGGTTGCAGATTGAAGCTGCAGTTTTGTCACTTCTATGTAAAAATGGAAAGGCATCTCATTCTCTTATAGTGACTATCAGGAATTTTCTCCTGCGATTCATGCTATTTACAGTCACAGCACCATCTGTTGGTTTAAGGGGTTTTGATAATCAATGGTTGCCTATATTTGGCCAAATGGACTGTCTTCTCTGCCAAAAAACATGTCTTCAACTGCTCTCCTCCTGTATCCAGTCAACATATCTGGCCTCCTATGGGGTAAACATTGGTCTAGGAACAGATTTTTTTTTCGTGACAATGAGGCAACCATTAATATCATTAACAAGGGCACTCTTCAGTTCCATTTACTAATAGGTTTATGAGGCGCCTTACCTGTCTTGGGTAATGTTCATTATTTGAGCAGTCCATTTTCCAGGCTAGGATAACCAAAATACTGATTCCTGT